GGCAAAGTAACGTGTTTGAAAATGCTTACATAAAATTCATCCATTCTTCGTGGAGTATGGTTAAAATCGAATAAAGTAACGTTTTACTGTCAAAATACTGTGTTTTGAAATTGCCTACATATAAAAATCATCCATTCTTCGTGGAGATAAGTTAAAGTCCAATAAAGTAACGTTTTTAAGGCAAAGCACCGTGTTTTGAAAATGCTTACATAAAATTCATCCATTCTTCGTGGAGTATTGTTAAAGTCGAATAAAGTAACGTTTTACTGACAAAGTACTTTGTTTTGAAAATGGCCTACATAAAAAATCATCCATTTGTAGAGATCAGTTAAAGTCCACTAAAGTAACGTTTTTAAGGCAAAGTAACGTGTTTTAAGAATGCGTACATAAAAAGCATCCACTCTTATTAGAGAAAACTTAAAGTCTATTAAGGTAACGTTCTAAAGGCAAAGTAACGTGTTTTAGAAATGGCTACATAAAAAATCATCCATTGACAATGAACGAACGTTTTAAAGGCAAAGTAACGTGTTTTAAAATGCCTGCATAAAACATAATCTATTCTTCGTAAAGATAATGATTATATCACCAGGTTTCAACAGCCAAGGTAGCCAACGTTCCTTAATTACTTTTCATAATAACAAAACGAAAAAAACGGTACTTTTAAAATGTCAATATTTTTTGTCCCTATATCGTGACATGTATAACGCCCATTGTGACCTAAATTCAACCTTATATTGTCAACCAGTGGGTTCTTTGATTTATAACCTTTTTAGAATGCATTAAATTGACTACAAACCCTTTTAAAGCTTTTAATCCAATAGATCATTATGTTGAAACTGAGTAAATGACTTACCTGTACGTCCGGTAATATATTCCTGGCCTGATAAAAACAATGGTTTACCCTAAGCAAAGTCTCTCTCTTTATAAACGATACCAAATGAATGCAAAGGGTATGTTTAATCCTACTCTATAAATATATATATGAAATCTACAAGACTTTTCCTTCAATACAATGACAAATATTGAATGCTTCCTAAAATCCCAATGTTAGGTTCACCAGTCTACTGAGCAAAGAGCAATATGTTTGGCATACATTTACCATTACACTAAACCATAGTTTATACATGTATTGTTTAAATATGCTATTCTCAAGCTTTGATCTATCAATATTTATTAAGCGAAGGGTATAACAGTAGCACATGGATCAATTATATTATAATATGCATATTAACATATACATGTATCACTAATCAAGGTGTTAAAAGTAATGTAAATATTGAGATGTATTTCACTTTAACGCAAGGCAATCATGTTTGACATTAAAATGATCAAAATTGATTGACTTCTGAGTTCAGTTCATTGTTCACAAATATCAATCTAGCAATAGTTATAACTTATTAATGACAACTGACCTTTATCTTATTAACAGTCAAATGCAAGACTATTAAATGCCACGTGGCTACAGACTATTTTATGAATTTAAATCAAGTGTTTTAATCCAAAACTCCAGTATGAATATAAACTTAGCATATCATTAATCATTAACTGCTATCAATGTATAAAACATCCTCTTACCCAGTGTTCAATTAATGTTAACTCAAAGCATTGTAATAGACAAATTTGCACAATACTTTGTACTGAATAATTCGTTCTATTAATTTGAGGCACATGTCAAATTATATAGTCCGTATTGACAAGTTTAAAAAAGTATGTTGACTTAATGTGAGCATTTAGTGTGTGAAACAATAAGTCCACAATTTATAATAATATGCACCAACCTCCCAATTGTAATTTTGTAGTTAATACTTTACTAAAATAAACAAAAGTTGAAGCGAGTTGACACGTCAAAAGGTATCAAAGGATGTGGCTATTGTCTAAGCTTTTTACAAGGCATAACTTATCACTTGAACATGACGTGAAACTACTTGACCATTTCAGCTTACAAAAATTGGAGCTAACATTGTTCATACAGTGTTCTTAATGCGCCTAGGACTATATGCGAGCCTGAAATTTAATCTATCATTTTATAGCAGGATGTGAATTATCATTGATGATTTAACAGATTTACATAAGAAGAACCCTTGTCAATTTGAGATGAACCTCAAACAGTTCGTAGATACATGACTTTTTAATAAGCTGGTTTGTTTGATTGTTTGTTTGTTTGTTTGTTTGTTTGCATAAAAGTTTGTTTTCCCATCCAACAGTACAATACAGCTATAACCCCTATCGAGAAAAAACATTCAGTATTGTTAGGAGTTCACTACAGAGAGGGTATCTTATACAGATGTTCACCAAGACAGGTTTTACAGTTAATATATAAAAATATGCCATAATAAAAAGGATACAGCCATTGTTCTGCAGAAAATCTGAGACAGTTCCTACTTTTTAGCCTTTTGAATATACTGTACTTTTTCATTTTCTGATTGTTTTTGCCACTTTACTATCTTAATATATAATTGTTGATGTTTATTTTGATGTTATAAGAAAATCAATTATAGATATCTTGTATATATTTTGTGTAAATATGTTAATTAATCAAAATTACAGCCATTTTATTGAGGAATTTTATTCAGAATTCACATGGCAGAGAAGCATCAAAATATAAGAGGTTGCATACTTTATAAGCCAATTCACAAGCAATCCAAGATATACAAATGTCATTTGTGTGCAATATGAATCTTTTTATACATTATTGCACAATAGTCTTTAGATTTCTCATATTTTAGGTTCAACTGGTTGCATTGAAGCAGTGTGATAGACTGTAGATGCCCATGTAGATGCCTAGTGAGCGTTAAAAAACATCCCCCACACTTTTTACCACTTACTAAGACTTTATACATAACAAGATCTGGATAACATAAGAGGTTTCCTTCTTCCAGAAGAAATGGTATACAGGTATACACTATACAGGTCAGTTTTCATTTGCCATTGAAATGAATCTGACAATGTTTGCTGTTGTTTTTTGAGTTTTCTCTACAAGTTTGGATCGTGTAACTTTAATAGTATTACCGTAGTTTTGAAATGATGATTTTGAACTGATGTTCAACTGAAATAAACTCCATTTCCAAGATTTCAAATTTTACTTTGCGCATGTGTGGCACTGAGAGAGCATGTGATTATGATTGTTCACTTAATCACATCCTCCAATTTGATTGGACATCATATACTGATGGGCGTGATTTAAATAAATTATGTTCATGAATATGAAAGAATATGACATATAATTATGGGAGCCAGTGGCGTAACCAGGATTTTGATAGCAGGTACATGAGGCCTAAGGTCAAGCAAAAGTAGGGGAGTCCGGGGGCATGCTCCCCGGAAATTTCTTGGTTTTAGGCCTCAACTGGTGCGTTTTGAGCGATATCAGACTGTGCAATGGGACACTTTACAATAAATAAACATTCCTAAACACTAAAATGAGTTAGCTTACATAGTATACTGTTTTGTGGCGGCACTTTGCATCGCACAGAGGATGTGTGTCTGCCCGATGCAAAGTAGTGGCGTGAGTTGCCTTTCACAAAAAAGGGTTTATGGAACTTACAGGCATTCAGGTGGGAATAGATAGGGAACCTAGGGGAGTACATACATGGCTAATTGTGTGGCACACATGGCTAATCTTGTGGCAACACATGGCTAATATTGTGGCGACACATGGCTAATCATGTGGAGTACTAATATCAACAATAATAGCGGAGTCAAGAAACGCTAATCAGATAAGTATTCACTCACCCTGGGGAGAATTTTGGAGAGGCGGATTGTCCACACCGGGTAAGTAATGCATACGTAACAGTATGATAGGTGTGGGTGGCTTTGCCTTCAGGAAGTTAATTATTTCCTACCTGTTTGCTTAGGTTGTCTAGTAGTAGGTTAAGTGAGCGACTCCTTTATGGCACATTAGCAGTTATAAGACAACCTTTGGAAAACATAAATAAATTCTATGAAATAGAAAACTTTATGTGTCAAGAAGGTTGTCGCTCACTTACCGGTTAAGGATGGGATAATGCAGATTAACCTAGCGGGTTGTAGATGTAACGGCTTAAGTGGAAATGAATTTCTAATCCAAATTTTAGTTTTTCAGAGCATCCCGGAAGAAGTGATGCATGATGGGAAGTCTAACTTCCTTTCATGCTTCTTCCATATAGGACTGATATCGCAAAGCGAATTTCGGAGGCGAAAAACGGAAAAGTTCAGAGGTAGTAAGTGAGCAGCACATCAAAAATAGGTATGTTAATTCTATCATGATTTAGTAAGGTGCTAGAAAATTTCCCACCACCACCCCTTCCACCGACCATTTCACGAAGGGTGACCCTACGACATTTGCAGCGTGAGTTGCCTTTCACAAAAAAGGGTTTATGGAACTTACAGGCATTCAGGTGGGAATAGATAGGGAACCTAGGGGAGTACATACATGGCTAATTGTGTGGCACACATGGCTAATCTTGTGGCAACACATGGCTAATATTGTGGCGACACATGGCTAATCATGTGGAGTACTAATATCAACAATAATAGCGGAGTCAAGAAACGCTAATCAGATAAGTATTCACTCACCCTGGGGAGAATTTTGGAGAGGCGGATTGTCCACACCGGGTAAGTAATGCATACGTAACAGTATGATAGGTGTGGGTGGCTTTGCCTTCAGGAAGTTAATTATTTCCTACCTGTTTGCTTAGGTTGTCTAGTAGTAGGTTAAGTGAGCGACTCCTTTATGGCACATTAGCAGTTATAAGACAACCTTTGGAAAACATAAATTATATTTTGCTTTCCTTTTTTATTTTTTACAACAATTTATTTTTTGCTCCATCATTTAGGTTACGCAACTGCGTACCCTTGCATATGTCTGGTTACGCGCCTGAGAGCTACTTAGTAGTACTTATTTCTTCTACATCCTCCTGACTCAGAATCAAAAATATCCACTATTTTTCATTGAAAAGAGAAGAGATTCATGAGGAGAGATATATCAAATTTAGTTTAATGTAACAAAAGATTATTTAACTCACCATTTATACGGTCAATATTGTCTCAGTATTGAAGCAAATTACTTTTACGAAGCTTCAAAAAGAAAAAAGTTTTAAAACTTTTGAGCTTTAATTACTTCCGGTTAGTAGCCTGAGTAAGGAAGCAAACGCCAACTTATAAATAACAATATTGAATAGGAAAGTGAATACACCAAAGCATCAAAATAACAAAACATGTATAAATTATTAAATCAATAGTAACAAATCAATATTATTGAAAAAGATAGTGTAGATCTAGACTAATAAAAACTTTTGACATCGATATTTCTAACGAGGGTGAACTTTCTAACCAGCCATATTTTTCGGAAAAAGAAACGAAAATAATTTTATTCGTTTTATTGATAATCCACAGCTATATTTGCGAAAACATCAGTTTATCATGGCAGATGATGATTGGGCTGCACTTGTAGACCAACAAGAGAGTAACCAACTGTCTTCGAGGGTAAGGAATCATAATAGAATCTGAATGTCAAATTATCATGCTTTTTATTTTCATTTTTACTTTTAGATTTCCATCAGAGACGAAATGTCAAATTTCGGGCCAAATATGCTTATGTAGATTTCACATTGTAGTTATTTCAACATTGGATATAACGTTTTACTGAATAATTGATATATAGTTTTTATTCTCGTAAGAATAATTATAGAAAAATGCCATAGTCAGCATTTTTGTAGGACTGTGATGTTTAGGCCTATAGCTTATTAGACTCAACATTATCAGGTAAAACCATTAATCATCCAACCTATTACGACTGTTATCTCAATCTTTATAACCCAGCATGTGTGAACTACACTTTCAAGCACGTGAGAAACACGTGATAGTAAGTCACTCGTCACTGCTACAGTGGCTAGCCCCTTAGGCTCGAGCGGTAGAACATCAGTCTATGGAGTGGAAGGTCCTTGGTTCAATTCCTGCACTGGGCATTGGAATTAGCAAGCTCCATTGTTTAGTATTTTGCTTGTTACATTCAGCTCCCCCAAGTGAGCATGCCAAGGCTGATGTTTCAGTTTGATTGTTTACTTCTCAATGTACATTTAACAGCAAAATATATTGTACTCAGATAAAATCCAATTATGTCATTGAAAAATTTCAACTTGAAGTTTGTATTCTGCTCACATGTGCTTTTTGATTGATCAATCAACTTGAAGTCACATGGTAATTAAGTGTGTCTGGCCATGAGGTTTGTTTATGAATCAGTTATGCCAAATCCCTGAGAAACAAGCATAATGACCATGGGGATCATGAAACTGCTATATTAAAAGATAAAATTTACACACATTTTCTCAAGATCGATCTCCTAGATAGATTCTCCTTAGATGGATCAATTAGCTGAGACCAATTTTAAACATTTTTTACCTGCTTGCTTTGTTACTTTCTAGTGAAAAATCATGACAATTGACACATTGATGAGTTTTTGCTTACAATATTGGATGTCCAAGCAACCTTATGGATATTTATACACATGTACGATATATTTTTGAAAAATATCAAATCCCTCAATCAAATCATTTGGTCTACTGAGTCATATTTACATGACTTATTTTTTGAAGTCAAATGTGTGCCCATTCTGTAGTCAGTAGGCAGATATTCGAAATTGGATCCAAATGCAGTAAGAAACTCAGTTATTTTCTCATGAAAAGTTTCTTCTCACCCTCTGTTCAAGTGATGTCAGAGTTCAAGAATTTGGCACAATTCCATGAATGAACTAAAGTTAAATTTTTGAACATATAAATAAACAGATTCAAATTTCAAATGTGATGATCTAGTTTTCAAACTATTCTAAACAATTGTAATTTCGCGCAATGTAATAAATGTACTTAACAATCTCAAGTATGATGGTCAAGTTTACAAAATATAATGACTTGTCATAACATGAGATTTTTTAGAATCATCCACCATTTTGAAATATAGTGGATAAACAGAAGAAAATGTAATTGGACAAGATTCTACTCAGCCCTCTGATGAAAGGAAGGAGGTGTAGATAAGTCATCGGTCAAATTCAATTATATATAGGCGAAAAACTTACGAATGAATGGCCGAAAGAGAAAATAAATGGATTTTCGACTGTCGGACAGCATCTGAAAAATGTTTTAAGCTTTTATTGTTTACAGTATATTGTTTTGTGATTGGAGATAATTAAGCAATGGTTTCCAATCTGTCATATCATGGTACCTCTAGCACGCATGTGATTGAACAAAGAATACCTACAGTACTTTCAAAATTAGATGAGACTTAATTTTGAGGAGTCAACCCAAAAAAAACGATCATAAACGCATGGAATTTATCAAAAAAAAGTAAAACTAATAATGACAAGTGAAAATATTATTGAATTCAGGTAGAGAAAAATTTAACAATTGGAGCAACAGCTGCTACTAAGCAAGTCCCTTTGCCAGGTTCTGCATCTGTAGCAACAGGCCATGCACCAGCAGTCACAGGCCAGGCACCAGCAGTCACAGGCCAGGCACCAGTAGCAACAAATCATGTACCAGGGGCAGGAGATGCAAATGGGGAAGCAGAGCAAGATGAAAAAGGTAATTGTTTAAATTATTTGTATTAAATACTGAATTTAAGGTTAGAAATAAGAATTTGAAATTCATAAATGATCAGGAGTTGTATGGCAAGTTATTTGGGGAGTCATATCTTTGACCGTGAGAATTTTCTCACCATAGATATAGCTTTTTCATCAACATTTTTTCTTCCAAGTTAAGTTGCAGGGTAATAGGAAATATCATTTTGACTCTCCCAGACTTCATTGATATGGACCAAAACCAGATGTATTTTCCAAAATGTGTGATTTATTTTCCAGAAAGAGGATTTTGTTTCCCACAATTGAAAACTTAAAATGAGGGAAACATGTTTAGAATTAGTTTTGTGTTAGATATAAAGAGGGCAGCATAAGACAATTTACTGCCAATCGAAAGAACTTGAATGTTTCGTTAAGCACAGATACTAGAATTCCCTGATTCCACAGAAAACCACAGAATTTGGGTTTTCCAAAAACGTGTTTTCCACGGGAAACCACCTCACCTCATTTTCTCATATTTGTCACTCACTTTGACAGTCATTTATCATCAGAAACTGATGTTATGAGGATTTCAAAGAGGACATGTGAAAACTGTTTAAAATTCTCCAACTTCCGGCTATTACTCTTAAAGATTACATCTAAAATGTCATGAAATTTGAATTCCCTGCAATTTCATGATAGTTCAGATGAAGCCGATGCTTGCAGAATTTATCGCGGAATTCAGGATTTCATGTAGAATTTTGCGCAGAATTCGACTTCTCATGCTGAATTTGCATTCTTCTCATGTAGAAAACTAGGATGTTTGGTTAAGTCTGAAAAGAAATATTACTAGACAGTAACCCAGATGAAAGTAGGTAGTTACCAGTTTCACCACCAGGTGGCTATTCAGGTCAGATAACATGGCAGGTATGTTAGAAAGTTCCCTTTGAAAATATGAAAATATTTCTACGTATATGTCTTTCTCAAGTTCGAAAATTTGATTGGAGAGATAATATTTTGTTTTACTGGACATATTTTGAATATTTAATGATGTAAATCAAGATTGTTTCTCCTTGCATTTATTTGCATCTAGTCCATTTGTTCTCAAAACAAATTTGAAATACCAAGTGCTAATTTACATGCCCATGTAAAAATAGTGGTGATTTTCAAATTAGATTGTGCCTCCTAAGATGACTTAGTGAAAGTACCACTGCCTAATATTACCCCATCGGAAATCAGTTAAGGCCAGATAATCAACAGCTGTAAATACAGTTTTTAAGTTTATGACCCAGTTTGTTTGTGAGAAAAACATTTTCAGTACATATACTGTTCTAAAATGAATCTGAGAGGTGCTGTCCTCTTTTGAGTGACTATAGAACTAAACCTCAATATTGATTGATTATAGATTACCAAGTAAAAAAAAATCAATTGATAAAAGTACTTTTTATTATAAGTGATACCATAGGTAGACTTAGATACAAGCATGTATTGACATTTGACTTATTAATATGACCTTCATCAGATGACATCAATATGGCTGTACGTTTATTAAATCATCTGCAGCATAAAATAATGATCATGTAATGGACTGGTTCATGTTCAGTCAAAATCAGAAATGTGTCTGATCATGGTAAATTGAGATTTGATGAATAGCCCAATGACAAGTTATATAGGCAAGCCGTCCTACTGTCCCGCAATTTGCATATTTGTCACGCATTTGCTGGAAAATCTGAAGTCATGCCAGTTTTTTTTGCATGACAGAGTATGTCACGCAAATATGCATTTTACCTGATTATTGTCCAGCAAAAATATTCCTGTAGAAAATTTTTCAAAAATGATCGGCCATACGCCACAAAACCGAATGACAAAAAGGTGTTCAACATTTGAAAGTCACTCTTGATAGGTGTTCCCAAGTTGACAGGCCTGTATAGGTCCCCGTGTCCAATGAACTGCACTTGTTCAGTAGTAGACTACTATAGTTGTACCATCACAGTAGATATGTTTTGACATGCGCAAAGCTCTATTTTCTATTTTCATTTCAAATATGGCAGTCAATCCGATGTCTGACAACCCTCACAAAAAATCTCGGCAGTGTGCATTTTTACCTTCTGTGAAATAACAAGTGGAATTTAGTAGTCGTTTTGTGTTTTATTATCATTCTGCATCGTACATCTATGTGTTGGGGTGTTAAAACATCAACAGAAATATATATCCATACGAAAATCGTGTGAATTCTCCTGCTAAGGATATATAAAAACATGTATTAACATGCTCAAAAGTGCTGTTGTGCACCTCAATATCAAGATAAATTAATGTTGTGTCTAAAACATATACAATGTACCTAATCTACAGACAGCAGCTTGTCATTCACATATACACGCTAAGCAAACATAGCGAAATGATCTGAATTTTGTTCGGGAGCTAGTAATCATCGCTACGTGTCTTCATCATATGTGTTCATCAGACTAAGGCGCATGCTCAGGAGAAAATCATTAACCAATCACTTTTATAAATTAATTTTGTGCATGCGCCTTACAAGGGTGTAGAAATTCATATTTCTAAACGAACCAATTTGAGATAACCGAATATCAGTAGGAGAAATCAGAAAATCTACAGAAACTCACTTTAAAAATCAAAAACGCATTGACGGCTTATTCTACTATGCTTGGATCTAAGATTTTCAATATAGATAAGTCTTTTGGGTTCTTTCGAATGAAGGAATCTCTAGTTCGAAAGACAATCGTATCAACCCATTTTCGTAAGGGATGGGACGGTTCGTTTCGGTCCGGTTCGGTTTTTCGGATCATCAGCCGTCGGTTCGGTTTTTTCGGTTCGGTTCACTCATTTTAAGGATTTGTATTGATTGACATGATTAGCTGCTTAATTGATACAAAGATTTTCGGAAATTTATATTTTATAGATGGAATTTTATGTTATAGTATTTCATGAACAATACATATTATTTAGAATACACGACTAAAGAATATAGTACCAGGGACCACATGATTGATTACCGAGGGATACAAATACGCGGATACGAAACGAATCTAGTAAACAAGTGAGCTAGCAACAGACAAGACAGACAAGGTAGGGACTAGGAATATCAAAAATGTTGCTGTAAAACAGTGTTTTTAACTGTTTTATTGATACTTGACCAATGAAATATTAATCCGAAAACGATCCGAAAAGCTGATCCGAAAGTAGGGCCGTGATCCGAAAACCGATCCGAAGGCTATGAACCGCGGTTTTTCGGTATTTCGGTTATCCGTCCCACCCCTAATTTTCGTAATACCATGTTGACTGATAAGTGAAGTTTTAAAAACATTTAAAACAAATTTGAAAAAATATTTTTTTTGAAAAATATTTTTTTTGTAATTTTTTTTTCAGTGACTCATACACTTTGAAAGTACCCAGAAAGCACCAAATAGCATCTTAAAATTGTAAAATTTTCTAGGGGTATTGGCCACCCCTCACACCCCCACAAAACAACGGAAAAGTTCTAAATTTATTTTAGTGTTTTGTCTCAGACACTTTTAAATTGCCCATACATCATCAAATAGCTCCTTGATAAAGTTAATGATTCTGGAAGACTAATACTTACTCGCCCTCTGGCATCCCCACTCCACCTCCCCCTCTGGCAGCCCCCCCCCCCTTAAACCCCCCCCCCCCAAGAAAAAGTGCCCAGAAAGCACCAAATAGCATCTTAAAATTGTAAAATTTTCTTGGGAAATAGGCACTTTTAGGCACAGACACTTTTAAAGTGCCCAAACTTCATCGAATAGCACCTTGATATTGTAAATTTTGATATGAGGGACAAACACTTGCTCCCCCTCTGGCACCCCAGCCCCACCTCCCCCTCTGGCACCCCCACCCCTTTGACACCCCAAAAATTTGAAAAAAATGTGATTGTATTTCAATGTTTTTATTGACTAATACACTTTAAAAGTGCCCAGAAGCACCAAATATCATCTTTAAATTATAAAATTTTCTAGGAGAGTTAGCCACCCCTCACATCCCCCACAAAACAAAAGAAAATATTCTGAATTTCATGTATTGTCTCAGACATTTTTTAAGTGCCCAGACATCATCAAATAGCACCTTGATATGGTCAATGTTTCTGGGGGACAACCCCTTGCTCCTCTACTGGCACCACACCCCACTTCACCCTCTCATCCACTTTGACACCCCCAAAAGAATTTGAAAAATACACATTTTTCTTATTGACTCATAACGCACAGGCGTACCAGAATCCAGATGGTTGCAAATTCGCTCCAAATACAACCAAATTTCAAAATTTTCCTGGGGGAGAACCCCCAGACCCCCCTGAATGCTCGGTTTTTTATTCACTCAACTCTTACTCCCATGGTGGTGGCGTACTACTTGGAAACTTACACTTTGAAAGTGCCCAGAAAGCACCAAATAGCATCTCAAAACTGTAAAATTTTCTAGGGGGAGTGGACCACTCCTCACACCCCCCACAAAACAATTGGAAGTTGCATTTGTTAATTCCAAACCAATATAGGGAGTAACTGAGCCCCCCCCCCCCCTCTGACTTACGCGATTTGATTTATGCGGCAAAAATTGACAATTTTATATTCTCTTAAGTAAGCTAAAAACCGCACCCCCCTTGGAGAAAAGTGTCTTACGGGCCTGGTTTTCAGTGTTGAAAACAATAATGAGTCAAATCTAAGAATCCTCAAAGGCAAAAGGGCCATCATTATTGCAAATAATACAAATGTAGACATTTTCAGTGTTTATGAATCTCTTATTTAAGATATTATTTCATCATCTTGTACATTCAGTGATCTCCACAGGATTTTTCTCAAGTGGGTGCAAAATTCTCATTTTCACAATTCAGACCAACATTGGTCAAAATATGCCAATTTTTCATAATTTTTCAAATTTTCAAGTGAGTTCAAATGGATTTTCAGGTGGATGCAAACCTATTTTTAAAATCTCAGGTGGGTACTGCGCCTACTTGCTTTAATGCTTGGGAGATTACTGTCATTAATTCACTGCATTCCATTTATTTACATAAATACGTTTTTTGGCAAATAAAGTATTTTAAAAATGTTTCAGATTAAGCTATAAAATGTCAGATAATTGCAGATATATAAATATTTTAAATAAGCTTTGTCCTGCAAAGTGCTTGATATTTATCTAGATATATATAAGCTTGAAGACTAATGTGCATACATTATCAATATCATTATTGTCACTGTTCCTCAACTAGTTACTTTGATGGAACGTCGTCAATGTAGCAAAATGGATGAACTTCCTGGATACAAGTTTTTTGTTTTCTCGTTTTAAACTTATGTATAACTCATGTTGCGAATTATCATTTGGAACAATTTATTCTAGCTTTTAGAAATGCTCTCGGTTTGGAATTTGATTTTTAAATAAAGCTCTAATTCATGCATTTAGACCATCACTTGTAAGTCATCAAAATAACATACATTGATAATATAACAGACTTTTGTCCATGTAACAAAAGGGAGGGGCTAAATATATGAATTGCAACTTCATTTACAAAACAAATTCCAAATCGAAGAAACTTATTAAAACTAGACTATATTTTCTTCCTTTGTGCCAAATTATAATCTGCAACTTGACATATAAGTAGGTTTAAATAGAGAAAACAAAAAACTTGTAACCAGGAAATTCATCCATTTTGTTACATTGACGTTAAAGTAACTAGTTGTACAAATGTCCATGTGTTTCTCTGGAATATTGATGATAATAATGGTGCTTTCTATGACTTTTATATTCCATTTGTATACAACTTAGTGTGGCAGTATTCAAGGCCTGGAGTCGAGTAATTACTACTGTACAGATGAAGCTCTCTTTAAAGTAGGAAATTAGTCTATTGGTAAACTGTTATAATGTTACATGTCAGAGAGCTTAAAAGATACAGATTTTAACTTTTCCATGTTATCTATTTATCGGCATCTTAAGTTGCCTGTAGCTACAGCCATGGTTGTGGCTCATAATGAAAATGTTCCATTTTCCGTAGCTATATTCATGGTTCTGGCTTATTAGGTAACTGTATTGTTTCTTTGGGAAATGTCAAGAGCTACATTAGCATAAGTGGGATTGTCAATGTTGTTTATTTCTGCATAGGTTGGAGGAGTCAGTGGGACTTTTGTTGTTGCCATGGCAGTATTGTAGCCTAGAGAAAATAAAATAATTGTCTTGTTTATATTGTATCTTAAATAATATATTCTACATCTACGTGTAAATAAAAACCTTTGGTAAGATATTTGAATTTTTAAAGTTGACCCATGCATACTGGTTTAAGCTTTAACATCAAGCAAGTAAATTGGAATATAAATTGAAATCTGCATTAGAAAACAGTTTTAGAAATATCACCAAATATATGAATTCAATAATAAGCTCCTTACATGGTGGAGGATCTGATGGTCCTTGGGCACCGAGAATCTCATTGTAAACAGGGTTTGATATGTTTGCAGGTCCAGGTGTATCGTAATCCGCATTGTTACGCAGTCTGGTATTCTCTGCCTTGAGTCGAGCATTTCGTCTGAAATTTATAATGACATTTTAATTTTGCTGAGAAAGGCCACTCATTTTTTCATGACGTGAGATCACAATATGGGATCATCAGTGCATTTTATAATGTATCAACTTTGTATTTGTATTGACAATGCTTTATGCTATGTTTTAAGCTTTGTTTTTGCAGAGTAAGTTTCAATCATAGACCAGTAAAGGACATAGAACGTAAACTTATTACCTTGCATATGAAGTGCAGGAATTATATAATAGTCCAGATTCACGAAATTCTAACTTGTATTAACAGAGTAAGATATATTGAATTATCCAGGGGTTTCATTAGCAGCAGGTGATTTTCACAGGTTGTTTTCACAAAATCGCTTGTTGTTTTTTAGGGACTTAAATTTGTGATTTCCATTAATTTTGCCTGTTGTTTTCATTTATTATCCCATCGAACGAAGTTCGGAGGGATATAGGGATATAGGGAACGCCTCCATCCGGCTGGCCGTTCGTCCGGGCAATAACTGGCCCCAATAACTTAGCTCATTTACAGATTACAGATTTTACAGTCATTTAGGTGCAATATGTAAAACGGTTATAGCAATATGTTTTAAATGTAAAAAAATTATATAGGACATTATTAAAGCTAGAAATGTAGATATTAAAGAAGCATATGGCAGCCATCTTGAAAAATGGCGTTATTTTACGATTTTTGCTGTAACTCGAAAAATAGTGGAGCGATTTTGTTCATATTCGGTATGTGAATATACTTTTGGTAGAAGGCGGCCATTTTGAAAAATGGCCACCATTTTGAAAAATGGCCGCCATTTAACATATTTTACTATAACTCGAAAAGTAGTGGAGCGATTTTGTTCATATTTGGTATGTGAATACTATAAGCGTGCCTTACTGTCTACTGACACTTGGTAGAAGGCGGCCATTTTGGAAAATGGCTGCCATTCTAACGTATTTTACTATAACTCGAAAAGTATTGGAGCGATTATGTTCATATTTGGTATGTGAATACTATAAGCATGGCTTACTGTCAAATGACACTTTTGGTAGAAGGCGGCCATTTTGAAAAATGGCTGCCATTTCGCTATATACTTTGTTTGTAAATATGCTAGCCATGGCTGTTCGATGGGATTTGCTATGCTTTGGCGTTGCTGTTGTCTAGTTTAGCCTGTGTGAGCAACTGTAGTGAAACCCCTGGGTATCTATGATATTTACCTGTAGAGACACAGACTAAGGATGACGACTGCAACAACCACTATTAACAATACCACACTTGCAATTGAGGCAACCATTACTATATGAGCTGAAATATAAATGCATTCAATGTAATATATATGACCACTATTAACAATACCACACTTTTTATAACAACTTTCATTCAGTTGATTGGAGTCTGGTGTCCTTACATATCAAAAAGGACATTTTTATTTTCAGAACTTCTATATATATATATATGTTCTTCTTAGTAATTAATATACATCCTTGTGCCATACCTGAACTTAAAGCACCACTGCCAACATGTTCGCCAACTATTGGTGAATTTTCTTGTGGTTCGGCTGTTGTTTGAGGCCATGTGACAACTGTTGTTTGAGGCCTAGTGACAACTTTTGTTTGAGGCCATGTGACAACTGTTGTTTGAGGCCTAGTGACAACTGTTGTTTGAGGCCATGTGACAACTGTTGTTTGTGGCCTAGTGACAACTGTTGTTTGTGGCCTAGTAACATCTGTTGTTTGAGGCCTAGTGACAACTGTTGTTTGAGGCCAAGTGACATCTGTTGTTTGAGGCCTAGTGACAACTGTTGTTTCAGGCCTTGTGACATCTGTTGTTTCAGGCGTTGTAACATAAGTTGTTCTATGTGAAGTAATTGGCTTGGTTTCTGACTCAGTGCGTGGCAAGGATCTAGTAGACACTAGAAAACAGAGTTTTCAGATGACATTTTCAGACTGCCTGACAAATTGAACAAATAAAGTACATATAAAGCTGCAGTTAAATTGACCATAAATATTCTCTGTATTTATACTTTTATATATAAGAATTGCATTCATACCTATCTCTGTACAAACTGGTGGATTAAGACTCCATAGGCCATCTTTCTGACAAATAGCTTCAAGATAAACATCATCGTCATCATTTGCCAATGCATGACTGAAGCCTTCCATACAACCAAACTGAGCCATTGACCCAAATGTTGTTGCATTATTTGGAAGCATTATCTTCACATTCTCACCACCAGTTGGATTACCACAATCAACCTCTGCAATGGAATTACAGTTTCTTTGTTTTTTGTAAATACAATTTGCAGATAGGTATTGACATGTAATCTGGAGGTTGTGGGTTCGATACCCACCAAGGTGGAGTGACTTTTTCACATTAGCCCTTAGCAAAGGATTTTATCCTATGTTTTCAGATTCACTGATAGGTACTTTTAGATTATTGCAACATTAATTACAATTAAAGGATTAATTCCTGAGATCTAGATCAATAAATAGGACTTTGAAATGTGGTTTGGGAGGGGGTTATTAACGTAACCTGAGATGATAATAAGTTACCTTGGCAATCAGGATGTACCCCATCCCACAGTCCACTGGGGAGACATTGGCGAATAAATGTAGTACGGTTCTTATTTGAAGGTGTATATCCATCATTGCAAGATAGTGTGATCTCAGCTCCAATTGCCCTGCTAGACCCAGACATCCAACCATTCTCTGGCACCTCTAATGGGTCACAGGATGTAGCCACTATGGGTTCTGTATCAATTCAAAAATTATAAATACTGTATACATTTTGGAATAATTTATTTAGGTTGCATTCATTTTTTGGTAGTTATTCCATGCTTTTTTTATTAATTTTATGGAGTACACCTTGGTAGCATGGTATAAGTTAAGGGTAAAATAACTTTATTCAAAAAGATTCCTTACCATACTGACAAATGTGACCACCTCGATGGTCACAGTTCTTCGACCAACCCCAATTAAAGTATTGGCCATAATAACGTGTGGTAATAAATAAGTAAAAGCAACTACCAGCCTCATAGTACCAACTACCAATATAGTCTTCATCAGCTGAAAAGGAAAAAGAGATTAGTAATGCATTTTTGATCAATAAGATCTAAATAGACTGAATGTAGCTTTCGTGACCATTTATGGATCTTGAATATAGAATGAATAGTCTGTAGAAAATGAAGCATTGTGATTTTCTGGATAAACATTCTCAAAAGATAAAAGAATTGTCTCAAATTTAAAGTTTTTATGTAGATGAGGCGATAGTTTTTAAGAGTGATATATTGAAGAAAAAGAGCATATCCCACTTTTAAACCAGTATGTGTTCTGGACATGGTGAATATTCCATTGCAATTTTGCATGTTGTACTACCAGACTCCATATGTCATTGTTGATAACCATTGCCATGCTGCCATGTTTCTCCAAACATTTCTGTTCAGCTTCAGTATAGCTGTATTGTTGCTCATCATGGAACTCATAACACATAGGACCAATAACATACATTGTATTTGTTGTATGGGGACAAAGTGTCCTGTCGACATCTGCAATTATAATATAATTTTAAGTCTTGATAACCAATGAGATTTACCAGCAGGAGAAATATGTTTACTTTATTAAAATGTATATGTTTTATCATGTTTTGAAACAATTTTTATTAGTATAACTGGTAGGGGATTTGATAATGTTTATCAACTGCAGGTGAAAAACTCTTATGTTTATAGCTACTTACAACAAGATGGTGGGTGACCCAGCCATCTATATCGGTGATAGTTATCATCCCATCCGCAATGACGTATTGCATCCCCGTGGATCAAGAATTTAACATCACACGTATATGTAGCAGTTGTCCCTACTATCCGGTCATTATTTGATACCATCACATTTCCATTTGAGATATCTTCTAGGGGGGCGCATGTTGCTAATAATACATTTAAGGAAAAACTAATTGTTTTTTATGTTAACATACCACTGTTTTCAGAAGACATTTTAGGAGGCCGCCATTTTGACCATTGCTGCTATTTTATTATATCCTAAGTTCAAGGTCAAATTATTAAATAGTGAACCTTCAGTAAAAAATAATGATTCACTTATAAATTCAAAGAATGTCCCCTGAGCGATTTACATTATAGACATCATTATTTACATCATGGTTCATTATATATATTTACCATATTCATACCTGTGCCACATTCATAATTTACAGTATGGCATGTCAGCCTGCTACATCCAGAGATCCTATATCTTTTTAAACGCCATAAACAGGAGTGTTTTGCATTACATTCCTCCATGACATCAGAGGTTATACTCTTTTGATATCCTGAGCCACATCTATGTGATGGTGGGCTCGCAACTGCACTTTTAATGTCAATAACTTTCCCAGTGGGGCAGTCTATATGTATGTGGTTGTTGAAGATCAAATCCCACCATGAAGATGAGCGACATTGACGCACCTCCACAGATGTTCCATCTATCATCAATACACACTCACCTGTATATAACAGACCAAAATATTCATATTTTTTAGAATATTGTCAAAGTTTTTTCAGTATTGATTATTGAGCATTTTATAACCTAGCAGATGTGAAACATGTTAGCAGATGACATTCTTGAAATATTATGATACTAATTGGGTGTTTAATATTCATGGAATTATGATCAATTTTAGCTAGTACCAGTAGCATTTAGATTCAACAGGTTTCACTGTATATCATATATATTGAACCCCTGATTAGCAAATTTGCTTCTTTTCGATTTAGATTTTTTCAATCTTAAATCAAACTTGATATCATTAAAAAAAACTGTGTGGATAAATAATTTATCTAAATATATTGACATAACATACACTTATCATTCTGTGTCATTGTACTTTATGTATTTGTTTGTTTCTTATGGCAAATAATTTGAAGCATTGTGCCAACAAGAATCTCAGCATGAAAACATGTGTTAAGTGAATGACAGTATACATATGTCATATAAGGTGATCTTTATTGAAATTTAATTTCTTGATTTAAACTTAATTGCAGATACAGTTCCATTTATTTATAGTGTGATTTAAAAAGAATTTGTGAAATGGTGCCATGACATTATGTCAGATAATTTCATTTGTTACATAACACATATTAAATAACTATTAAATGTATTCATGAATTAATAAATTTTTGTGTGGAGAGAACAATTATTTTTACATTTATGGTTGATTTTTTAATGTCTTCAGTATTGTTTAACTAGAAGAATATTAAATGCATGTATTTGAATAGATATATTGGTAAGTATATAAAACATAAAAAATGTAGAGAGGTATAAGTACTGTATTGGTAGGCAATACGCACGTGTCATGAAATGTGTGAAATCTTTTTTATAAAGACCTTTCATGTCATGAAAAAAATATATTACCAAACCATTTTAAAGTCAATCTAAATGTGTCTTTGTTCTCTCTTTTAATATGTCATTTTGACCAAACATGACTATGTATATTTGATTTTCTCAACCATTTCTTGAAAATTGAATTCAAAATATTGACACTTGATAAGTGGTTCATATTTAAAGTTGATATGTTGCAGCTACATCCTGGTTCGTTGGAAAGAGGCCATTGATATATTTTACTTTTAAAACAAGTGTTATATTAATCAGACTTAAAATAAATTATAACAAGACTTACAACAAAGTTTACTTCAGCCTAGAACATAGTCGTACATTTCCCAAAATGAACATCAGATTGATTGAAATATAGTTATTCATGTATAGATGGATTTATAGATAAATAGGAACATTAATTCTACATTTGTATGTTCAATAGAAATTATGGTCCTTAGAGATATTAATAGTCTCTTACTTAGTCCCTAAATGAACATTAACAATACATAACCATTACATAAGATACATATATGCATGCAATTTAAAGGACAATTCTCGGTTTGGAGAACAAAGTTCATCAATCTAAATGAGCATTATCCCTGCTTCTGACACATTTGATTTTTTTACATAATATAGATTTTAATGTCTTCTTTTGAATAGTCATAATTTAATTTGGGTAATATTTCTAGATTTTTTGCAAAAAATATTAGCGCAGTACACTGATGAACTTCTTTCCCCAAATCGAGACTTGTATTTTATTGAATCGGTCTAATTGAGCGTTATCCCTGCTTCACACGCCCGGTGATCGTGAATATGGGACGGAGGGGGGAGCAGGCAATTTCTGCTAAGAAATTCAACAAATCTGGAAGATTCATTTTTTCAAGAAAAAGTTTACTATTGAATTGCTAAATGGATAGGCGCACGGTATGGTAGAATATGTTAGGTTTTCTGGGATTTTTTTCTGAAACGATACGCATCTAAGGTATGAGATCTATTAAAAAAGGCGCAAGGCCATCAACAGGCACAAATCAACGTTTTTGCTATTTATCAAGCAACAATGGTCTGGACGACCTGTAATAAATACTTGTAAGTGATGTTATCATAACTAAATAACCCTCCCCCCTCCGTCCCATTTTAATTATTTTCGATTATTTTTTATTTTACGTATGGAAACTTATTTTATAAATTCAGCAACGACATTAATTTAGTTATGATAACATCACTTACAAGTATTTATTACAGGTCGTCCAGACCATTGTTGCTTGATTTAAAGCAAAAACGTTGATTTGTGCCTGTTGATGGCCTTGCGCCTTTTTTTTAATAGATCTCATACCTTAGATGCGTATCGTTTCAGAAAAAATCCCAGAAAACCTAACATATTCTAACATACCGTGCGCCTATCCATTTAGCAATTCAATAGTAAACTTTTTCTTGACAGCGTTACATTTTCTGAACATCAAATATTTAATTCTTTTGATATGAATACATTTGCATTTAGTTTTTCCTCGAAGTCTGAAAGGAAAGTAGATGTAGAATATTATCTTTTTACAAACAGATTTTGAATTCTCTTTTTTTAGAATTTAATTTCATAAATTAAGCATTTGAGATCCCTGAATTTGCATTCATATACAGTGTATGTATGATTCGTTAGCATTGAAACCTGACATTAAATGCCTGCCTTCACTCATATGTATAATTGATTGTTTCATGTATATGTTTTCTATATGAACTAATATGAGTGATAAATGAAATATTTGATTTATCACATAGTAGCATAAAGACAGTATTGCAAAACTGAACTTTCTTGGATCACCAAATCCTATCATTCACGGAACTCCATTCACGAGTATACTTGTTTTTGGGCTTTTGATTATATAAGTTTGCATAATCAGGATTTTGCACTTTCATTGCGTAATATTATACAATGGTTATGTAATCGTTTCTTTTGTATACAATTACATAACCTTTTTATCAATAGATAGCCATCATATCTCCCCATGCCAAAAAGTTTTGTAAATATGTTATATTTTATATAATAAATCTATAGAAACTTACACATGTTCTTTGGATATAAATTGGGATTTAACAAGTTTGTTAAATCTGGTTTATATCATGGGAGAACGGTGCCTGTCCTAGCATCTCAATCAATTAATTAATTAAAAATCTGTTGACAGATCCAATTAGGCCAGGACAATAACTTATCTTAAAGCTATACCGCCTGTCCTGTGGTAGTTTGGTTTACACAGTCTTAACTTCGCATCTTTGGGGAAGTCGGACGCTTACCCACCGCCACCCCTTCGCCCCCTTAATAGGGGATATCGGGTGGCCTGGACTTGGAGGTGACTATCTATCCCTTCAGAAGCATTTTCTTGGGCTATTGTCCCAAAGATTTTGATTATATAAGTTTGCATAATAAGAATTTTGCGCTTTCATTGCGTAATATTATTGCGTAATCGTTTCTTGTGTATACAATTACGCAACCTTTTTATCGATAGATAGCCATCTCCCCATGCCAAAAAGTTTCGTAAATATGTTATATTTTATATAATAAATCGATAGAAACTTACACATGTTCTTTGGATATAAATCATAAAAGATGCACACTGGTTATTCCCTTAATAAAACAAAACATATGTACAATATTATCTCACCTATAAAAGCTGCTAACAGCAAGAATATATGAAGTATTTTCATGTTTGTGCTATAACTGGAACTGCAGTGTCCTTTATTGTCCTGTTATTCACAATTGTAAATCCTGTCACAAAATTTCCAGAATTTCCGCGAACTACTTCCTCAAAGACTTAGCGTGAATGGTTCAATGATAGGTTAGTTTAAGACATGTAATCATATCTTGATATAGCCCTTGTATGTCCAATTTGGTACCTATTGCAAATGCTGTCCTGGAGTTTCCAAGAAGTACTTAAAAGTATGAATGCTTGAATGACAGCATTGATAAACATTCAAATTCATATCAACATTAAGGCAACACATTTAAGTGCATCGAATTTGTTCTGTTCCAATAAGACGATCATGCACTGTTCAATAATGTATGATAACATCCAATCTTTAATGAAGTCTACAAGTACATGCATCCATTACATATGCTTTCTTCTGTGTTTCATAAGTAAAATTTTTATGACTGTTACTGTCACGATAACATCCTAATTGAAAATCACTGAAGTGTTTATTTAAGTATTCCCTGCGATCAGGACATAAAGATGTGTTTTGAATTTCAGGTTCAAACTGCGCATTAAATCACTTCAGTCACTTAGCTGTGAACTAGATTTATGTTTACCTGTATTTGGTTAGGTTTATAGCCTTCTTAGGAAACACTGTTATTTACAATGAATTTTGTTAAAAAAGTTTTCGTGCTTGTGTTTGCTAAAAGGACAACTGATGTTTAGCTATAATGTTATTGTAAGAATTTTCAGTTTTAATAAATGGAGAGTCGATATAGTTCTACAGTATATATGAGTATGTAACTGAAAACAATGTGTGATCAACATTGAAATGAATATATATTATGTACTGTATATATTGCTTGAATAAGTGTTTACCTAGATTTTTAGTAAATACTGTATGATTTGTAATAGTGTGAAGGCTTTACGATTTAAATTGTATTTTAAAATGTTAGCCTTTTAGATGGATTGTATCTTTGATCAATATTAATGCGTTGAACATCAAGACTTGAGATGCGATCAATAAAAAGTATTTTTAATTTATTGAATCTATCACTCTTGCAGATAAATTAGATATATCTTGTAATATCTTTTTTAAATGTACCATGGAACTATGTTTCTTTTTATTCTAAATTTGCATTCATATTTTTACTAGAAGGAGAAACAATAAAAGCGATACAGCTTTGCTCAGGGAATTTTGAGATGACCAGACTTTGATACCACAAAACATGAATTTAGTTTATAAGGGCTTACTGGTAGCGCTGACTTGTGTTGGACAAATGAAAACTGCATAGTAACTTCAGAACGTAGTCATATTATGGGTCCATACTGGTAATTTACATCATACACATAGTAATTCCAAGCGCCTATCTTGGACTTGTTTTGGAGAAATCTATTTTTCACAATATATGCCTTCTAAATGATGTCATGCAGTTGTACAAGATGATACTTAATTTTAACAATATGGTTAACAAATAATCAAGGACTATTGGCCCAATACTATAAAAAACAATATTGACAGGTTGAAAACCTTATAATAAAGATTTGAAATAAAAAGTTTATAGAGCTCCTATAAATTATGTATACTTAATGTCTAATTATATGGCTCAGTGTGTCTATAAATGCCACCTAGTTCAGTCAAGGTCAATGTGAAAAGGATTTTAATGATAAAAACAAATCACAACCATGTGCATGTATAAACACTGTTCTAGAATTATTTACAACTTCGTATTTATCTCAATTATTATACAATGAATAGCTGTCAAATGAGGCAAATGAGGCAAACAAGAGGCAGTAGTTATATACTGTACATGTATTTGCAAAGTGAACTCAACACAATTACACTTGATTGTTAGTTTCACCAGGAGTAGTACCCTAACCCTGATCATCCCATGAGCAGATGCATTTTACTCTACATTTACCATATGAAACACTCATTACGTCATTATATATTACATGCAGAGAACCTCCTAGCCAGTTCATGCTACCAAAATCAGCTCATGACATCTTTGAGGTCTGGATTCAACCCCTGATCTTGATTTTCTAAATCTTGTATTGTTTGTGATTTCAGAGCTGTCTGCTGCTGAGCAGTCTCTTTTGAGGAAGAAACTCTCCAATCAATTGGTGGCCACAAAAGCTGATTTAGAAATTCTGCAAAAAGACCCCAACTCTCCACTTTATTCCGTTAAATCCTTCGAAGCATTGAATCTGTAAGTTATTATGTCATAATGCTCAGGGACACTGTATGTATTCATGAAATGTTTTCATGTCTACATTTTTTTATGTTTTTAAGATTTTTAAGTTATGAATTAATTGATTTGTCAATGTCTTGCTATCCTATCAAAATAAACATCTCCAAAAAAAATTATGAATTGTTTATTTGTTTTTAGCAAACCAGAATTACTGAAGGGTGTATATGAGATGGGTTTCAACAGTCCATCAAAGATTCAAGAAACAGCCCTACCCACACTGCTAGCAGATCCGTAAGTTTTATGGAACATTAAGGGAATTCCAGAATTGACAGTTTCAGATGTTTGTTTATTATGTCACCACCACACATGTAAACATATCGTTATGGTCTCCAACTTTTTTGTACTTGGTTTTCGGTGGTTGATGTTTGGTGTTTGGCAGTCAGTGTCTGTAACAAATGGCTGGTGGTGATATTTTCCATGTTAATGCCTTGTTGGTTATTGCTATGTCATGGTATATGTGTTAATCAGGCATCAAGATTTGTTTTTAGCTACAAGCTAGTTGTTTATTTGTACATGTTGTCATGGTTTTGTGACCAGTATTCAGCATCCATAACAATATGTCACACTTGGTAACAATAACTTACCAGTTGGTCTTGTCATATTTAATACCTTAAGTATACATTTCTTGTAAAAAAATACACTTCGAGATGTACACTTACAATGGAATAAAATGTAGAACACAATTTGTATTTTAGGCCCATGAACATGATAGCCCAGTCACAGAGTGGTACAGGAAAGACGGCAGCATTTGTGCTTACTATGCTTAGTAGAGTAGACACATCCAAGCCATATACTCAGGTAACATACATACATATTATCAGTATTCTTCCCAGTATTAATGCAAGTGGTCACTGACTGATATTTGAGAATAGGCTTGTATACCTCTGAAAGCCTAGCTAGTTGCACCATCACCTTTGAAGTCTTACCTCAAAATAAAAGGTAAATCTAAATGATCACCAATGAAATAGATTCTAAAATCGTATCTGAGTCATTCATTTGAGGTATTGCTTTCATCAAGATTCTGTTAATGTCTTTTTAGTGTATCTGTTTATCACCAACATTTGAGCTGGCTCTACAAACAGGCAAGGTTACGGAACAGATGGCTAAACACATGACTAGTCTTAAAGTCTGCTATGCTGTCAGAGGGGAAAGAGGTAAACCAGACTTACTTGATACGACTAGATAATATGACTGAGATAATAAAAAAAGAAAATATGATCTTAATATAATATTCAAAGAGCAACCATTTGAATCATATGGCCTAAAAATCAAATCTTCCTCATAAATGTAATGCAGAACTGTTTAGATTTAGATTTCACCCTAAGCCTAATTAGAGAGAGCTCCATTCTATCATTTTATCTACATTAGACTATTGATTCTGATTAATTTGGAATGGATTTTGTAAACCTTTTGTTGGGAATATACACACCCACTCATGTATACACACCCACTCATGTATTGTATATTTGTGTGTATCTAAAAGGAAATAAACTTAAAGCCCCACTATGCTTACTTCAGAAGAAAAAAAGGATAAAATAATCAGTGAAACATGTTACTCACATACTAAATCAAATATGATACAAAGATTGATTTTCTATAATATTGAACCTAGAAAAAAATAACACACTTAGACTAAAGCATTTGAAGTTCAGAGATGATTAGTGGTGCACGCCCGTGTTTGACAAAGTGCAAGTTTTAAATGACCCTTGATTTAAGCACTTCTACAAAAATGAATGGATCCTGTGATACAAACAATTTCACCATCTTTCATTGACATTGGTAAAAACTTGATATGCAAAACTTGACAGATCTAAAGTATTTTTTGATAATATATTGTAAGCTTTTATGTGGCCCGTTTGAGCTGTTTATGGTGTCCAATAAAAGATAAAGTACTTATCAATCTATTGGAAATACTATCGTATTCTCTGTAATTACCGCCCACTCTCTAATAAGCGCCCACCCCGCTTCACAAAGTTCAAGAAACATCGAGGAATCATAATAATCCATAATGAATGAAGGAATTGTTCTTTATCGGCATTCAGAAATTTCAAAAGCTACTGCGCAGATGTTCTGCGCATGTCAAGGTCGTGAACTTTCTGGTTTCTTTTTAATGTTTCTCGACTTTTACACGACTTTTGCACGAATAATGATGATCTCTCATCAAATTAGAAATAATGTATAACTTTAGATCGATATCCAGCAGTCTCTAGTGGAAATATTGAAGGTAATCGGCGATAATGACAAAGTGGGCATGCCGGAAATAAATTAGACATAGACGGGTCTTCAACCACTGTCAATATTGTCTAAGCGATCTTTACCGTATTCTCTCCAATAACAGCACTTGTCATATTATTATAAAAATATGTTGAAGAAAATGCATTCTTGTCAAGAAAAATTGCCATACATGAAATTCCTCGGGATTTCTGATTTCTTTCATACATGGGCGCTTATTAGAATGGTCTAAATAATGTATTTTCAATTTTCTAAACGCCCTGGGCGCTAATTACAGAGAATACGGTAGTTGAAAATAAGCATAGTAGGCCTTTAAACATAAACATGTATAATAACATTTTCTTAGTTGAATTATTTGAATATTATGCTTCAGTATCAAGGGGTCAGAAGATAGACTCTCACATAATCATTGGCACCCCTGGTACACTACTTGACTGGTGTATTAAGTTCAAGGTGATTGACATGAAGAGAGTAGATGTGTTTGTACTGGATGAGGCAGATGTCATGATAGCAACGCAAGGCCACCAGGACCAGAGTATCAGAATACAAAAGTGAGACACTTCTCATCTGTTTTGTAATGCATTCCATTTATATAATCACAATTATGTAATGGTAAGATGGTAACAGGCTATTCCATTTTGAGTGGCCCATTTTTCAAAATGTTTTGCTCTTCTTATAAAAGTTATGGGGATAATCGATTTTTAAAATGTACTAATGAGTCAAAGAAGAGAATAAATTTTGAATTGCTTGACTTGATAACATTACATTGGCATAGAACTTATTTCTGAAACTATACTGTACATTACCATTTAATAATTATATTTTGATATTCCAGAACATTGCGGAAAGACTGTCAAATGCTTTTGTTCAGTGCCACCTATGAGCAGGATGTTATGCAGTTTGCCAAAGCTGTCGTACCTAACCCTGTAATCATCTCACTTCGCAGAGAAGAAGAGAGTTTATCAAATATTAAACAATACTACATAAACTGTAAAGATAAAGAAGCTAAATTTCAAGCTCTCTCCAACATCTATGGTGCAATTACTGTTGGCCAGTCGATGATCTTTTGTCATGTAAGTTTTTCCATCATGCTCGATCTAAACTTTTTAGTGCGTGTACATTAAGAGATCTCAGATTGTGATTGCCTATACCCACCACAGTATGGCTTACCTGAAAACTGTTTGCTGTTAACCAGTTTTAGACAAATTCACCTAAACAAATATAATTCTCATACAAGTCAACCATACACGTGTTATATACACTGATCACCCGAACCCTTTTTTATGTCACCACCAAAAGTGGTGGCATATTGTTATGGTCTCCACTTTTTTGTGACGGCAGTTTGTGGTTGGGGGGCAGCGGTTGGCATCCGGCATCTGTAACAAATTCTAAAAACTTCCAAAAACTTAACAAATTTGACTGACTTCAATTTTTTTCAAAATGATCTACAAGTTCTCAGAAGTTCAAATCTGACTTTAGATTTTTAGATTTGACATTCAGTGACCTTCTCAAGGTAAAAAATGTATTTTTCTTGTTTGAACTTGACCAAAGTTCACAGAGGTTCAAATCTCACTTTAGATTTGAGATTTGACTTTCAATGATCCTTTTAAGGTAAAAAAAGGTCAAAAAGGTATTTTTTCAACTTGCTTCGAATTGATCAATTTTTTTAGAATCATCTCTCAGAATTTCTAATCTGATTTTAGATTTAAGACTTGACCTTCACTGACCTTCTCAGTCAAGGTAAAATGGTCAAAAAGGTATTTTTCAACTTGATTCAAATTGACCAATTTTTTCAAAATCATCTACAAGTTCTCAGAGGTTCAAAGATTGAACTCATAATATCGTGAGCAACTAGGTGGTGACATTTTGTCATGTTAATGCCCTGTACTATTTCTTGTATTTATGGTGTGAGTAACTCAGTTTATGACAGTGCTTCATGTTTTGTATTTGTATACTTCAGACAAGGAGAACAGCAGCTTGGTTGTGTGAGAAGATGATAGCTGAGGGTCATGCTGTAGCACTGCTCAGTGGAGAGCTCACTGTGGAACAGAGGGCAGCTGTTATAGAACGGTTCAGAGATGGCAAAGAGAAAGTACTCATAACAACCAATCTCTCAGCCAGAGGTGAGATACAAAAGTGATATTTGTGTAGCAATGTTTATTCAAATTTGAGATCTGCTGGCACTAAGAGGTGACCAATCTAGACAAATAACATGTATAGAGAAAAAATATATGTTTAGCTAAAAATTAGAAAGGCATAGTGAAAAAACAATGTCTGTAGGTTATAGGGTTCATATCTATAATGCTATTGAGTAAATGGAATGAGACATTCAGGTGTAAATGTCATAATCTCATGGTGACAAATTGTTTCACCCTCCATTTATTGTTGCTAGTCTCAAGCAGGCAGGATCTGTAACAATTGTTACACTTTTGTAATCAAATGTAATAAGTTACCCATCCTCCTAAGCAGGTATCCAGAATCCGTACCTCCTTCTTCCCCCTGCTATAACCAATTTGGAAGCGCCAGATTAAACTGAATCACGTGATCTAATTATGCGCAATGACTTATACATAATTTCTGTCGACAGCCAATCAGATTGCGAGTTCTTAATCGGGGAAATTCTAACTGTTTATCGCAGGGGTTAAAAAGAAAGAATATATTCTGGATTTTGAAGCCCTGTGATCGGAGGATGTAAGTTACCAGGTGGCGATGTTTTGACATGTTATGTCAGCATCCCCTGTTTGTGCTTTAACAGCATAAGTATGAAATTAATAGAGGATATCAGTTTTTGCAGGATATTATTTTTATCCATGAGTAGATGTTCATCTCTAAAAGTAAGTTATGTGGAGACATATGTTTGCATTAATTAATTAATTTATCATTGAAGATTTAAAAGACAAACATCTTCTACACTAAACACTGTCTATCCTTGTTATATTTATATTTTCAGGTATTGATATCGAACAAGTGACTGTTGTGGTGAACTTTGACCTCCCAGTGAACACCCAACACCAAGCAGATTGTGAAACATACCTACACAGAATTGGGCGTACAGGGAGGTTTGGCAAAAATGGAATAGCTCTCAACTTTGTAGATGGGCACAGGTCAATGCAAATCTTGAAATGTATAGAATCACATTTTAGTAAGTATTTTATACATACACTTGCTATATCTCTGTTTGTGACATAAATAATATTCATAAATCCCATTCCTGTTGTCCCTGTTTGCTTTCCTGAAATGTATGATCTCTTCTAGTTTTAGAGTCATTTTTGGCTCTTTATTTTAAATGTTCAGTGTCATATTTTTGGTATTGAAATGTGATAGAGTTTCATGCCATGTACTCAAAATTGACAAATCAGGAATCCTGTTGCATATTTTTATGTACATGATTTGGTTTTACCCCTACCCATATCACAAAATTTAAAAAATATTATTATCAATTTTTATTTCAGGTTTAGCAGCATTGGTTTTTTGGCCCACCCTGTTTATCACTTTTTTCCAAATATAATATTACTTGAAATGATGGTTTCTACATTTAATGTAGATTCCTTAGAGTGTTAATTACAAGAAAAAAAATTAGAAAAATTCACAATTAGAGATGTTATAATAAATAAAGTTTTCAGGGGGAGGGGGCTCAAGTTCAAAACTAAATTTATTTAGTTTCCTATCAGACATTGATATTTTGAAGCCATCCTTTACATATCATTTATATGTCTACATTATAAGGCTTATGATATAAACTTAATTTTACTATTTCCAGATCGTGCCATAAATAAACTGGATGCTGAAGATTTTGATGAAATTGAAAAGATCGGACAATGATAGTACTGTGAAGATTCCTCTTATAACACGATTGTGTGTTATGTGGACAATGAGATACTGTTCATTATTAGATGTATATACTGACTATCTGGGCTGTGTAACTGTTACATCATGATCTGGACAGAACATTGGGAAATATTTTAATTGTTCTTGGAACTCTTCCTCATTATGAACTCTCAGGTCTCAAGTTAGAAAGTTCATAAAACTATGGTAACATAGTATTTTAAAGCAAGTTGTATAAGCTTCATTTATGGTTGAAGGATGTAGTAATGATATTTTTTACTTCAGGCCTAACTTAGTATATTTGGAATTTGTCCTATATATGTAGATATATTATCTATACGTATTGATAGATGTCACCTTGGTCACAAGTGTAACATAAACTGATAATGTCCAGTCTGTTTAGTTACACATTTCCATCCTTTGTACAACTTCCCAAAACAATCAAATTTGAACCTCCTGAAAAAATGAGACCAATGTTTCTTGATTAAGCTGGAGCATAGTTTGAACTTAAAATGAAGCTGTTAAGTATGCTCACAAATGTGATCCTATCAACAATGGGACATGTTTAAAAGTATTAGTTTTTAAATAAGTGAATAATGTGTGTCTCATATACTTATTTTATTAAAGGTTGACATCCTTCAAGTTCATATCAAAATTGTAGTTGAATATGTTGTTTGTTAGGGATTTATAATGAGAAATACCTTCATGTATATTGACACATTAATGTCTGACTCTTTCCCTTATATTGTCTTTGAAGTTTCATTTAAGGCAAATGATAAGAATAAGTATTCAGCCTCTTCCCTTTTAAGATTATATATGTAAATTTGAATACTTTTGTAAGAAATATTGAAAAATAAAAATACAGAAAACAATATTGGTGACGTAACTTTTATTGAGTTTGTAATAGGCGATGCACCAGATTTGAATGTAGTATTTGTCTTTTGCTTTTTCTCATAACATTGATACCCATAGACTTAAGATGGCAGTAGTATTGGACTTTTGTCATGGCCTTAATCTACTATGAGCTCTATTGACGGCATCAAGAGAGAATGGGAGTTGGCATGTCTACTTTTGGGCCTACTGCTGTTTCATTTTTGTCACCTGTTTCAAAAACTGACCTGCGATCTAAATCATAAAATCAAAATTTATATCACACACAGCCAAATTGTATCACATACAGAATTACACACACTATTTAATTGGCTCAGATTTTGTTGGTTAAGCCCATCACCGGAATTACACTCTGTTTCTCAAAAGTAGCCCTCAATGACCTTATTTTGACATACAAACTGTATGCCTCTCAGACATACTGTAATAAATAAGGATTATTGCTTGATTTATCACTTAATATGCATTTGTACTTGTAAATAGGGGCGGAATGAGATTCTATTAAATATGTCAAGCAGTCATGTTAACTCACATTGTTTTTAAATCATATGAAAATCTTGAATGGGCCCCCAAAACTTGTTACCATTTTCCTCAGTGTTGTAAAAATAGTCAAAACCCGCATCGACAAACTCCTGACATGATATAATGCCATCTTTATCCTCATCAATGTAGTCGAACTGGTACTTCATGTAATTGGGGTCAAGGTCATATATATCCCAGAAAACCTTGAATTCATGTTGGTTTATGACACCATCCCCATCCAAATCCAAAACGTTGAACCATGTTGACATGAACGTCTGGAATAAGGATCGCACGTTCGGACCATTTCTAAAGTTGAAGTCTTCAATGAGCCATTCTGTTAAGTTGTTTGCTGTGTGGAAGTACGGTGGGATATTTTCACAATAGAATGTGTAGACCTCGTCAATTTTGACTCCTTTGAGATTGCCTGAAATGCATATTAATGGAAATAAGTTGAACGTAATAAATTGTTTACGATATTTTAGATTTTGTATCAGGTCTATTTACTAAAACGTTCAATAGTTCTGACTTTATTTCGGGATGATCCTTTTTATTATGTCCCCACCACATAGTGTGGGGCCATATTGTCGGCCTAGGCGCGTCCGTCCGTCCGTACGTCCGGCAGTTTTCTCCAAAACCGCTACAGATATCACCTTCAAATTTTCAGGGTTAACTTATGAGTGCATCTAGATGTGGATGAAAAAAATTTAACTCGATACCTACTTCCTGTCGGCCATTTTGAAGTCAAATGCTAAAATCCTTGTCTGCAAACTTTAAGAAAAATGGCTTCACAGTTGCTTTTGAAACTTTATCATCTTGTTCAGCTCACTTCATTCTAGATCTGATTAGGTTTTGGACCTGTTAGCTCAGTCATGTCAGCCATTTTGAATGTTTTAAGAAAAGGTTAACTTATGAGTGCATCTAGATGTAGATGAAAAAAATTTAACTCGATACCTACTTCCTGTCGGCCATTTTGAAGTCAAATGCTAAAATCCTTGTCTGCAAACTTTAAGAAAAATGGCTTCACAGTTGCTTTTGAAACTTTATCATCTTGTTCAGCTCACTTCATTCTAGATCTGATAAGGTTTTGGACCTGTTAGCTCAGTCATGTCAGCCATTTTGAATGTTTTAAGAAAAGTTAGCACGCAATAATACTTTGTATCATATTGAATGTTTTTTTCAGTTTTCATACTTTTTTTGTAGCTTTATAAATAATTGCAGGTGTACTTTGTTGTAAAAGCCTATGTTATTGTTAACAGTAGTTATATGTGATAATTTTGTAAAAAGAAATCGGCAAAAACTCATAATCACTTTTTTATTGTCGGCCATTTTGGATTTTCCGTCCTAAAATCTTGTCTGTAAAGTCTTGTCTTCGCATTTTCAGGTGAACCGTTTGGTAGATCAATTTCAAATTTTCAGGGATGATTTTTAGTATGAAAATCTAGATCTGATTAGTTTTTGGGCATTCTGGGTAAATGTCAAGGCAGCCATTTTGGATTTTCCATCTTAAAATCTTGCCCGTAAAGTCTTGTCTATGCATTTTTAGGTGAACCATGTGGTCGATCAATTTCAAATTTTCAGGGATGATTCTTAGTATGAAAATCTAGATCTGATTAGTTTTTGGCATTCTAAGTAAATGTCAAGGCAGCCATTTTGGATTTTCTGTCCTAAAATCTTGCCCGTAAAGTCTTGTCTACGCATTTTTAACTGTTAACTGTGTGAGGGATCAATTTCAAATTTTCAGGGGTGGTTCTTAGTATGAAAATCTAGAACTGACTAATTTTTTGGCATTCTGGGTAAATTTTAAGGTGGCCATTTTTGATATTCCGTCCTCAAATTGTGTCGGTAAAGTCTTGTCTACTCATTTTTAGGATAACCATTTGACGGGATCACCCATACATGTAGGTGGGGACATTTTTTACACATTTGTTTTCTTGTTTGAAGTTATCTGGCAAATTTATATAAAAAAAATTAGTACCATGGGTACTGGGCTCACATGGTGTTGCTCAAAAGTGAAAATAAAAAAGACGGGTATAATTCTTTGCAGATTTTTTGTGACAAAATTATTTCATACAACTACTCTTTACAAAGACATGGCTTTTTACAATGCAGGACACCTGAACTTATTTGTAAAGCTAGGAAATGGGCCAAAAGTGAATTTCCCGAGACAAAAATGGTGGCCATTTTGAAATTAGGCGAGATTTTGAAGCAGGAGTCACAGTTTTTTTTTCTTTATTGATGTTGAACAAAATTATTTTAAATCGGGAATCCTATCTACAGAGGATTTAAAAAGTGTTGACAGAGGTTTAAAACTTGCCACTTTTTTGGACTGACTGTGAGACAGATGGACGAATCAATGTTAACTAAAATGGCTGAAAATAAAAAAAAATGATATAATATTTTGCCGATTTTTTGTAACAAAATTATTTCATACAACTACTCTTTACAGTGACATGGCTTTTTACAATGCAGGACAGCTGAAATTATTTGTAAAGCTAGGAAATGGGCCAAAAGTGAATTTCGCGAGACAAGAATGGTGACCATTTTGAAAATAGGCGAGCTTTTGAACCAAGAGTCATAGGAGAGTTTTTTTGTATTGATGTTGAACAAAATTAACTTAAAACAGGAATCCTATCGACAAAGGGTATAAGGCAAATGGTCCAAAAGTGGATTTTGCGAGACAGATTTTTTGCTGATTTTTCGTAACAAAATTATTTCATACATCTACTCTTTACATTGACATGGATTTTTACAATGTAGGACACTTGAAATTATTTGTAAAGCTAGGAAATAGGTCAAAAGTGAATTTCGCGAGACAAAAATGGTGGCCATTTTGAAAATAGGCGAGCTTTTGAACCAGGAGTCATAGGGGAGTTTTCTGTATTGATGTTGAAAAGAAAGAACTTAAAACAGGAATCCTATCGACAGAGGTTTTAAAACGTGCCACTATTGTTGACGGACGGACGGACGGACGGACAGACGGACAGACAGACAGACGGACAAGTGAGCGATTGCAAAAGCTCACCATGTGAGCTAACAACATACCTTTTGATTCAGGTAGAGCGAGATTTGAAACCCAAGCGCTTGCTCTCTGACACCATTGCATACCCAAGTTGGGCCCAAGTTGCAGTTAATATTAAACTATTTATTTTAAATCTAACATTTTTTCTCTTTGTCAAAAGGATACTTAAACGATAAATCTACAAACATATGTGTTCACTATTTATGCGTAGAAATAGATAATAAAACATATCTTATTTTCACCTATCTTGATAATCTTCTCAGCTGCAATCCTACAATCCTCTACATCCCACACCCCATTCTTGTTGAAATCATTCATCATCACTTTCGCTACTGTCTTCTTCAGCCAGAATATCGGGACCTCCTTAAGTTGGTTCATATCTACTGTATATACTGATGACATGTTAAGGTTATGAAGGTTTTTCTTATGCAGTTTTACTCCTCCATTCAAAAACAACTTTTTAAATTATATTAGTTAAAATGCTGTTACACCTTGGATCACACCGACAAAGCACTGACATAGCCTAGTTATAATTTATTGGAACAAAGATGGGGGATATAAAAAACGCACCTGACCTTCTGTCTTTTTGAACAATTGTGATCTCTTTTATACAGATTGTTTTATGGTTTTCGTTTTCAATATTTTGAATTTTACATTAGTGATGCTATCTTGTAAATGAAAGGTATTGAGTTGATTCATTTTGCCCATTATTTTGTTATTTTAAGAGTGGTTGCTTGATTTGATGTTTTATATTATTGCTACACCCAGGCGTTGTCATTGTCTAGTGTTGAGTACTAACCTGATACTCGCATAGGGCTAGATAATAAGCTACATTTAAATACAAAACTACAGAAATGAAGCCTAACAAAATCTTTTTTCAAACAACTTAATATTGCAATAACGTCATTTCTAAGGCTTCGGCCCTCGGTCCAATATTTCACTATATTGCCCGCAGAAATGACGTTATTAGTATTATTACCATCGTTAACGACCAGGACTGAAACAGCAAGAAAATCTTACGCATTGAACGATATCTAATTTCCCGGGGAAAATTGCCGGTCCAGAATATATTCTAGACCGGTCCATATGGACCACCACTATGACGTCACACATTTCTCAGGTCGATATAGTAAAATGAATGCCTTCTAAACTAGCACTAAAACCCCTAGAACTGGCCCGGCAAGGTGGTAATAATAACTGAATAACTGTTAAACATACATCCATATACAAACTTATATTTATGTTCTGTTATGCCTATGTGATTGAAATTATAAAAATAATATTTCAAAATATTTCTCGGTTTTCATCTTTCTCTCCGGGATACAATTTCACTCCCGTATGATTAAGACCCGCAAGTTAGCAATGTTTTGAGGAGGTGATCTCTCTGACGAAAGATACAGTTGATATTACGTCCGAGTGTTCTTGGTTTACCCTTTGCATTCGTTCGCCTTTCTTCTTAAAAGAGAGCATCGTTTATTACTAGACTCGCTACATGTAGGTATCTTGATTGGGCTCTAATCGAAAAACATATGGCCCGTGGTAGCTGGTCCATACCTACCTAGTTCAGATAATCATATTCCTAACCCGTACGGCCTCTATAAGTAGAGATGTAGTTCAAATTATGCCCTAAAATTGTTTATTACATATTTATCCAATGCTTGCTGAATTAGTTTCCTTCAAGACCTTGAAGCTCAATCCTAATCATGAATGGGAGCTGCCAACACATTGACTATATAAAAAGTAAAGTAGCTGATGACCCACTGAAACTTACTGTCTGCATAGACAGGCCTTGGTGAATTACTTTTTTATTATTTCTGATTGACGTATCCCGCTTATTCTGATGGTTGACCTTTTTTGTCATAGATCCCTCGTCTGGATTACTTTTTAGCGTCATATCAGTTTGGGAATTTGATGAATATTTATTTCGCAGAGACCTTTTTGTCCACCACATGCCTCTTTGTCTTTTGCCATTCTAACATAATATGATTATTTTCAGGCTATCTGTCTTGTTTATTGGCCCCATACTGTCTAATTTCGCTTGACCAAATATGGGGGTTTCTTCTCTTATCGTTGAAAAGTATGACTGAATTCAAAGGATTATCCTCGGTATTGGGGGCATTTTGGAGTAATACGATGAGCTATACAGCAAAATGAATAACATTAAATCAGGAATGAAATTAAATGGAAAATATAGAACTACGCATATATATGGTTGAGCTTGAAAATAGCTTAAAACGCAAAGTATTTCATATATATGACAGTATGAGGAACGATTTAAACATGTTCTCAAAAACCTGAACCAGTCTTTGGTATTATTCATCTTGAAATTGCACTGATTCAGTTTATGGGGGTGTTATTGATTTGTTTACATTTTTAATGACTGGTCACTTTAGGGAACAGTGGCTTCTACTCGAACACGAATTGTAAATAAGTGAATGAGAATTTTAACCACCAAACATTATTTTCATTCAGAATTTACTCGAGTGTCCTTCATTTGAGAGTATTTTAATGAAATCCATCACAGCAGTTATATTTCGTCCACATAGTCCCATAACACGCTAATTTTCATCGAACTGTACCACACGTATTGATTAAGGCCTGGCAACTGTCAGACAGAGCACCCTAGTGCGGGGAAACATGGATTGATACAATGCTAGCCTACTCCAGAACGACGCTATTGCAAACACACCGACACCTGTACGTTCAGTTTCCAATGATCGTAAACAACAATGAACAAAATAGAGGATGGTTTAATACATGTACGTTGTTTGTTTTTGATACGTCAGTCATTGAAACATGAGGTCGAATACAAAGCTATGACTATCTAAAAGGTCAGATACGAGAGGTCAATGCTATATCCAAGGTCGAGCTAACATATAAAGGTCAATGTCGATAAGTTCAATAATAAATTGCTGTTCTTAAATAGGTCATTAAAGGATAATAAGTTTTATTGGCACCGACGTTGCCGTGGTACTATTTTGGAACGACTTTGGCGTCGGATCGGGGTGTTTGTGGAACTGGAATGAATTTGAAATTCGCTAAAAAACGCTGAGGGTCAGCCCCGCCCATATCAGCTAAAAAATAACGTGAGTCATAAAATGTTGAATAAGCATCAACAGGTGTACTGACTTCACCCTTTATTTTCAGTCGGTCCTTCTATAATGTCTTATCGTTCACCTTAGTAACTGCGATAGCACTTCTCAAATACTCTCCCAAGTCAATACCTATCTACATATGGGTAAGATGCCCTTATCATATTATCCCTAATTTAAGATATTCACTTAGCTATGCACAATGAATAATATGATAATATTAATATTGTTTAGCCGCGTCTGATGTTTGAATGGTTCGTATACTCATCTTCGTAGTATCCACATTTGATCTGTTATCTTAGGAATTTGTTCATTTTCTCCGATTCTATCATAAACAGTTGTATATTGAGATATTTGTCACTTGGCAAGAGTGTGTCGCATCAGAAGGTTGTGTCATATTAGGATTTCCTTGGGGCAACACAGTGAAATGTCGCAACGTTCCGGATGAAAGAGTTGTCGAAACACCAGCCGGATAAATTACCAATTAGTTTAGCACTGACAGGCGTAGGATAGACAGCCCCGACATTTTTTATTCAGTTGTAATCGGTAAGTTCATCCTTAGAGTTCCCTTTATTTTGCTAACATATTAAATCTTAACACTTCCATTTCAAATGCTTTTTGTATATTGAAGTCCGTTTGAATCATAATTTCTGGTGAAATTCAATATGGTTTCATATATATCTTGGGAGTCCGAAATTATAAATTTGAAAGTACGCTTTGTTAATTATTGATTCAAACTAAATAAAACTGTACCTAATAACTATGGATATGGGAATTATTTCAACCTCAATGCCTTAGACCGTTGCCTCTAAAGACCAATGTAACTTTCACTTTTAATTCGACCAAACTGGTACTAAAGACTCCCTTCACCCTTTAAGGTATTAATTAAATTTTCAAAATCACATCACTTTTTGAAACAATGAATGAAACGGTCAGTAAGGTTGTATCGCATTGTTCATATAGAATGATAGCTTGCAATAAATCACAAGAATCAGAACAATTCACTTTTACTACACCCGTCGATTAGTAGGCACGTGAAACGTTGGTGCCATAAGTACAGACTAATGGAATTCCTCAACTTAAAGTGACGCCTCCATTGATTTACATAACCCGAAATCTAGATAGCCTGTTGTTTTTGTTCTGTGTGAGATACTGAGTATTGAAATTGTGAAATCATTTAAGGGCAGATCAATTATATACATGATATGGTCTTTATTGTTGGAATTTCAGGTAGTGTTAATTTCTAGCAATTACATACAGAGGAACCAAAAGTCATTTGACCTACTTCACAAAATATAGCTCATATACTCTGTCTCTAAAGGCTATTCAAATGATGTTCTTTGTTATTTTTTTGAAATGTCACCAGATGTAATTCGCTTACACTTTTAAAAACAATAAAGGCCCACTTTTCGAATTTTCAACATTTTTGGGCAAAATAAAGACTTATATTTAAACTTCATAGTATGTCCAATGTATTGATAAGAACCTTATCTTTCATTTCACACCAACAGCTCAAAGCTTATGATAAATTATCAAAAAAATATTTTCGATTTGTCAAGCTTTCTATATCAAGTTTTTATCAATGTCATTGAAAGATGGTAAAGTTGTTTGTATTACATGATACATTCATTTTTATAGAAGTGTCGCCATCTTTTAAATCAACAGTAATTTAAAACATGCACTTTGTTTAACATGTGCATGCATGTCTAATGATCTCTGAACTTCAAATGTTTTTTTCTATGTAAGTTATTTTTCTCTTGGTTCAATATTAAAGCAAATCAAACTTGTGTCATATTTGAGCAAGTATGTGAGTTACATGTTTCAATGATTTTTTTCTTCTAAATTAAGTATAGTGGGCCTTTAAATTCTTTCTTAGGAAATGTAAATATTAAAGGCCAATAACTAAACGTTTACGTTTAATTGGTTTGACTTCTCAAGCAGATGCGTCATTGCCTTACACAATGACAAGATACTTACAAATATGACAAATATTTGGACATGCAACTGTGTCCTCTAATCTAAAGACAAGAAACTTATCTAGTTTGAATATACGTATAGTCGGTATGCGTCTTCCAATCGCAATCTTTATGTATACATGGCTCTAAATCAATAGCATCTAGTTTACTCACTTCGAGAGCCATGTTAGATTTTGAAACTTATGTCAAAATCCAAATAGCTTTCGCAGGAAGTAACATCTAGTATTGTGCAACTGGTCAAACATTTAAATTCCGTTTGCAAAAACATGAGAATATATCTTTACTAAGTGAACCAAATCACGATTCAAAAACCCCACGAAGTAAGAAAAGTTGAATAGTCACAATGTATTAAACGTTTCACAATCACCATTACAAAACTATAAAAAGTACTTTAGCACAAATAACGGCTTTGGCGTAAAGCCGACTCTTGATCGGGCTCTTGATACATTGTTCCCATTTTATCACTAATTACAGAATAATACTGTGTATGATTTAAGGTAAATATATTCTCCCATTATTCACAACAAGAACATTAGGGTGGTCCAAAATATGGCGAAAAACCAACTTTCTTTCGGATCATCTTCCTCATTTGACTTACTGTTGTCCATGACCTAAAACACCTGCACACCAAATTTTGAGACCCAAATCCCATGGGAAATTTACCCACGCTTCGACTGAAAAATTCAGTTATTTCATGATTTTTTGCTATTTTCGATATATTGCCATCTCCTTTTTCCTGGTATAAAATGTTTCTATTTTTTTCATAATAAACATTTTTGTAGGACTCTTTATTACTTAATAATACTAGGAGCCCAAACACCAAATTTTGAGACCCAAATCCCATGTGAAATTTACCCATGCTTTGACTGAAAAATTGTGAATTTCACAGTTTTGTCCGATTTTCAATAGATTACTGTCTCCATTTTCCTGGTATAATATGTTTCTATTTTTCATAATAAATATTTTTGGATGACTCTTTATTACTTAATAATACTAGGAACCCATACACCAAATTTTGAGACCCAAATCCCATGGGAAATTTACCCATGGTTTGACTGAAAAATTGTGATTTTCAAATTTTTTTCCGATTTTCAATAAATTGCTGTCTCCATTTTCCTGGTACGATATGTTTTTATAATAAACATTTTTGAAGACTCTTTATTACGTTCATAATACTAAAAACCCATACACCAAATATCCACCAAATTTTAAGACCCAAATCCAATGAGAACGTTACCCATGCTTTGACTGAAAACTGGTGCTTATGATAGCTTATGATGTCTGTTTTAGGGGCATAATATGTTAATAAACATTATGGCAATTCCTTCTTAATCCAAAGAAACACCTAAATATCAAGACTTTTAAGTCTTATTGAAAGGCGACAAATTCAGTAGTTTGGGGAAAATTTAGGATCTTTTACTTGTACATTTATATACTGTGGTTAATATTAAGAAGTGATGACTCGACAGCAACTCAAATGCCTTGAAGATTTGGTTTGTTGGTTTCAGTAGGGATACATCACAGGACTTTGTTTGGATTTGTGTGAGATGTCATATTCTTTCTCACATCTTTGCAGGGTAAGGTCAAATATCAAATCTGATTTTCTTTGGAGAAATGATTTTTTGATTGATCAATGTATCAATGGCATGGTCTCTGTTTTAACCAGTAAGCCTGTACCAAATCTTCAAGGGATTCGAGCTTCCACTGAGCTTTGTCATTTCTCTGAAAATGTTCATGCCCTGAAAGTACACAATGTAGAAGATAGGAAGAGCAATGAGAAACACTTAAGGTAATTCTGTATGTTCAGAAATTTTAAGTGGAGTCCAATGTTATTTCTGGAACTCATTCCATACTTGGTCAGCTCTTTCAATTTTACACTGAGTTCAAATATGTATTTAGATTATTAGTTGATGGTTAGTAATTTTCTATAATGTACTATGTGCTATGTTTATACACTGTTTGTGCATCTGAATGGAATGAGTTATGTGTTCCTGAAAAAACACGGGGCTCCAATTAGGAAGCCATTAAAACTGAAAATAAGGAATTACCTTAAAGTACTATATAACCATCTTTCACGATGTAACGTATGTAAGGCCAAACAGGATAATTAAGACAACGTGTAATACAATTTATTACAAATTGCACATCACACAACAATGATATGGTGCTCTAAACGACAAAAATCAAAAGTATATGATCAAAGCAAACGTGAATTTCCCATGGGGTTCAGGTCTAAACATTTGGTACATATTAAATGTATGGGTTCCTAGTATTAAGAACGTATTAATGTCCTCCTAAAATGTTTAAAAACTAAATATAAGATTAATGTTGACCTATTGAAAATAGGAGAAAATTCACAGAAAATCACAATTTTTTGGTGGAAGCATGAATTAATTTCTCATGGGGCCAGGGTCTCAAAGTTTGGTGCATATTTGGGGCATGGGTTCCTCGTATTATGAAGTAATAAAGAGTCCTCCCAAAATATTTATTATAAAAAATAGAAACATATAATACCAGGAAAATAGAGATGTATTGTATTGTATATGAAATAACCCAATTTTTCAGTCGAAGCGTGGGTAAATTTCCCATGGGATTTGGGTCTCAAAATTTGATGTATGGGTTCCTAAGTATTATGAAGTAATAAAGAGTCATTCAAAAATATTTATTATGAAAAGACATCTACCATTTTATACCAGGAAAATGGAGATGGCAATTTATCGAAAATAGCAAAAAATCATGAAATAACCGAATTTTTCAGTCGAAGCGTGGGTAAATTTCCCATGGGATTTGGGTCTCAACATTTGGTGTATGGGTTCCTAGTATTATGAAGTAATAAAGAGTCCTACAAAAATGTTTATTATGAAAAAATAGAAACATATTATACCAGGAAAAGGGAGATGACAATTTATCGAAAATAGCAAAAGATCATGAAATAACCGAATTTCCAGTCGAAGCGTGGGTAAATTTCCCATGTGATTTGGGTCTTAAAATTTGGTGTGCAGGTGTTTTAGGTCATGGACAACAGTAAGTGAAATGAGGAAGATGATCTGAAACAAAGTTGGTTTTTCGCCATATTTTGGACCACCCTAAAGAACATTGGTGAATATTTTGCATATTGTAGATATTACCACGTGTATAAGACGATTCACCCTGTTGGCATACTGTAGATACGTCGATACAAGATGGCGGACTATTACCAGTCCAAGTACTCCGTGGAAGGAGAAAGTGTGGTGGGGATGTCGTACAGGGCACAACCAGGTTTGTTGATGGTCTTCTAATAAATCAAAACTCAATATAAAGAAAGCCCCAATTAGTTTCTGAGTTGTCAGAACACAATCTTGTGTTCAATACTCGGTCAGACTTTTCAAGATACTTCTTTCATTCTACAGGGTGAACTATTAGTTAATGAAAACATATAATGAAATGCTGATCATGATGTGAAAGTCAGTTCACAAGGCCCTAGTGGGGATCGAACCCACGACCCCTCGCTTTCAGGACGATTGTTGACCTCAAACTGATTCAATCGATCGGTAGACTGACTAGATTGTAAACTTCTAGAATTTAACCTCAACCTGTTTTCGGGTTAATGATGGAGGAATACATCGTTTCCAGTCCACCTCTAAAGTGTAAACTTTCCTTTTGCGTTTTGATTCGACTGATTCAACACTAACGAATATTTCCAAGGCTAAATTAGTCTCTTAAGAACTTAGGGATTCATAAGATAATCGTTCCTAATATTGTTATGACCTATCTTATTATTGTAATGGTACAACAGATACTAACAATTAATGCTTCGTATTGAGAAATCATCATTCGTTGCTGAGCAGTCAATAACGTAGAATGATGTAGCCTTGTGTTCGACAGAATATTTCATTCTCAAAGGGATAACATTAATTGTGAAGAAAAGAGGGTAATACGCAGATATGTGTTTTCATACAGCTCATAGAATTTTAGGATTTAAAAAGTATCACATTTAATAGATTCTTGCTTTCCCCAGGCCGTGCAGATATATCTGGATCAACCGATACTGTTGCTAGCACTGCAAGGATGGTACCGCCTAGCCAAATAAAGGCGGAAACTATTAAAACTGGAGAGAGAGTTGTTGGGTTCACTGAAATAGTAAGTATCGGAACAGCTATGGTGGTGTAATTGGCTTTGGCATATATGGATTGAACAATGAGGAATAAGTCAGTTGAACCAAACATTTTACATTCATTCAATGTGTGGCATTTTTTAAACACAGGAGAGCACGGAAAGTATCGCAGATTTCGGGACAAATGTTAGATTTTGGCTATTTTCATATTTTCTGAGGATATAAACAAGTGCATATGTTAGGCCAATGCATTAAATCCAGAACAAGCACTCATAGAGATGATGAAAAAAAATTGACTCTGAGGCAGCGATGGTGCAAACAGCCCACCAGCACCTGTTTAAATTCTCAGAAAACAGTCCCAATCCAACATATGACTTTCTGAAATCTGTAACGATACTTTCCGCGCTCCTTAAATTTTTGCATCTAGGCAAAAGGTTAATATACAAAGTGTCCATAATATTTTATACAATTACAATACAAAGTCTGTGTCAAGTGTAAAAAGACTATGAACACCCTGTATATATTTCATTTACAGTTTAGATTTGCTGACTGCGTTGACATTCTCATGATGTGCGTTGGAACGCTTGGTGCCATCGTTCACGGTGCTGGTATTGTAGCAGTAGTAGTGGTACTGGGGGATATGATTGATCTTTTCATCACTGACCAGAAGGCCAAAAATCAAATTGCCGACCTTCTTGCCACGGGAAACTATACCAATGAATTTGGAAATGTAACATTGACGTCGCAGATGATCCAGGATAACACGAAACTTATTGAGTAAGGGGAATTTATAATTCTTGGACGAGTCTTATTTCTATCATCATTTGGCCACTAAACGTCCTCAGATGGTTTAAGCCAAATCATATCATGATTTTTTGCTATCTATCATATTGAATAACAGCACTATGTCTTGTTTTGTGTTTAGCCCAATAGCAATCGCGCAGAACTCATCGTTCAACTCCACCTATCTGGATACAGACCTGGCTGGAGGAGAGCTCCTTGTTCAGATGAGAAAATTTGCGATATACTTTTGTAGTAAGTATGGTTTATAGGGGTTAAAAGATCTTCCTATTTTTTGTCTCTACTTGTCTAGAATAATCACTTTTGGAAAATTTAGCAAAACATATCTGATCCGTCGTCCTAGACGTCCAAAATATTAATGTGAGATACTTAATTCATTGCATATTGAAATTCTAATTTCTGTTTATATTTTCATTCTAGTCATTGGCGCTGCTGTGTTTGTGTGTGCTTATGGTCAGGTGGCGTTCTACGTACTGTCAGCTGAACGCCAAGTGAGAAAGGTTAGAACAGCATTCTTCAGGGCCGTGATGAGGCAAGAGATCGGTTGGTATGACTGCTTGGGATCAGGGGAGCTCAACACGAGATTAACCGAGTAAGTAAAATAACACTAAAATGTGAGATATTTGCTTTTGGGCAGATATTGCTGCAAATTAGTGTCATACATTTATAGCAAATGGAAACAGGTACACGCATAGCATATTAAAATATAGTCAATCAAAACTGCATTGCAAAACCATATATTTTTGAGTTACCATTTACAGTACATGTTTATTTTCAGCGACATGAACAAAATTGTAGACGGTATTGGCGATAAACTCGGTTCCTTCATTATGATGGTGACAGCCTTTGTTGCCGGCTTTGTCGTTGGATTTATCTACGGTTGGAAGTTAACACTGGTTATTGCTGCAATATGTCCCATCTTAGTTTTGGCAGCACTTATATTGGCAAAGGTAATGAACCAGTTATGCCTCAGTTTGTTATATATATTAATTTGATTGTACCGGTCTTAACTGGTTAGAACCAATTTGAACTAGTAAGTCCCAGTTTGACACAAAGATGGCTTATTGATTCAAGTCTTTTGTTGGTGATTTGTTTCTCATCGTGCCCATTTTTATTTCATTTAAGTTTTTGTTCTTCTCAGATCAATTCAGCACTGACTAGTAAAGAGTTGAAGGCATATGCCAAGGCTGGGAAGGTAGCAGAAGAGGTCCTTGGCTTCATACGTACTGTAGCAGCATTCGGCGGAGAAAAGAAAGAATGCCAACGGTACAGTCATCTTAATCTTTCCAAATGTTGACAGAAAATAATAATCATTAATTTTAAAGTTCAATACGCCATACGATGCACAAAACGCTGAACTTTTAAATCATAAATATTGATTCAATTATTTGGTTTTAGAATACATATATTCATGTTATATTCCATAGGTACGATGTCAACCTTTTAGACGCCAAGAAAAAGGGCGTCAGAAAAGGAATGTTGCTAGGTCTTGGCATGGGCTTTTCATGGCTCTCAATCTACGCAGTGTACGCATTGGGTTTCTGGTACGGTGCGAAACTTATCAGAGATGAACCAGTGACATATTCTGCAGGAACACTTATGATTGTAAGTCTTTTTGCTAAATAAAACCTCAATATGTCGTGAAGTATATTGTGAATTGTACAGCCTTATCTTGACAGTGTTTTAACTTTTTAAAAATAGGCCTGGATGCCAACATCTTATGAAAACAGGACCGACAGTCATTTGTCCATTAAGACCTTAAAGTTGAATTGGCGAGATCACGATAACATTCTGAATCACTAGATCACCACAACATAACGTATTCCATTTGCAGTCTCTATCTGTATAGCCTAGACAGATCGGGTGATAATATTATAAAACTAAGCACTTCATTTATTTCACTTTGTATTGTTTATCTTCAGGTGTTCTTCGCTGTTGTCACCGGGGCCTTTGCCATTGGGAATGCTGCTCCCAACCTTCAGGCTCTCACGTCTGCTAGAGGGGCTGCCTTTGCCATATTTAATATCATAGACAATGTAAGTTGATATAGTATGTTAATGTTGCATTTTCTCTGATAATTGCATCTATCATTACTTACTCTGCATATTTTTTACTGATGGTTTTTCACTCAGATATCTAGAATTTACTCAGAATTTTTTTTATAATGTTTCTGATTTTGCGTTTGCATTATAGGTGCCAAAGATTGACAGTAACTCTGAAGAGGGCTTAAAGCCTCGTGGTGTGATCGGGAATATAGAATTTAAGAATATATACTTTAGGTATCCGTCTAGACCTGATGTTCAGGTAAGTACATAAGGGTTATGTACTGGGAGATTTTGGATATGGGGTTTATCCAGAGGGAGATATGCATATCTACCTGAGGGACCGAAGGTAGATGTGCATATCTCACGAGGGATGAACCCAATATCCAAACCGACCGTACATAACTGCTTTATCCTATACCAAGTAGAGTTTTCTAATTTTCTTTCAATCTTTTTTCAATTTTTTTTCTTTTTTCAATTTTTTCACATTTTTCAATTTTTTTTCAATTTTTTCATTTTTTTTCTTTTTTTAATTGTTTATTTTTTTTTCTATTTTTCACATTTTTTCTTTTTTTCAATTTTTCTTATTTTTTCAAATTTTTCTTCGAAGCGGGAAGATATGCCCTGGAGCGGGAGATATGGCGGGAGATATGGAGGTTCAGGATATGGAAACCTCAAAATCAGGATACGGGATATATCTTACCAACTTATCTCCCTAAAACTCTACTTGGCATAGGATAAAATGGTATACTGAGTATATGCGAGATAAAAACTCATACTATCTAGCCGGGTAAAGCTTGTCGTCTCCATCAGAAAATGAAGAGTTAATCCTTGTTACAGATCAAGCATATTAATGTTTCTTGTTTGATGTATAGGTGTTGAACGGTATGAACCTGAAGGTGTCCGTGGGTCAAACTGTGGCTCTGGTGGGCTCTAGTGGTTGCGGGAAGAGTACTTCAGTGGCCCTCATGCAGCGCTTCTATGACCCTCTCAGTGGAGATGTGAGTCTATCTAGTTTTTCGCTCAAGGTTTAGATATTGAAGTAGATAATAGCGTTGACATGGTTTGCAGTCTGATGCCATTCACAAATAGTTTGATAAGTTCTCTGCTTGCCCAATTGAAAGTATTAGCACTTTAACTGGGAAAGGCTTCAGTACGCGGCGCATGCGCGGAAATTGTTTTGAAGATTTAAGGCCCATTCTCTTGAAAATTTGGCTTGAAATTGAAAAATAAGGCCCAATATGCCCGCTTATTTTTGCGCCCAATTTTTCTGCTGTTTTCTAAACTTGTTTTTCTAATTCTACAGATAACAATTGATGGTAACAACATTAGAGATTTAAATGTGAAATGGCTGCGACAGCACATTGGTATTGTTAGCCAAGAACCCGTCCTCTTTGCCACAACTATTGCTGAGAATATTGCTTATGGCCGAGATGGCGTCACACAAGCTGAAATTGAGATGGCGGCGAAGGAAGCAAACGCTCATAATTTCATTATGCAGTTCCCAGACGTATGACTTTATAATAGTTTTGTTATTTTCCTTTAATTATGATATTATTCTAATAGTTCAACAGCCTCATTATCTAATATGTGTGTTAGATCATTGCTTGGGATATTGGGGCTTGTTCGTCAATGAACAAATTGTTTTCGCTTTAGTCATCATATTTTGCTTGATGCATCACAGTTTCAAAACAATACAACATACGATTTTATTTCAGAGATACAATACTTTAGTAGGACAACGAGGGGCGCAAATGAGTGGAGGCCAGAAGCAACGAATTGCTATCGCAAGAGCTCTTGTAAGGAACCCCAAGATTTTACTGCTGGACGAGGCCACATCTGCTCTCGATACAGAGAGTGAACGTACGGTGCAAATAGCTTTAGACAAGGTACAATGAAGATTTAATTTGGATTCGCACTAACCTAAATGAATAGAGTACAGGGCTTCTTGAGAATACACGTTAAAATTGGTTCCACTGAGCCTCATTAATATATATATTTAATATAACATATTTTTCAAAAGGAGTGGGATTTAAAGACATATGTCTGCATTATTATAATGGTTGACACGGTGATGCTGGGGTTCCACTTATTTCTTGTTTTTCTATACATAGTATCTATTCCTGACCAAGTACTTGATAATGATTTGATACCTATTTTGTTGGTGATTAGGCAAGAGAAGGACGAACCACAATTGTCATTGCCCATAGATTGTCCACTATCAGAACAGCTGACCAGATTTGCGCTTTCAAGGCCGGAGTTGTAGTAGAACAGGGCAACCATGAGCAGATGATGGAAAAGAAGGGAATTTACTACTCGTTAGTGTCCCTACAGACGAGAATAAGCCAAGTAGAAGGAGGTGAGAGGAAGTTTGACAAATCAGCTCATTTCCAGAGATTAGACGTATTTTTCTAAAAAAGTTGCTTGGATAAAATCAAGGTTCAAGAAAAGATAAATTACCATATTTGGGGGAATTTATATCACGTCCTAATAGACCCCCATCCTCTACTCAGTGCATTTAAAGTTTTTCCTCTGAATACGATTTTATGTAAGCGAATTTATACTTTAATTTCAGACCAAAAGACAACAGAAGACGACGATGATGAAGCTGAGGTAGACAAACAAGTAATAGGTAAGCTAGCATGTGAATTCTAAATATGTACTTAGTGGTATACCTTAATATATTACTTTGGGGTGTACCTGAGTTGTTCTTGTCTGAGAGGCTTCTTCTTTTTGCTTCGTCCTTCCTCACAACTAATGTACCAATAAAGAACATCGTTGATTAGTCAGTTTTAGTTATACCAATGATCAAAACAAAATGCATGGTGTTTCAAGTGGACAACAACATTTTTCTATTTGTTTTCTCATCATTGTAGAGAAGAAAATTCCCGAGAAACAACAGCTAAGCAGGGGAGGCAGCTTGAGAAACAGGCACGTTTTACAATTTAGTAGAATAAATATAGTATTGGAGTGTCTCATATTTCTTTAATCTAAAAAAATCCTTTACAAATCTTATCAAATAAATCTCTTAAAGGTTGTTTTTACGGACTACCAATTTTTGAATTGTTAAATTTTTTTAATTACTAATATTAACTTTGGACAGTCTGAGAAACAGTTTGAGGGGACTTAGACGTTTGGCACCTGGCTCTGTATCTAGGACAGCGATGTCAGCCGAGGATGAAGATGCAATGGATGAAATGGTAAAAACCTTTTTACAAAGAGCCATAACAGAATGTTAATAGTTTGTTGTTTTTTTGGTGAAATTAAATTGAAATTACCAAACATAAATCAAGTCTCATCAATCAGTCATGAAATTGATTTGTTTCAAGTTTCAAAATCATATTTGGTTCTTCGGATCAGTCTGAAAATCTATGACGCAATCTTCTTGCTTATATTTACTACATGTTTATACTTGTAGGCAGAGGAGGTCAAAACTGACGAAAATCCAAGTTTCCAGAGAATATTACGAATGAATGCTCCTGAATGGCCCTACATTTTGACTGGATGTATAGCTGCTCTTATCAACGGGGGAGAACAACCAGTATTTGCTGTCATATTTAGTGAACTTCTAAATGTAAGTTAAAGTGAATCTTAGGAAATATCTTATCCACTTAAATCGACATTGTATTATGATACTAAAAATCATCTGTTGATTTTTCTGTCATAATTTTTGATAATACCTAATGTTACTAACTTTTTCAAATTTTCATCCAATTTTCTAAAATATCCACCAGTTATGCACAATCCTTACGCCATATGTCGCTAAGAGTTCTGTGATGTTACACAAAATTTTATGACCGATAAAGGACTATGCACCTTTTTTCTTTACAGAGGGTACATGGTTTTAAGCTTTGCCAAACTGATACAATTAATCCCAAATATTGTTTAAAAATAATTTTGTTTTGCTCGTGAATCATATGCTTTCCTTATATCTAGGTATTCACAGACACTGATCTCAAGAAACAAGAAAGGGACGCTCAATTGTATTCACTCATCTTTGTTGGAATTGGAGTTGTGATTTTGTTTACCCAGTGGATCCAGGGATACATGTTTGGTTTATCAGGAGAACAACTTACTATGCGACTAAGAGGAATGACTTTCAAAGCTATGCTGAGACAAGAGATTGCTTGGTTCGATGACCATACAAACAATACAGGTGCCTTGTGTACGAGACTTGCAACTGATGCATCAAGCGTCCAGGGGGTAAGATCTGACTTAGGTTATATTTACCATAGCAACATAATATCAAAGGCATGTCTCAAGATCGTTGGGGTTAGCTATATAAATAAAGAATTATAATTAATTGTCAATAGATGCTTTGTCTTCCATTTTTAGGCAACAGGATCTAGACTTGGAATGATTGTACAAAATATTGCAAATATTGGAACTGGGCTTGTGATTGCGTTCATCTTTGGCTGGAAATTGTCCTTGGTTATTCTTGCCTTCATCCCCCTGATTGTTCTCTGTGGAGCTGTGGAGACCAGAGTCCTCACTGGTGTGGCTAATAAAGACAAAAAGGCTTTGGAAAAAGCTGGAAAGGTAAAAACTTTTATTTTCTTGAAATGATTTGATTCGAATACTAGTATGTAGTAAGTTGATTTCTTCATTTACATGTTTGTTATATTCCTAAACGATGTAAACATGTTACTGGTCTACTTTCAGGTTGCATTAGAGGCCATTGAGAACATTAGAACTGTAGCAGGTTTAACAAGGGAACAGACATTTTTTGAACTGTACAATGAAATGTTGGAAGAACCATACCAGTATGTGTTGACTATAAAGGGTGATTTCTTGATTAAATGCCTATAAAATTGGAAATTAGCCATGAATTTCATTTTATTTCATTTATCTGCATCCCATTAACATTCAGGCGTTTCATGGTTCCCTCAAAAGATGGGCATGCAAAATTGTATTTTAAACATTTTCTGATTTTAAATGGATTTTTATACTTACATAGTTTTGGTTTTATTTCAGAAACTCCATCAAGAAGGCTCACATTTATGGAGTAGCGTTTAGTTTCTCCCAAGCTGTCATCTACTTTTCCTGGGCAGCTGCCTTCACATTTGGTGCTTATCAGATTCAGATTGGAGAAATGACTTTCGACAATGTGTTCAAGTAAGACACTATATTAGTTGTAGTATTTATTAGCGGTAAGCTAAATATAGTATATTTCTAACAATTGTGTTTTCATTTTCAGGATAACTGAATCTCTCTCGTCTTTTTTTAAACCAGTTAATTTATTTCTCAGTGATCAAATACATAGTGCTATAAACACATAAGTAAACAGCCTTCCTATAAATAACAAAAATGATATTCAATTTGCAAATGCAGGGTATTTGCTGCTATCGTGTTTGGAGCGATGGCACTTGGTCAGACAGCTGCCTTTGCACCAGACTACAGTAAAGCAAGAAATGCTGCTGGACGAATCTTCAAGCTACTCGACAGAACGCCAACGATTGACAGTCAATCTGATGTCGGAACTAAAATTGTAAGCACAAATAACCACTTACCACCATATATTGTAAATTGATATACTGTAAATAGTACTAGATATATCAAATTGACATGACTGATTTTCTAAAGCAACTACCTACTCAATCCACAAGACCTGAACAAGTCTCATCACAGTCCAGCCGCTATGGCTCAGTGGCAGAGAGAGTCAAGGTTACCAATATCGCTTGGCCCCGGGTTCGATTCCCGGTTCAGACAAGTTTGTTTGTGCGTTATGTAATTCTGGGTGTTTGACTGAGTGGTTCACGACTCGTATAAAAGGCTGTGGTGTGTACATGTATGTCTGTGTACCTGTGCACATAAAAGAAAACAGGGCTCCTCCAAGGAGGGGTTTCTGGCTCTATCTTCGAGTGTAAAATACGTAAAATACGGAATATACCAATGAGGTATTGCTCGCCAAATATGGCGGTAACCAAGATATAATAATAATAATCACAGTTATGTGGGAAATGCAAATTAATGATACACATACAGCATTTTATACTTGGAATTTAACCTACCAATCAATCACATTCGGTTGTGTTATGAGTTTAGATATGATTTATATAAAACATGTCACTATTTTCAACTGTTTGTGTTATTGTCTTCAGCACTCTTTCACTGGGGAGATCGAGTTCACAAAAGTTCGATTCCGTTACCCCACTCGTCCAGAGGTCCCTATCCTTCGTGGTCTCAACATCTCTGTCAAACCTGGAGAGACACTCGCCTTGGTAGGAAGTTCTGGATGTGGGAAGTCAACTAGTGTGCAACTAATTGAAAGATTCTACGACCCACTTTCAGGAAATGTGGTAAGTATACCTTGTCCCCCGTAGTCTCAAGTATAGATGTAAGAGTCAACCAGCTTTGTTGTATTTCCTGAAATATTATTTTCCAAAATAAAAAAGTTGGAAGTTCATGCTAAGGATTTCAAGATCTAGACTTAGTCGGAATCTTTTCTTTTTTGAATGGAAGTAGATCAACAGGTTTTAGGATTAAGTATCAACTGCTGCTGTGATTTAAGTTTTACTCATTTAACACAATTCCAACCATGGCCCATATTTCTTATATTTAATAGTACCTCGACGGACGGCATGAGATCAGGGATGTCCCTCTAGGATGGCTGAGAAGTCAGATTGGAATTGTATCTCAGGAGCCTACTCTGTTCGATTGCACCATTGCGGAGAATATTGCCTATGGGGATAACTCTAGACAAGTGCCGATGAATGAGGTCATTGACGCCGCCAGAAACTCTAATATTCATAACTTTATAATGACACTGCCACAGGTAAGACGAAAAATATAATTCAATCTAAAAATACTGTGAATAGCGAAAAGCCTGATATTCTAAATCCGCACATTGGCATTACAGTAGTTGCTAATGATAATTAATATGACAAAACATATCGTGTCTCTTTTCTCTTGATACCTTAAATCATTCTGATAATTTCTAATTTTTATATTTTTTACATAGGGATATGATACAATGGTTGGTGACAAAGGAACACAGTTGTCCGGAGGCCAGAAACAACGTGTAGCCATTGCACGTGCCTTGGTTCGAAACCCCCGCATCCTGTTACTGGATGAGGCTACTTCTGCTTTAGACACTGAAAGTGAAAAGGTCAATATGCTATATTTATCATAATCATACATGCTAGTAATGATTTACAGCCATTCTTTAAAAATTCATAATCAATCAGTCAGATATCAAATGATGTCAGAAAGATTCCAATAGATACCCTTAAAACTTCAGAAAATAATCATAAACGTAACATTTATCATGTCCATAAAACCTGGCATCGTTTATTAGTTTTTATCTTAAAGTTTGAAACTTCATAACATCCTCGTTTGTTTTATACCAGATTGTGCAGGAAGCGTTGGACAAGGCAAGAGCTGGCCGCACTTGTGTTGTCATCGCCCATCGACTGTCCACTATACGGGACGCGGACAGGATTGTTGTCATTCACAGTGGCAAAGTCGTGGAGAGTGGAAAACATGACGAACTCATGGCACTTGAACGACTTTATTACAATCTTAATGTGGCTCAGACCGGTGCTCACTAATGTTACTCAATCTAAAGGCAATTGTGGGATGTCATGAGCGGAGACTAACTGAAGTATTAATACAATGAAAGACATTTAAAATATAGTTATAAAGTGTTATTATTTATATTGACAATTTTCAAAGTAGCTTGCACTGATCCAGGAAGACCATGGAATATAATGTTTATTTGATGGGTTTACAGGAATATTATAATTTTAAGCATCCAAGTAGTCTACACAATTGAAATGTATTTAATTCAATTTACCATGACATTGAAATATTGTAAACTGTTTAGATAAATCAATTTCACAAAGTAACTTTTCATAATATTTATATTCTCTCTAGCACTTGTTTTTATTACTTTTTTGTAAGCATGATGTTATTACTCTAGAATGCATAAATGTTAAAGGGTCGTTGATTTTATCTCGGGTTTGAATAGAATCTGCGTAGTGATTAACGTAAAACACCTGTTATAAATCAGTTTACTTTTCGAAAAAATGCCCCTTTTTAATTTTTCGAAGGACGCTTGCTTATAACTTATCATAGTTGATTTTATCACGAAATTCACTCCTATTGAAATTGAAACAGTTTTATCCAAAGAAACTTTGTTAATTTTAGGAAAACATTTTCTACACAATTATAGTTTTTACAGTGAGGTGCCTTTTGGAGGTGAAAAGTATAAGAATCACAAGGGTGATGGAAATTGGACTTAACACACATTTAGGTCAGTGTTTATAAACTTGCGCCTTAAGGCAAATATATGAGGGCTATGTTATCTGAGGTTTTGGATATGGGGTATATCCTGAGGGAAATAAGGATGTCTTACTGAGGGCCCAGATGGTCCCAGGTAAAATATTATATTTCTCGAGGGATATACCCTATATTCAAAACCTAGCATCACATAACTAATTTATCCTATGACAAGTGAGGTTTCACAAGTGAAATCAGAACACCCATATCCAGGTTTGTTTTCTTTAAAGCGTCCTCATTCTCATTATTTTTGAGAAATCCATCAACATTTTGGTTCTGTCTGCTGCATCCATTTTGACAGCAATATCATGATATTCTAACAAATTGACTGTTTCTACACTAAACAAAAACATTTTCCCGGGAATACTGGAGTGTATCCAAGGTATCAATTCTATAGCCCGCTGTTATGTACAGGAAACCTCACTTGTCATAGGATAACACCGGCTATTTCATTCGTAGACCATTTCAGGCCATAACCAATGAGGCATTCAGAGGCTGATTGTCAGCAAAGAGTATTAAAAATAAATCAAATAGCTATATCTAATATGATAAACTTGATGTAATCTGTTTTGTAAATGTTTTTAAAATATATAAAGCTGTTAAATAAAACAATTTAAAATGAAGCTATTTTTGTTGTCAACAAACGCAAGCACGGGGCAGACCTTTAAATTGTCGCTTTTTCAATTTAATCTCTTCATTTGTATCATAAAAGAGACCTAACTAGCATTTAAATATCATTGGAAAATCAATTTTTCATTCGTAAAGTCATATGTTAAACCCTTTGCAAAAGGTTGAGTTTACAGTAGTATCACAAGTAAAATTGAGTATTCACAATCAGGTTGGGGGTTAAAATCTCAGAATTTTTGGACAAAACTTGAAAAGTATAATAATTCCAATGCAAACTGTGTTCTTTTCCTTGGTATATTTGATTATACGTTTGGCCTCATTGAAGCCATACAAAGAATTTTAATTTAGCAAAAGTGACAAATTCGTTGTTCTACCCTGTAACATAAGTGCTGCAAGTAATACTTTTGTTTTTCTATGTAGCTATCTGCAGAGAGGTGAATAGCTTGTAAATGATGCTCATTTTTGAGAAAAGTCAGTTTTGTAAAAGTCCCCAAAACACGTTGTTTATCACATTTTTGCTGATAGAATATACAATGCAAACTTGCTTTTTGTTTCCAAATTTATATGAACACGCCTAACCATCGCCACCGTATAGCGTCAAAAAATAGCGGAGTACAGTTTTCTGTCGGTGGCGCAAATTGACTGCTTTGAAGCAAAAACTATGACAAGGGTTTAAAAAAATGAAGGACGAGGGAGTGTAAGCTGTTATGAATATTCTCTATCGAATCCCTTTGTGCGTAAATTCTATTTAAAATGTAGCATTAATAGATTCTGTACAAATTATTCCGCGGCTAAATTGTGAATAAGATTTAATAATGCATATTTGAGGAAGACAAACTTTGCAATAAAAAACATACGCACTGTATTTTAGTCAATACTGGAAACTATATACATGTTTACCTACCAATCACATTTACACAGCTTTCCATTATATTATAAAGATGATCGGTCCGGGGACATTGGTGGCTTAGGCAGACCTCGGACCCAGTTTACATCAGGTGATGGTTGAAATTAGTTTAGAAGGCGATTTGTTACTTCAATTAAATCAAAGTATTTAACAAAGACGTACTTATGGCAAAGAAAGGAGTTCGACCACCCTCAAAGGCAGTGACACAATTCTCGCTGCTATTGTGAAAATTAAAGTCCATGGTTGAAGTTGTTTACAAGGTTTGTAAAAATATTTTTGGGAAAATCTTACATTTAGTTTCTTTCTCGTAGAGTTCTACTTTTTATATTTTGGGGACTGTCAAAATTATATTCAGATTGTAAGCTTACATGGCAATAAAAAATATGATTATTATTATTATTATATCTTGGTTACCGCCATATTTGGCGAGCAATACCTCATTGGTATATTCCGTATTTTACGTATTTTACACTCGAAGATAGAGCCAGAAACCCCTCCTTGGAGGAGCCCTGTTTTCTTTTATGTGCACAGGTACACAGACATACATGTACACACCACAGCCTTTTATACGAGTCGTGAACCACTCAGTCAAACACCCAGAATTACATAACGCACAAACAAACTTGTCTGAACCGGGAATCGAACCCGGGGCCAAGCGATATTGGTAACCTTGACTCTCTCTGCCACTGAGCCATAGCGGGTGGACTGATGTGTGACATCATGATCTTTCATGATGTCACACATTTCTTTCGTTAGAAAAACGCTGACATCTAACCATATGATATTGCCATAAGCAGACCATCTCGAATCTATTTTCCATTCATTTTTGCTACCATTTCAAACGGGCATACTCTTTTAGCTAAGAACCCTCACTTCACCTTTCAAATCCCGACGCTAAAGCGAGTACTGCCAACGAAAAGTTGTAGAGCCATGCCTCGCTATAAAGATACTTGGCTGGCCTAAGGCCCCTCAATAGTTGCATGCTCATATATTTTTGATATGGCTACCAAATGACAGAGTTGTATTTGGTGGCTTTATAATTCTATAACTATAGTTAATAAAATATTATTTCATTTTTTATCGATACTATAATATATAAATATGTAAACTATTTTCTGTTTTCTAATGACTTCAACGTCTCATAATTAATATAATTGACAAGGAAGCACTGATTGAATTATTATACATTATTCCTTGTTTATAGGCTATCAATATTTGTGGTGGAATAATAGAATTGATATAACGATAAATTGGAATTAAAAAATAAATAATTAGAAAAAAGAACATTTTGTATATGATAGATGCTAGTAATTATGTTTATTTAGCGTTGATTAATGTTCAACTCGGTATGCAACATGGTTGTACAGGTATATATTGGTATAAACTTTCATTAAGTCAAACCTGTCAGACAAGTCATTAAGGCTTTCTTTATTGCATCGAGTTAGATACGTATGAAGGTTAAGAATTGCACATATCATTTATAGTATTTAAGTCATAATGCATTCAGATTAATACTAAGAAGATATCAAACACACATGCATCTTATCCCCAATTTCTTTTTGGATATGACAGGTATCTAAGAAATCTGAAAAGAATGTTAGATTTTGAAATGCGTTTTCTATTCAGACTGCACCTATAACTCTTAGAATGAACAATGTCATCGTGCTTGATTTTGTTCAAGAAAACATGACAAGGTATAGATTTTCGCCTCTAAGGAAAGCAAAAGCTCTTAAGCAAAGCGATCTCTCTCAAAGAATCAATGTCCTATTGGCCAAGTACAATATCTAAAAGACTTGGTACAAGTCGAGCATCAGATCCAACACGCAAATACAATGTAATTTCTACATGTAATTATTGAATTAATTCATAATTGCTCTTAACAGTATATTTGGTGAAACACGACAGCTTGCTTCAGTTGTTTATTTAATTTACATACGATGCATTATTACTTGTTTTCTGTTATCATTGATTTGGTTGCCCTGCAGCTTAAACATAAAATATCGATTTGTTTCATTTATTCTCATTGGCTAGGTTAAAAGTAAAGGTTCATAATTAAAGTTAATTGTACAAAACAATGTATAAATCGATGACCAGTGTATTATGCATCAAATATAGAGCTCCATAGTTTCGTATACTAATGAAGTGAATGCTTAATGTATACATGCCAGGATCAATCGAGGATTAAAGAACATCATGAATAGATATGGACTGAGCTAGATTACTTACCATTCTGAAAGTTATATCGAATGGTGGAATAATGAAGGAAATATGAATTCTGCGATACCAAAAGGTAAAAATATATTCTATTTTGATGGTATAGTACCGAGTACAACTTTGAAATCATACTTTTTTTAGCAACTTTTCCATTTCTTGATATTTTGTTACATATGTCAAACAATTTAAATGAACTTTAAGAATTGCAGAAAGCATTCCTATATCCCTCTCAAAATGGCACACCCTGTAGTCCCATTTCTGCCAATTTCCTCTGGTTGCTCCATTTACTTTATTTATCATTAATACAATATCTATTACTTTAGCCACGACATTTTCACCTACATTGAAATATATCTAGCATATGTTATAACTGGTATGCATGATATGAATACAAAAATGTAATAACTTCTATGAATAAGTACAAACTATCATATGAAGCATATTGCATTAAATAAAGTAATGTCATATATCATGATAACTCCATTTGCAAATAGCACACACTGATACACTGCATGTACTTACTAGTTGCGTTAATCAGATGCAGTAAGTTACGAGTCATGCAACACCTTCGGCTAAAAAGTCGTTAATTGCTTGCACTTGGTTTTATGGCTCAAAAAGAAAGCTGGACAAAAGAAATGCTTACAATAAAGTGTTCAGCCAATGTACTTTTTCAAGTAGTTAAGAACGAAGTACAAAAATGAGGTTGGAAATTAACTACGTTGCACACCTAACAATATTTGATTTAGTACAAGCTATAATCGGGATATTTCATTGAATACATTGGACTAATACGATACACAAACGTATATCCTACTTGTTAATATGTGTCAAATTTGCAGAATGGCTTATTCAAAGAAAGTGGTTTTGTTCAAATATTGGCTTAAAGTGTACACAAATTATATTATTCCTTGACAATATTACATATACCAAAATCATTGGGTTATTCTGCTAGCGGGCGTGACGTAGAGTCAACAAAAAGTGATAACACACGTTTCCGTTAAAGAACAAGACGAAAGATGGAATGATAAACTAATCAATCATCAGAAGACAACAGTTTATGTGTACATCCATACATGATGAGAAATTGAATATTGCTTTCCGATAAACACATAAAGTAAACGTTCCAGCTGTCGCCTTATTTTGCATCAGAAAGAAACAATAAATACCCTGGTATATGTTTTCATAGCTCATGTTATAAAAATATTCAATCAAAGATCATTTCTATTTCAGGTGATTCAACCTGAATCTAGATGCATTTTGACTGAACTTCAATGTAAGATGGATTGGAGCACTATTGTGGCACTTATTGTTACAACAATAGCATCAACCATGACATTGCTTTTGCTATACGAACGACAAAACCATTCAAACAAACAAGATACAGACTACAATACTGCCCGATCGGCTCGTGAGCGTCTTTCTACTTATGTTTTAGATGACGTCAGAGAAGAGCGCATGAAATGGCGATCCAATTTGAATGATCTCAAAGGAACAATTGTGGGAGTTGAAAATGCTATCCAAGCATCAAACCTAGAAATGGTGGTTGTGGTCGATATTCTGAACTTCTATGAAAAGTTGCTGAAGGGAACCCAAAATGTTAATGCAAAACTAAATACGGATTTAAAAAGTCTGTTCACCTCAGTCAGGAAAATGACTGACATTGTTGGTGATATAAAAGTAAATGAAACTCGTGTACTCACCAATATGAATGCTCAATTAAGAGTCATTAATACATACGATCAAAGAAACATTTCTTTTAGCTCATTAGCTGGTCTTAAAAATAAACTAAAATCATATCGACAAATGGAAACAATGATTGGAAATGTTTTCATTGATGTTATTGACGGTTTACATAAAGTATTCACGTGCCTTTCTATCAAACAGGCTCGCCCAAACAGGACGGGTGAAATATCGACAGAGGAGATGTCATATATATCTGATATTTCCAAAAGTCTTCAGGATCTAGCAATCGTGCTCAATGTTTCTGTTAAAGCAATAAAGAATGTGTGATGTGAAATAACTTGATGTTGTTGGTGGTTTTGAGGATCTAGACCTACAACTGGAGAATTAGCCTTGCCCAAGTCGGTATTTTTTACTTATCTGATCTTGAATTATTACATAATAGAAAACAAGATAGTAAAAGAGACCGACTTGGGCAAGGCTACTGGAGAATCATATAGAAGAATTCGTTTTATAAACAGATATTGCTTAATTTTATCTTTCTTATGGAATAAGTTAAACAATAATTTGTTTCTTTCAACTTTTCTGACAAATAGGCTAACATGTAATCACTGGTCTTGCTTCAAGAGTAGACTGTGGACCCCCCCCCCCCTCTTATCTAGGGGACAGCGGGGCAAGGCGGACACCCTAAGAGCAGTCATTTTTAACAGCTCGTAAAGATATTTTGCTGGGGTTTCTGTCCGCCCGCTGAACCCATGTTTATTGAAACAAGGAACATTGGTTCTCTGAGATACAATGGTATTGATTTTGAAATAAATTTTTGAATTGCTAATATGCCCCGCGCTCACCTTTGAAAAAATGATTTTGTGTGGTCTAGGAGCAAGAACGGCCCCCGTGAGGCAAGAAGGGCCGTGCTATCAGAAACCTTCTTTGAATTGTAGGTTTTACCAAAGTCTTACAGAAGTGGGGGAAAAAGGGCCACTTTTGGGGTAAAGTGCCGATGATTGAATATGGCACCTGGATGAAACAAAATGAACTGCGAGTGAGGTCGGTGCCACGATGATCCCATGTCAGAATAATATCAGGCGATATATACTGTAAAACAATAAAATAAACTTGGTGGTCCGTCTTGCCCCATGGCCCTTCTTACCTCACTGTCCCTTACTTCTCCAGCACAGTTCACATTCTTTATGAAAGGAAGATAGGTGGGGACCAGGGTCTTGAAACCAGACTAGTAATTCCTTAATTCTTAACATTTTTTCTTTCAAAATTTTCAAAGTGGTTACCTTTTGATTGATTTGTTCCTTGATGAGAGATACAGGGTGAGCCAAAAAGACCATATTTTCATTTTACTATTTGATATTTTTGCTAAATAACAATTATATCGTTAGGATATGAAATAATAGTTTGGTCTAATGTGACGACGATGGAGGGTATACATCAACACAATCACAAAATAGATGGGGCAATTTTTATCTTATCCTCGTCGTTGAGAATGTGTAGGGAGGGAATGTTTGGAGCATGTATTTCTATTTTTTCTATTTATTACTCATGTCTTCCCTCAGAGTATGCAATACTTTTAATAATACTTTTAATAATACTACAATACTTTTAATAATACTTTTAATAATACTACAATACTTTTAATAATTTTTATTTCAGGTTAAACAGCATTGCTATGTTCATGATACAATAGTATAGTTTCCATATAGCTTTTGAAATCTCGCTAAATCTCGTTTTTCGTGAGATTTTAAGAGACTTGCATATTAGACCTCTAATGACTTACATTACCTTCTTTTAAATGGCATATTTGAATTCAGTGAAATGTTTTCTCCTTTAATAGCTTTGATTTACACAGTTATGTAATTTGAATAATTTTCTATAACAATTTAAAAAAACTTGGGCCAAATGTCCATAGATGCAATGCTAAAATTCTTTAAATCCGTGGATTATATGTATGTCAATCAACATTTGCATGTTTAATCACATCATGTACATAAACAGGGTCATCATGTGGTATATCATTCAAGTTTTATACAGATTCAACAAACACACTTTGATAAATCATGAAATTAAGCCACTTTTCCAAGATTTTAGCATGTAAATGAATGGAGCTCTAGCCCAAGTTAAAAGCTGAATAAAAGATGGCAGCACGAGATTTCATTGATTTTTCTGCTATTTAGAAACTATCCTTTTACAACTTACAATATTTCAAGGTTGTTGAAACTCTTAATATTACAATTCATTGCAGGTCATTATACAAAGAGTATTGTAAATCTTAAATAACAAACATAGAATATCATTACTTTTTTGCCCAGTATTTCTGAAAGTTAAAAATACATACCGGGTATGGTTATTCCTACACTCGTTAAAGCTTCGTATTATTTGACTTGAATGAAAGTACAATTTATGAGAGAACAGCTTTCTACTTTAGTGACTAGAAGGGGCCTAGAGACAGAAAATGTCACAATTTAACAATTATTTTGCTCACATCATTCCATGTGATTTTCATGCCTATTTTCCAAAACGTCCAACAGCAGTGACTTTAATTCAGGATATTCATCCACAGCATTAACCTTCCTTTTGAATAGACAACCGTTGGGTAAAAAATTTATTTTATATCAAAGTTATTTAAGAAGAAAGTATATTCGTAAAGTAACATTATTGCTCAGAATATTTGTTTTCAAGACAGCTTTGGGATAACTTGAACTATTGAAGTAAACAACCGAGAAACAACAATGAGCAACAATACCGATTTATAATATTAAGATAACTAATTACGGACATTGAAAAAAGATCGATTTGAGTGTTATTTTCAAATAATCACTTCTGATGCAAACTTATACCAAGCATGAAAACGATGTTTGGTTCTGCTGTTATATCTGAGTAGAATGTCAAGTAAGTTCTATAGCTATTAAAAAGGTACAAATGCAATATGATAACTGATGTTTACATCGTGATGTTACTATGACAACCGACTGCGATTGATATCCTTGATTGTTTCCACTTGTTGCCGCCGGTAGCCAGCGTTCGTTATCGTTCAATACATCACAATACAACTCATAGATCTGATTAACAATGTACATCTTTATATTCATCAATCATGGAAACCAATTCTCATCAATGCTGCCATCGCTTTGAGAAGATATAGACAGACAACTGCTGCCATCTTTGTGTCGACCTAGTTGTTTATCGACATTCTTTTTCTCGACATAAAAGGATCGAAGTCAAAATTTGAAAAATGGCTGATATTAAACATTAATTATCGTGCATGTAAATCTGGATTTACTTCAAACTTTGTATCTCTATTAATCATTAATGAGGCTGACCAAACCTAGGCTCTTAAACTGAGTTTTTTTAGTTCGCTTGCATGTTTGGTGTTCGTTTTTAATACCGAGTGCGAACTGGGGAGGGGGTGTATGACATTGTTATTTTTGTGTAACACCATACCTGCTTGGGATTTTCATGTTTGTTTTCCTAACTTTATTTTAATTACGCATCTTTATTCCCCTTGTGTCACAAGCGCGCTTTCATATTTACAAATAATTTGTTCTTACATCTTCGAACTGTCACCTGTGATGACATAAAATCATATACCAACATGTAAAGCATGTATGTTAATTACTTCAACTAAAACGAAGGCATATGTCCTCATATCGGCCACCTCCTTATGACGCTAGGAGAGCACAGTCCATTGTAGATTACAAACAATTATATTTAGAATTTTGTACGACCATTGAGAGATAGAATTCAAACTAACATATACCAGTATTAACCAGATGACATTGGCTTGGAATTAACCCCTAATATGAAATATGAATGCACTTAAACATTAAATATATGGAGTCCAATGGCGGATCTAGAAGCTAAGAGGGGGAGGGCACATTTCAATACAGAAAAATAATTTCCGCGAATAAATTGGGCCCACATTTCGAAAATTTAAGGCTCATTTTTGATGATTTGGTCAAAAAGGAAAGGTCCAAAAAGGGCAAGTAATGCCCAAGAAGGTCTACTATAAACTTTTTTAGCCCCCCCCCCCCCCTCCCTGGATCCGCCAGTGGAGTCCAACTTATTCAGAATCAATTTTAACGTAAGTTGCAAATTAAACTGTCAATATCCGTTGTGTTTTCCCTCTGTAATGGATATGTAATCTTGGGTAATTGATGGGTGGGGGTACAGTCCATGGCTAGTGTTAGTATTAACAGAATATTGCTTCGGTTATAATCTCAAAGACCCGGGTATCACCAGGTCGCATTTACGTATACTTTACTAATACGTAAATAGATAGCATTATCTACTGTACGGACCTTGAGGGAGGGATGGACACAATAATTCGAAGAATGCAAACCCTGCAGTGGCTCATGGCATTGACCGGGGTAAAATATGATTATTTTTTGAATCAACATATATAAGTTTAATAAATGTTTAATCGAGAACTAAACAATAAATTACTATACTATACGCCATTCATAAGAATTTAAATAATTGTTTTAATATTTATACTCACACATTTACATCTAGATTCTTCATAGTATTTCATATGACTGAAGGAATACACTGGTTTTAGAGTATTTATATCATGCTAGTAGCCAGCTTTTGGTAAGGGGGGGGGGGGGGGGCTTGACCCACAATGCCCAGGAATGCCCACATTTTTTAATTTTTAAATGCCTATTATTTGGTTCATTACTAAAACTAGGGGGGCTGGCATGGTCCCACGGAAATTTTTGGATTTTTTGGCTTATTTTTTATTTATGGATTTTAGGACCAAAATATGGTTTATTTTTGAAAATTTGAAATTTTTGGGCTTATTTGGCGCGTTCTGTGCGATTTTAGAATCATATTAAATGATTTATTTTTGAAAACTTTGAATTTTTGGCTAATTTGGCGCATTCTGATCATGAGCGATTTTAGGATCAAAATATAAGATTTATTTTTAAAATTTTGAATCTTTGGGCTTATTTGGCGCGTTCTGAGCGATTCAAGAATCAAAATATATGATTTATTTCGATTAACACTTCGGTCTCGACTCTTTTTGTAGTTTGACCTATTTTCTTGGCCCCAATTTTTTCGGGCCCCAACTTAGAGGGGGGGGATATTCGCCAGTGAGACAGTGTATGATATAGACTAGTCAATTGGGAATGTTTTTAAAAAGAAATTGGCGATATCACATCAAAATACACCGTAAATATGTCACCATATGTTACCTTCTACTTCGAAATGAAAGAAAATCATTCAAGAAAGCAAAAAAGGTAGGTCAATATCTTTTTCGGAGATATCTGGAGTCACATTCAGAATTATATTTTCAGGCATTTTTATGAGATTTTAAGTTATTGTTTTATTGCATTTTAAATTCACTTCTGTCTACTGGTAAGGAGGCCAAGGTCAAGTTCATCTGCCCCTCGTCATTTTGATTTAAAATACAGTCCTTTGATAATGTTTCTAGATATTCAAGGAATATCAACTTATGGCGATCAGGGGGTATACTCTTGTTTACCTGTACTTCTTTAGACACATTGTCCTGTCTGTACAATGCTATAAATAATTTAAAAAACTCTTTTGAAATTAAACTTTGAATCCCAAAACTGACACTTAAAATTGTTATGTTTCATAATTGACAAGAATGATATAAAATCTTTACTGCCTTATAATAAGAGGCATTCCACAGACGGTGCGTTCCTCCGTCAATTTGAAAACATCACGAATGTTTGCAGTTATAATAGCTGTGTAAAGTGAATCATTTTTAAAATTGTGAAGATATGACAGTAAAGGGGAAGAGATTCAAGGGAAATTAATTATATGCCTGGGATATATTTTCGTTTTCAAAATATTGTAAGAATGTCATTTATAAAGCAATTAGTCTGCTGCTTACAATAATTGCGTGCCATCACCTTGGGATGTCAACAAGTTTTTCAAGGTTATAAAATGGTTTATGTCACAAGTAAAGTGGTCCAACCTCTACTTAGCTCTCAAAAATCGTAACAACCTGTAACTTGCAATATCCATAAACTATAATAGACACGTGTCGCCCAATTTGGACTATGTGAATGTAATACTTAACTTATCTTAACTAAAGTTAACAACGCTTGATAAAAATTGATATAATATTGTTCAACAAATACAATAAGAAGATGAGAAATTCACGTTATAACTGGACGAGCAATATTACAAACATTTGGTATTGTTAATAGCTTTAAAACTAATATCAAAATGAATATACCTATTTTCAGATCAACATTGGAGGTTTAACCCACACTGTTGACCGATGTAACTTATCACTGAACGGCAAATGTCTCTATCTTTGCCTTTCTTTGCCCTAAATTCAGGACACATTTTTCTCGTTTTGTTAAAAGAAAAATTATTAAAACACTCGAACTTATCCCCTTTAGTACCTTTTGATATTCCAGATATAAACAACTTAACAATGAAAAACATATCACAATCACAATATCATAAATAAACGCAGATAAACTAGCCTTTATTTAAACAAACTTTATACCTACGCGCTGATATCGAGGTTAACAAGGTTAAATAGTTGACAAATGATTCTAAGAAAGGCACAAAGAAACATATGGTATAATTGAAAAATAAGCTGAAACTGTCGGAGCTCGGTTGTAATGTACGAAGGGATATTTTAACTAAAGGTAAGAGTCTTTATAAATGACATTTAAGCTTGAATACGCATGTATATAATTACATTATTATTTTGTATAAGAAAGGTACGATAAAGTGTTATGATAACATTTACATGCTCCCTGTCTGAGATTGAGACATTATACCAAACCAAGGCCTATGCTTAATATCAGCACTAGGCCTGTATTTTAGGTAAAAATGGGTGCAAGGCCTGGTGCACGGCCACATCAAAAATGTCGCATATTTACATAAGTAAATTGTTCACTATTATAATTAAATTGTACACTACAAAAAATAAACCTGCACCTCTTTCAATTTTAAAAGCCAATTAATTCAATTTCTTCAAATTTTATTTTTCATGCTTCCATAGTTACAAAAAGAAGGTTTATGTTCTAGTCTGTTGATTATTCAAGTTTCATATCATTATGATTTAGGTTACATGTACGTTAGGTGAGATTATAACTATGTTGACGGTCTTCGGTTTACTTGATTTCGAAATTTGTCGAGGGTATTCTACATTCGTTATGTACATACTGTATTTTAGCACTGATCATAAATCTGCGTCTCGTGTTAAGTGTTAAACAGTAAAAAAAGATATATATTTCAAAAGGACGTCTTTATGTCGTACACGAGTATCTTTGATTTGTCTCTAAGATACCGCTGTGAGACTTCAACACCTAAGCCTATTCGTTTATTTTGGATTGTGGTATCTTAAAATTGTCCTATTTTTAAATGCTAATTGTTCTTTGAAATGCCTCAAGTACATCAATAACTGCGACACCAAGTGTTTGTAAAAAGTGCGTGTAAACAAAGTTATCGGCAAATGTTCAAGTTTAGACCTTAATGAAGAAAATGTCACTTTCTAATTTACAAATGGCAATTGCATATAATTAGAAATGTATTAACGATGTTGTATGATTGGGTTGACTGAACTTTAATCGATGTTTTTATAATGTTTTATAGATAACACTAATCAAGGCCCGCTGAGGAATTCAAAACACATTTCTGTGTATGTGGTATTGACCAATGGATGATGTCAAGATAAATCCACCAATGGCAAGATAAGTCCAGGACTATTAGGAACAGATAAATAAACTATTTTTTGGATAACAAAATAATTCAGTTTAAAAGCTGCACGTTTAGATTGCTTCCAAGTACTATTTGTTTGAATGCTGGGTTGACCTTGTCTCGTAAACACATTGCTAGCGCAAATCAACAGGATATTCACCCATGTGTAAAACGTGGTAAATAAACAGCAAACTATACAATTATTAGAAAAGACCACGATTAATACTGACGCAAAAGTTCAGGATGACAGAAAAGGATCGTGATGAATCCGATGGGGACATACAATCGGATCTGAAAGAATCAAAACAGACAGAAAAAAGCACAAGTAAAGATCTCAAAATGGAAACTCAGAACAATAGTTTAATAAACGGCAATTTACACATTCCTGCTGTACACGAGCCACATAAAAACGGCTACACACTTCTACCGGCAATCACAAATGGACACCACCATCTTCCGCCGATCAAAGAAGCTGCACACATCCATTTCACTGTCGGGAACGACGTCGAAGATGAAGATGATGTATTAGAAAACAATTTTCCAGGCTTTGAAGAAAGTGATGACCACAATCATTTCCATAACCTAAAGGAGAAGCTAGAAAAGGTCAACCATTGTAAAATTCCCGAAAAAGCCCCGGATGGCGGATGGGGATGGCTCGTCGTGTTAGGCGCGTTTCTTGTGGTTTTCATCCAGTTTGGACTTTTTATGTCATTTGGTGCAATGTTCACGGTATTCAGTGAACGCTTTCACGAGGGCACTGTGTTAACAGGCTGGCTAGGGGGTTTACAGATCTGTATACAAGCGTTGCTCAGTAAGTAACAGTCTTGAGTAATATCCTTTCTCGGAATAACTGTATTGTACACTATTATACTGTTTACGTAGAATATTATATTTCCATATTATAAGTATTAATTATACAGTACATATAGTTTCACAGGTATGCTGTGTACCCTATTCATATCTGTTTAATGGCTTTGTATAAAAAACCTCCTACCTCATACCCACCTACCCACGTACGTTGGACATGATACAGTCTTTGAAGGGTTCAATTTTAAAGATCTTAGTTTATTAAATCTTAGTTTATGATGAATTATAGATGCATTTGTAACGACCCTTGATGGCAATTAAGTTGCTACTACAGCCCAGCTAGGTTCGATTTCCACTCGGGGCATCGAATTTAGCACACTTTCTTTCAATTTCTCTGGCTTGTTGGACCTATGCTCGCGGTCGTTAGTTAGTTATTCCCCTGGGGTGCCCTCGGGTCAAACACATTACAATGCACCCATATGCATTTATTTATGGATCTGTCATCCGTCTAGTCATAAAATAAAGCCGGAATTGTAGAAATGTTAATAATTAGAGCTATTCTGAGATTTAAAAATCTTCGGAATTGAACCCTTCAATAACTGTATCATGTCCCACGTAGCTAGGTGGGTAGGTGGGTATGAGGTAGGAGTTTTTTTCAAAGCCCTGTTTAATTATAGAATATAATGTCTTGTCATTGAAAGTATATATGAGGGGACATGTTGCCACATGGGAAGGGGGTGGTAGGAACATTCAAGACTGAGTTACTTTACAATTAATGCCATATCAAAAGTTATCTATGAGTAAAAAGATGATTTAATTGAGTGAGTGAGTTATGCTTACCCATGACCGAGCTAACAAGGAGATACCACAGGTGAATTGAATATCGTCAAAGCTATTGCATTGAAATAAAATCCTTGACATTGACAGTTTACTATGACAGCTGCGACAACACGAATCACTGTGACATCAACATAAAATAAAATAGACAAATAACATATTGGATACATTGCTTATTGCACATATATTGTTCATCTCTATTTCAGGTCCATTGTCTACAATGTTCGTAGCGAGGTTCTCTGTGAGGACAACTGTCATAACAAGCGGTATCATTGGCGCCCTCTGTATTATGTGCGCCTCCATCGCCACCGACTTCACTGTTGTACTCTTTACATATGGTATAGGGTTAGGTATGTTCCTTTTCATAGCATTTACTAAAGTTTTGCTCTTATAGCATGCAAGAGCTTCATGGTTTCGAAAAACAGTTTCATCTACAAGTCTACTTAATGTAACATTTATCCAGATCACAAAGGTTCTTAAGCTATACTACCAGCAAACGAAAGTCCTATTCAGTATAAGTGGAAATCATGCACGAAATCTTGAAGTCGAACGAATGCAAATCAGGCTATTGGTCTAGGAATAGCGATATGCAATGACAGAAAAACATTAGTTTTAGTTGCTTGGGGCTGGGTGATGCCCAGGTCTTTGCTGTACTTATACTTGCGTTACTTATGAACGGTCCCGTGAACGGTATGTCTCATATTCATTAATATGATTGATACTTGACTCGACATGTTGATTTAAGTTCCTTGTAATTCAATTTTAAATCAAGGAACTCTTGTCACGCAAATACATTCTCTCTCCATGCCCTTGTTTGTCACACAAATAAATTGAAAATAGCACGCTCCTAACCATTGACTTCCATTTGACATTCCAAAAATGTTGTTGTCAAGAAGGATTAGCGAAACGTAAATATTTTCCTAATTTTACGTACAACGACAAAATCGTTATCTTCAATTAAGATGATGATAAATCTTAGGTCATCAAGTATAAATGTCGATGATAAGCGATACTCAAAATAGCTAGGTCCAAAAAGGGCACTTCATAATCGTTAAGACTTAACACTTATGCAGATAACGCAATTGTGTAGCCAGACTGGTGTAGCATCATCTTCTACTCTGAGAGTACCAGTCGTGTTTGCGCGTTGATACACAGCACCGTGACGGTAATATCACGTGCACGATATTTTCTTCAAAGGTTGTTTCTTTTTGACGGGCCTCCAGGGTATTTCGATTCATCAGTTACTTTGACAATTAGAGGACGAATTAATAAATATACTATAGAGTCATGCCATTCATAAATAACAATGGGTAAATGTTACAAAATGTTCGGTTTGACATTGTTGAGTAAACACGTAGCGTCTGCACGAAACAAACGAGTAAAGGAACAGTTAAAGGGGTTCAGTCTTTAAGTATGATGATTATTAGAAAAAACACTTCCTACATCAGTTGATAAGTGTTGATAAAAATCTTTTTTTTGTAAATATTATAGTATGAAAATCCTCCTGTACATGTAGGACATAAAGCTATTAAAGTTTGCATTAGTCGTACCACTTAGTAGGCAGTCAACTTTTTACAGAAGCAAATTACAGTGCGTATCAAAACCACGGAATCGTAAAACAACAAAACCAGTGATGGCTGCATCGATTTCAGTCAATGCCACAGTAATGCCTTGGTCGCATTTGCTCCGATCCATCGGCCGGCGCCCGCCCGATTGAGTGTTTTGCTCAATGTTGTATTCAATTTTGAACAAAATACTCAATCGGCCGGGCGCCATAGAGAAAATCGAGCAATGTGACCAGGGCATAAGTATGCTGTTATGATTTTGGCCAAGCACAAATCATCAGTCTACATTTCTTCATTAGAAGAAAGTATAGATCATAATTTGGGCTTGCCCAATATCTACTGCATACCTATTGTGGTCAATGCACCATGAAGCCGCGTATCTCCTCTTTTTAACCATATGTCTGGTCATTTATACACATGTAGTTATGGTTGGCTGAATAATCATTCCTTTCACACAATGGGCAAAAATCGACACGATAGGAAACTAATTTTAGACAAAGCAAAAAGCCAGGTGGTTTTACAATTTATTATTGTTGCGTTTTTGTTAGAACTAAATAGTAGCTCGGACAGAATTGCTCAAGGGTCACTTTTTCTTTAATAACTTTTTTAATTTCCAGTATTATCAAAATCTGATTACATACTTGAAAACTAGAGTAACATGCTGACTGACAAATATATTATTTAAGGAACATCTCTTATAGCTCATATTTGTTCAAAAATGGCGGCATGTTTTGTGGATTTGAATAATCATTTGAAAATTAATATTTAAAGAATGTCATAGGCCTACGAAGTCATACAGACTGCTGCTTTGGTATGAGGTAATGACTGCTTTAAAACCTTGTTTTAAATTAACTTGTATATATACTGTTACATGTACTTAAAAAGGTTTGTACATTGTATGTACAGTATATTGGTTGGGGTTGCAGGATTTAAAGTTTTTTGGCCATTCCATTGTTACCCGTAGTGGATTAGCAACCATAGTTCGTTTAACCCGTGCAACTATAGGGTCATACTGCCACCGTTTTTAATGTCTTTCCCAGTCATACGAATCTTAACCCATCCTTGGCATACATGTGAATTGTTCTTCAGCTTTTCAATGGCCTCTGAGATGGCTGATTGTAGCTCTTGAAAAGACCGAGGGCCTACTCTCATCACACCCCGCACATTGGGGCGCCACCTTTTCACATCCTTTTGAACACATCCCCGAACATTTCAACAGAGTTGAGTTCATATATCCGTGGTTGGAGTTGACCTCTTGCATTTGATGATAAGTCAGTTGGTGCATAACATCAGAATTGTAAAGGTGGGAGCATGGCCCTATAGGCCTATGACAATCTTTTAATATCAACTCTCAACTGAACATTCAAATTCACGAAATATGCCGTCACTTATATTATGAATGCCAATAATATCAATAAATTAAGAGATGTTCCTTAAATTTTTTTGTTTTTCAGAATTTCACTCTCGTTTTCAAATACGTAATCAGATTTTGATAATACTGAAAATTAAAAAAGTTATTAAAGAAAAAGTGTCCCTTGAACAATTCTGTCCGGGCTACTATGTATACTGGTATATTTCTCAAGTTGAGGTCATCACTATAAACTGAGTCCCTTTAATATTGGACAATTTTAGATTCAAAAGTTCAAGTTTTTGGAATCAACAAAAGCTTGGTTTATCATGACATGACTAAAAGACATACACTCCAAGGGGGCAAAATGTAGCGATATCTGAACAAATGTACTATCCAAAATTCTCATAAAATAGTCCATGCAAGCGAGTACCGTTTTAATTTTTGAAACACGCAGAGATGTGTTTATTCAAAATAATAAATTCGCATAAAAATTCTCGGCTAAAGATTTTGAATTGTGAAATCTGTGTTCAACCTATAGCTACTAGACAAGTATCTGTTTTATTACTTGATGTCTAGGATTAGAATAGTTGTTTTTTAACCCTTTCGTCTGGGGTCTTGCTAAAAGCACTTGTGACACCCCTCCCTGAACACCTCCCCTGGAGGTTAAGTAGATGGGGTCAAGAGAATTGACGCAAGACTGTTTCGTCAGGAAACTACCTTTTTATTTTGTCAGACTAAAAAGTGATAAAGTTTGATTTATTTCCTCTGTATATATGAACATTTAGTTCAACATCGTTCACAAAAACATGAAATTCTCCTAAATAAAATGTCACCAATAGATTAACGCATTTATACCTTATATTAAGGTCTTATATACCTTATATCTTTCAGGCTTGGCCGGAGCACTGTCTTTCGCACCGTCACTAGTTCTTGTGGGGCAGTATTTTGACACATATCGCTCATTTGCAACGGGAGTAGTGATGTCTGGCGCAGGATTTGGGAACTTTGCATTCCCCGTCTTGATGCGATTTCTGCATGCTCGCTACCGATACGAAGGCACCATGTGGATCCTAGCTGCTATATGGTTAAACATCTGTGTTAGTGGCTCCCTCTTTCGGCCACTGATACAACAAAGGGCTGAACATAGAATTACATTAACCTCACTAAAGAGAACATTATCGAAAACCTACTCACGTGGAAGTTTTCACAGTATGAGTAGAACATCGTTGGAAAAGAAAAAGGACCATGAAATGTCGGAGTTGTACCATGCCCAGAGACGTGTCAGATTTTCTACCCAAATTGAAATAAATGGAATTCCTGAAATCCGAAAGAAAAGCTTCTTTCAGAAACTTTTCCATCCAAAGAAGTCATGGCTTGCGAAACACAGTGGATTCAAAATAAGAAGGCTGAAAGCTATTGATTGGAAATTGTTCAAAAATATCACATTCCTGGTGTATGCCTTATTTCTGTTGGTTGCTGATATGGGCATCGCATTCTACATTTACATCGTTGAGTATGCAAAAGAAAGGGGATTGACCGAAGAGCAGGCACACATGGTGCTGTCTGTGTTGGGAATTGCAAATGTTGTTCAAAGATTAGTTTTTGGCTATATCTGGGACACGAAGACATTCAGACCCTATCGAATAACTTGGTACTGTATATTCACGATTGGCTATGGAATCGGCTTGATTCTTTTCACCGTTGCTAATGGGTACCCTGCCTTATTGGCATTATCCATTTTGGTCGGTATGTCGATCGGAGTGTTTCTTGGACAACGTAGTGTAGTTGTTGCAGATTTGTTTGGCGTTGAACGACTTTACAGCACGTTTACACTGGCGTTATTCTTCGAGGGTATAGGGACATTGATAGGTCCCATAGTCGGTGGCTATTTGAAAGAGACATTTGGGAGTTATCAGCCGACTTTCATTTTTGCCGGGGTAGCACCCATAGTTGGCGGACTTATCTTTTTGTTGGAACTTATACGCACAGGATCATTAAAGATCGAATATGAGACACATTTACAAGCATATAACTTCTCCTGATGTGAGATTCATATAATATTGAATATTTTTATTTTAGAATTGTTAATTTTAAATAAATGCTTAATTAAACATACAAGGCTGTTATTGTTTTTTGGTCAAATTCGCAAATGACATACTAATAAACATGATCTAAGAATCCGTTGGATGTGTTGATAGCGAACAGTCTTTTGACTTTCTTCTAAGAACATTTTCCATGAGCAAAGAGGAAGGAACACTACGTCTCTAAGAGTTACTCAAAGCTTCCCGTATAGAAACAATATAGTGGCTCCAAGCAAGTCGATCCATCTATTTTTAAAGCCCCCATATAAAGTTTAAACCACTTTGGCTTATATTGTAGTCTTATCAAAGTGTGATACGTTAAACCTTTTTTTGAATTTCAAAAAGTGGATTTTGAAGGACAATTAAAACTAAGTTTTAGAGGTCACACGTATCTTATAATAAGCGATAATTCATACCAATGCATAGCATTCATCCTAATGTTTTTTGCCTAAGAAATTAAAACATCGGTTCATAAATGAGCGAGAAATGAACCCATCATTAGATGAAAATGGTTCAGAGAAAAATGCATTTCAAAATTTTAGTTCTCAAAGAAATCAATGGTACAATAATATCTAAAACATAATATATTCTTCCTTTTAACCTTGTCAGACAATCAAAATTGGTTTGCATATTTAGAAAAGATTGTCATTTTTCAAAAAGTTTGAAAATTTTGAGACCAAAGAGGAAGAGTGACGACAGGAACTTGCTCACTAATATGCACATGTTTTGTAGTGCTATTCGACTCAATAGGCAGATTACCATCAAAACTTTCACAGCAAAATTCACATGGCATGAACAAAGTAGTTCTGAAATTTCAAGGCACAAAATGCAAAATTGATCGGGTTATTCAATTTTTCTTCGGTCATGATTTTTGGACACTATGAACAAGGCAACCTCACTCTTGAATTTGGTTCACAATGTGCTTTGATCCAAGTTTTAACAGTTCAAGTGGCAGCAAAGGCTGTTATCGTCACATTTTGAGACCGAATAGGAGTGACGACAGAAACATCTCATATAACCATGTCCAGCATATCCGACTTTGATTATGTTATGATTTTTAAGAATCTTCATACTTATTTTCAAATACCCATTTCTGGCAAAGTTTAATCATTTTTCGGTATTTTCTTTCCAATCTCAACCTTTCTGGGGACAGATTTTTTCAATTAAGTTCTCTGCAAGGTACTGCTAGCCTAGTACTGCATGTTGGGGAGACATCTATTAGGAGAGGTTGTACATAAGTGCTCTTTCAGATTAAATGGTAATATTCCAGTTCAGTAAATTATAATCATTGATTGTAGTCTTGATTCAAGACCTCTCTATACCTTCTTCACCAACACAACCTAAATAGAAAAGGTGGATGGGTGACCAGGGTCTTGAAGCAACACTTGATATCAATGGGATAAGAGGAAGACTAGTGGGATATAACAATCTCCTAAATTATGTCTATTTCATGAGCGTGACTCAGTCTCGAACCCTGACTCGACTCAGTTCATCAAAACTAAACAAGGCACAGACGTGAACAATATCGTACCTAAAACACAGCATTGTGGTCTTGTTGACCAAGAAAGCAAGATGGCCGCAGAAAAGTTAATCAGCTCTAGAACTTATCGCTGTGTAACATATGTAAAAATTTGAACGGTTTGGCTGGAAACCTGTAGACAAGTCTTGAAAGTGTAGAGTTTAGGACAGAAAATCCAAAATGGCCACCTTAAAATTTACCCAGATTGCCCAAAAACTAATCAGTTCTTGACGTTGATATGTAGAAACATCCCTGAAAATTTCAGATGAATCCCTCAAATGGTTTGGCTGGAAACCTGTAGACAAGTCTTGAAAGTGACGATTTTAGGACAGAAAATCCAAAATGGCCACCTTAAAATTTACCCAGAATGCCCAAAAACTAATCAGTTCTTGACGTTGATATGTAGAAACATCCCTGAAAATTTCAGATGAATCCCTCAAATGGTTTGGCTGGAAACCTGTAGACAAGTCTTGAAAGTGAAGATTTTAGGACAGAAAATCCAAAATAGCCACCTTAAAATTTACCCAGAATGCCCAAAAACTAATCAGTTCTTGACGTTGATATGTAGAAACATCCCTGAAAATTTCAGATGAATCCCTCAAATGGTTTGGCTGGAAACCTGTAGACAAGTCATGAAAGTGAAGATTTTAGGACGGAAAATCCAAAATGGCCACCTTAAGATTTACCCAGAATGCCCAACAACTAATCAGTTCTTGACGTTGATATGTAGAAACATCCCTGAAAATTTCAGATGAATCCCTCAAATGGTTTGGCTGGAAACCTGTAGACAAGTCTTGAAAGTGAAGATTTTAGGATGGAAAATCCAAAATGGCCAGCTTAAGATTTACCCAGAATGCCCAAACACTAATCAGTTCTTGACGTTGATATGTAGAAACATCCCTGAAAATTTCAGATGAATCCCTCAAATGGTTTGGCTGGAAACCTGTAGACAAGTCTTGAAAGTGAAGATTTTAGGACGGAAAATCCAAAATGGCCACCTTAAGATTTACCCAGAATGCCCAAAAACTAATCAGTTCTTGACGTTGATATGTAGAAACATCCCTGAAAATTTCAGATGAATCCCTCAAATGGTTTGGCTGAAAACCTGTAGACAAGCTGAAAATTGAGACGCCACCCGCCCGCCCGTCAAGCTGACTACAATATCGTACCTTTTGTTAGGTACGATAAAAATCCCAATCTATACTTTCACTATCATTAGGATTTGATATTTGTAGCCTGTAGATATTGTTTTGTAACACTGCACTAATCATTCCATGAGAAGATCAATTTTTTCAAGCTTCAATGTTAACAGATAAGAAAGTTTACATCAAAGATTATTGATGATGCATCTGGATGCTACTGTGTTTTTTAGGGACTAGGCCATAGGTAAGGTGTAAACTGTAAACTAGAAAAAATAATCTTGCAAATTAACATGTTCAGAATGCATACTTTATACGAGTCCCTACCAACAACTAATTGGATTTTAAAAACCACTTAACAAATAACCTATAACATTTGTTGCATTTCCTTTAGTTTTATTTGTAACTGTCCAATGTAGTTGCACTGGTAGTCAATAAATAATGAGTTTCACAATATGACACTTATTAAAATAGTAAAGTTCTGACTTTAACAGTCTAGATATATTATAAGGTTGTTACTTACTCTATTGAAAAAGGTTTAGTGCATTGCTAAAATATCATGTTCAAATCACACTATCTACACTCATTCTGTGGCTATCAATATATAATAAAACTAAAATTAAGTCTGAATGATTGTTATTTTATACATTTCATGAGAGGAAATGAAAGAATGTGTTAATATTGGAAGAAAGGACCTGATGGATGTCTTTTGTATGATCATGTATTCCAAATTATGACTTAATGTTGATTTTGGTATGTCCCTAATGTTTTAAATTTCCTAAGTTTATTTGTTATTAACTGGATGTTGAGCTCTTGAGGTAAGCGATAAGGTCGGCTCTTTCTTTCTCCTTCTTGAGACCAGCAAACACCATCTTGGTTCCTGGGATGTACTTCTTGGGGTTGGCAAGGTATTCCCATAAAGTATCTTCTCCCCATGTAATACCTGGAAATTCAATCAAGGTTCACAAAACTTAATACTGCGATTGGTAAAACTGAAAAGTTGACCCACATACCCAGAACTCCAATATTGAGCGTTGCATTATTCTTTAAATTTGAATGCTAGATTACATGACTGGGTCGTGCAGAGTTCTAACAGTTCACTGTTGATCAGTTGAAATACAGTAGTGAATATAAACAAATGGAGGATTCTTCAACAATTTAATCTTCTTTACGATTAAGCGATATAACAAGGCAGGCCCATAGCCAGGATTTCCCAAGGGGGGTTCACTTTTTGAAAAGTTCGAGGGGGGTTTCACTTGTGACAATTTTGGTCCAAAAATGGCCAAAATCACTAAAAAAAGTGCTTAGACTGGTAAAAAACTGCATGATTTTGAAAGATTTTTTGGCCAAGGGGGAGGGGGGGGGGTTTTCTCGAACCCATCGAACCACCCCTGGCTACGTGCCTGTAAGGGTCAAATAAAGTAGAAGACTTGTTTTGATCTTTACCTTTGTTTTTATTAGCGTCAGTGTAAGAAAATCCTGGTTGTTGTCCAGTTTTGCGTCCAAACAGCCCATGAAGGTTAGGTCCAACCTTGTGTTTGCCTCCTTGCTCAACTGTATGGCATTGTGAGCAGGACCTCACAAAGATTTTCTTTCCTTTATCTGCATTTCCTTCTGGGACTCCCATTTTTCTAGAAAATATGTTATGCAACTTTTTAAAATTTCATTTTAAAAATAAGTGATAAATTTATTTCATCCGAAGCCAATAAGAAACACTGTTGCGAGTATCCAATTTACAATAACACTGGACAAACAAATTACGCAAGATGTAATGTTCAGTGCATCAAAAAGCAAGAAAGTTCTGGAAGGCTCAAATGACCTTGGTACGTTATAAAAAACCTTTGAATCACATGTCATTGTCATTATATTAAAAAAATGCATTGGACATGATGTATAATGTCTTACAGACCACTCCTGTCTTCATCCTAGCTTCAATCAAGCAAATGTAAATTGCAAAGTATTTTGTAGATTAATAAGTAATTTCGAGGGGGTATTAGTTCCTGTAGTTATGCACATCTTACTCGCATCTTACAAATGATTTTGTAGAACCATTAATTGCCATCTATTGTTTAATTAACTGATCAAACCTGACAGGCTGGCCAGGGGTAAAAAATATAGCTTTATACTAATACTGAGTTTCATGAATGTTCAGATGTATTACTTCCTGCGAAAGCAATGTGGAATTTGATATAATAGCTTTCTCACGGCGCACTTCGACAGCTGAATAATAGTGACCTTTAAAACATGAATAATGAGATCTGCGGCTTACTTTTGGTCTTTAACCGTGTCTTACACCAGTATCATCAATCCGTGCAAGTATTGGAGCGCTGAAATACTTCTTTTTTGATCAAGACTTGTAAATTGTTAATCGAGCGAATGTTTTTTCGACCCATTTCCAATGTGGTGGTTTGCTAGGAGCGAGATACGCAACGAAAAAAATGAATTTTGAGAATGAGTAAGGTTTTAAAGACAACCTCCAGAGATTTACAAAAATGTCAGAGCAGAAAACGCCATATTGGAATTTGGCAGAAAAAACATTCTCTTGACTAACTATTACAAGTCTTGATCAAAAAGGAAGTACTTCAGTGCTCCAATACTTGGACAGAAGGATGATAATGATGTATGCCATAGTTATAGAACTAAAGTAAGCCGCAGATCAACTTAATTCATGTTTCTAAGGTCACTATTATTCAGCTGTCCATTGCTCCATTGGAGAGCCATGAGTTTCAAAATCTAACATGGCTCTTGAATTGAGCAACAGATGTATAGTTTGGCAATAGTGGACTGACCTTAAGAGTTCACTCATGATCAATTTGTCTGATTGCAAAATCAGTGATTCATCAAAGTGAAAGAATCTTTTTGAAATGCTTTTAGGCTATTCCAACACTCTCTAAATCGAATTACTTTCAATTCAAACGATGAATGACCATTTTTAAACGAATCAAACAAAGAAACAAGTGGGTGTGATCTGTTCAAGAATTCCAAATGTTGCGCAATCACACGTTCCATTCCATCAAAGTAATCTAAATCAGAATCTTGAGTGGAATAAAGTCATTTGATCATAGAATTAAAAATTAGTTACTCCCAATATGTGTTTAAATCAAATGAAACCCACAGACATAAAAAGCATTTCTCTAGTCGTGAGTTACGTGAGAAAACGGGGGATGCCCTCAGTGATTTCCGTTTCATCAGAATATTTTGAGGTTTATAGCTAATTTCTTTGATTTACAGATATTTTTAAAACAAGATTTTTTCCACACATATACATTATCTAATATTTCATACGTTCTATATACTTTTTATATTTATAATCACCTGGATATCATATTATTCTTACCTTTCTCTTGGAAAAATTAATCGTGCGATTTCAAAATGTCTTCGGCAAGGTCAATGCTTACGTCACAAGTTAGCTTACATATATATTCGAAGGTAAAACAGGCTGAAATTCAAAATATAGTTTTCTATATATGTGATCAAATATAATTTATATATAATTATTTTAAATTCTTTTATAATCTTTTGTCTATAATTATTTGATAAATGAGCTAATTTCCACTAGATAGTCGAAATCCCTAAGTAGAAAAGAATTAGCCCCTTTTTCCAAAATGAACCCGTCCATCAAAATCTCGTTTTATAATCATACATTCTTTGCATGATTTATCGAAGAATACCAAATCCTAAACCGACAACTCAGACATGAATCTAAGCTTAAGCTGACGATGCAAGTTCGCTCTAATTTTTATGAATTAAAACCTCTCTGATAATTTTTATTTCCAAAGTCTCGAATTAGCACGCAAATTCTCTAATCGAAACCGAAAGTGAGGCTAGAGGACATGTTCAAAATAAATTCTTGGATTTCTATAAACTTCATATAATGTTGTCAACTGCCGCAGTTGTGAGGCATAAACTTTGCCGTCATGCATTCCAGGTATGTTTATAGTATTGTCAACTCATTGACAATCTCATCTCAAATTGTTTTTTTTTACAAAAAAATATGAGTCTTGTCAAATTTGTACTAATCTAATAACAAAATTTTATTATTAGGCCTAGACTCGGACAGATGTCAATCTGGAGTCTATTGTTTTTGCCAGTATTCCTATTCTTCTTATTCTTATTCTTATTATTGTTTGGGAGTTTTTTCAATAACTATGAGGTATCCAGTAAGAACCATAATACAGTTGATTTAGGTTCAGTACAGAGATCACGATAGTTGAAAAAACTTGTTAGCCATTGTGGCTAAATCTTCCAAAATATTTTTAGCCAACCAAAATATGAATTAGCCATTTTGAAAAACCGTAAAAAAGGGAATTCGCAATAGAGGTGTCACGGTCCAAGAAAATTTCGGTACGGTACGGAACGGTACAAATGGTCTCAACACGTTACTTTCGGGACGGGACGGGACAGAACATTAAAAATGATGAAATGTCTGATGATGACAGTTTCACTTTCAGTTTCACTTTTCAAAATCATATTCAGGAATAAAAAAACGTCCATTAAAATTGAATGTAAAGCATCTGCCGCGAATGTGATCGGCATTTCACATAGTCTGCACGGTGTAATATTACCAATTCGTTTACCTTGTGATATCGGAGTCCCAAAATACTTCCAAACTGCCGACTTTTTCGACTTAGATGCCGGCTCGATTTTTCAATTTCTTTCCTACATCCGGCATACTGATAATGCACTAGATTTGCGAACGACGATAAAGAAATTTACGAACAAGCATTACCATATACCTGAAATCGCGGGTCCGTTAATAACACTTTTCAATGCAAAGAAGTGTAATCTAGGTACGAGGTAAGTGAAAATATTTCAGAACGAAATCGGAGGTGTTCCTCGCTATTTATACACGTTTTTATGCATTTTAGTGAAGGAATCTATGTACCGATATTAACCCTTTCTGTCCCATGTCCCGAACCGAAGCATCTGGACCGAAATTCGGTCCAATATCGGGAAACCGTGACACCTCTAATTCGCCATAACTGCGAAATACCTTTACATATTTTTCGCCACCTCTTTCGAAAATTCGCAATTGGCGAATGGCGAATGTCTACCGTGATCGCTGGTTCAGTATCTAGTTGGTGGGAAATTGGGTCAAAATTTTATCTAGGTCAAAGGTCAAGAACTAGGTCAAATCCAGTACTTTGTCACTTTTTTTGATTTTCTCGGTCATCCTTCAATATTTTTGATCCGTTTTTTTTTTCATTGTGTTCCTCATAAAAAAGTAGAAAATCTAGGGTCGATTTAGTTTTTTGGTATCTCAAACCGATTTCGAGATATCAGTGTCCGAAAACGAGGTCCAAAAAAAAGTTCTCCGAATCCAATGTCCAGGATATCAGTCTTATAGGAGATTTTCTCAGGATTCCGAATCTGAAAACCAAATTTCGATTTGACTTCCGGTTCAGAAGTTATGGCGTTTTGAAAATTCAAAAATCGCTAAATTTGGTGCCCCATGTTAATTCAATGGGAAAAAATATTTTTTTGAAGTGTAAAATACGAGATACAGACTAAGCACAGCTAAACATAATGGAAGCCCATAAAAGAAAGGGACCTCAAAACCTTCTTTTCATAAAAATTGGGACACCAAAATGCCTAGGTCAAAATCTAGGTCAAATTCAAAGTTTTTCCTTATTTTTGCGATTCTGACACTACAGATTAATTATATTCTTCAAAATTGTGTATACATGTAGCCAAGAGTGTGCTAATAGTGTTAGCCTTTTGCCGTCAGAAAGTATTTTGCCCCACTTTTGAGATATGGTGTCCGAAAAGTAGGTCAAATTAAAAAATTCTCCAAATTTAACGTTTGAGTTATGAATTAAGTATAGAATTTTCTCAGGAATCCGAATCTGCAAATCAAATTTCGATCTGACTTCCTGTTCGGAAGTTATGACATTTTGAACGCTCAAAAATCGCTAAATTTGGTGCCCCATGTTATGTCAATGGGAAAAAAGATTTTTTTGAAGTGTAAAATTCGAGATATAGACTAAGTACAGCTTAAAATAATGAAGGACCTCGAAGGCTACCTAACTTCAAAATTTGGACACCAAAATCCCCAGGTCAAAATCTAGGTCAAATTCATAGTTTTTCCTTATTTTTCCGATTCTGACACTATGTTTAAATGATTTGCTTCAAAATTTTGTATACAGGTAGGAAAAAGTGTGCTAATAGTGTTAGCCTTTTGCCGTCAGAAAGTATTTCTACCCACTTTTGAGATATGGTGTCCGAAAAGTAGGTCAAAATAAAAAGTTCTCCAAATTTAACATATGAGTTATGAATTAAGGGTACAATTTTCTCAGGAATCCGAGTCTGCAAACCAAATTTCGATCCGACTTCCGATTCGAAAGTTATGGCGTTTTGAAATTTCGAGAAAAATCGATCTGATGGTATCCTGATAGAAAGTCAAGAGTAGAGAAGAAAATATTGAAAAATGCATCCATCCTTCCTTTGTGATCCTATCGTATCCTTCTTATCTACCTTTCCTTCATATCCTCTCCTTCCTATCCTTCCTATTCTATTCCTTCTTCATATTCTATTCTATCATTCTTTCTTATTCTATCCTATCGTTCCTTCCTATTCTAGCCTATCCTTCCTTCCTTTTTCATCCATCCATCCATCCATCTTTTTCTGGATGACTCAGCTTATTTTGGATGACTCGGCTTATTCTGGATGACTCGGCCAAAAAAAGTCTAGATCTGGAGTCTGAAATTGAACTTCGTTCAATTTCCAAAGTCTAGTTATTATTATTATTATTTATTATTTATTATTATTTATTGCTCTCACTATTTACAACAGTGGCACATGATGAGTATCAGTGCGGCAGAATGACATATCATTAAAATACAATATATTACAGCATTAAAAAACATTAAAATATTTGTTAAAATACATTACAATACTGATAATAGACTCTTATCTTCATTGTCATTACAGAAAGTGAAAGTGAATAAAATCAATGTTTGAATATCTCTTTATTGATATCAACTAAAAATGTTTTTGATAGCTTATCAAAAGTAGAACCTAGGTCCTGTCCCCAATATATAGCTACATCATCCCCCAAAATCCAACGTGTTTTCTCAGAAATGGAAAGTTGTAGAAAAATATTGACAATTGAATCCGGGCATTCTTTATTAAACTTTTCAAAAAACATATTTCGTTGTGTTGTTGTGGATGGGCAAGTAAATAAGCGGTGTTCAAGTGTATCCTTTTCTGAGAGGCAAGTACTACAGAACCCATCTGACAGTCCCCTCCTTTCAAGATCAGTATTCAAGCCCAGACATTTAGCGCGAGCTCTGAATTTGATATGCTGGCTGTAAAAATCCATGCCTGTTTTCAGATAATTTTCTAAAAAAGTATGGTTCTTAACAGTCTTGAATAGTGACAATGATGATTTATCGCATATTGCCTCATTAAAGCATCTTACCCATTGTTCATTTGAAATATTTAAATAAGATGTGTACCAGTTAGTATCGTCACGGTATATAACATCATCAAGTCCAACCTCAGTTAGGATTGAGTGGACATTTTCCATAAAAGGCCATGGTGCTTTGTGACCAAGCTTAAACTCATGTAGCAAATAATTGAAAATATCTTTATGGAGTCCATTCTTCAAGGAACTTTTTAAATAAATAAAATAATCAATCTGGCGTTTATGTATAATATCACAGATTGGTCTCCACCCAAGGTCACCAAGGAGGGATTCTCTTGCAGGGTTGCATTTGAGTTGCATTAAGGCCTTAGCCATTTTGTATTGCATAGTGCTAAGATATTTTTCGGTGGTCTTATTTAGTAACATTACTCCACAACCATGGAGTATTGCAGGCAAAAACATTCCGTTATACATTGTATTGCCAAAATCAATTCTTTTCATATTACAATGCTTTGTCAGTGTAGAGCAAATCATATTTTGAATTCTTCTTGACTTGGGTTTTAAAGTGTCTTTAATGTGGTAAGTATCCTTCAAAGAACGGTCAAAATAGATACCCAAATACTTGTAGACTTTTACTTCTGTCAATTCATGTTCCCCTAATATCCATTTTTTCTCATAATTGATTCTTTGCCCTATAACCATTACTTTCGATTTTTTCGAATTAAATTTAAAACCCCATTCAACTGCAAAAATGTCAGTTACTTTTAAAAGTTTATTCAATTGCTGCTCAGACTCGCCCATAAGCACTATATCATCGGCGAAAAATAAAGATGGAATTTTTTTACCTTTAAAGTCAAAGCCAATGTTTTCCTTTTCAAGTGAGCATAATAAGTCGGTCATTATAATAGAAAATAATGTTGGGGAAAGGCAGCAACCTTGTTTTAAACCTGTTTCTGAGTCATACCATGGAGTTGAAAAATTTCCAAAAACCACCTTATTAGATATACCTTCATATGTTTTCCTCAGGAGTCTCCAAAATTTACCCTGTATCCCCTTTTCCCATAATTTCGTAAATAAAATATCCCGATCAATCACGTCGAAAGCCTTGGAAATATCAATAAAAGCCAAAAAAGATTTATTGTTCTTTGCCTTTCTTATGCCACATAGGCCCTTTAAGGCAAATATATGGTTTTCCAATCTCAAGTTGGATCTGAAGGCACCTTGTGTATCCCCAAAGATATTTCTTTTTTCACAAAATGACCTTAATTTACTTTCCATGATAGAAGTGAAAACTTTATAAACATTAGAATTAACTGTGAGGCCCCTGAAGTTATCTAAATTCTCAATATCATTATTTATATGAAAATATGAAAATCAAAATGATCTTGCTGTCTTTGTCGAAGATATAGTGAAATGTGGCTTAGGTATTGACTGAGGTCATTGGTTTTCAATGTCAAGTTATTGTCTACAGATGAGGACATGTCCTCTGCAACCAGTTGTGATTTTGTTTTGACTTCCTTTCAAAATATAAATACATTCATCTTCATTCTTTGAAGGTTGAGTAAGGCCATAAGAAGTAGATTCTTTGTTTTGCGTCCCCTTGCTTGCACGATTTGGAGTAAATCAGAAAAAACAAACACATAAAAATAGTACATGGGTCTGAAAGTACATGTGCCATCGCATTTCTTTAAATCAGAATCAGAGGAAATGACAAACAATTTGATGTTGACAGTCTTATTGATTACTTTGGCATACATTGTGTATTTTCTTATTTTTTACCCTTGAATAATAAGTATGTTTAAATATATTATATAAAATGTTTGTATAAAATGTATAAATATTTGTTTGTAATGACTGCAAATTGATATATCATCCCATTCTATGCCTATAAAATGTATACATTTCTCAGCAAACAATTTTGTGTTTTTTTCTTCAGTTTTTGTTTGTTTTCCTTGTACCCTTGCATGATTTGGATTTTGCCAGGACGCAAAACAAAGAATCTACTTCTTATGGCCTAAGTAGTCTAGTGCAGAGATGTGTCCAATTGAATAATCATGGACCTAGTGTCAAAATATATCGAAGTTTGGATACTCTTATCAAATTACATCAAGGCTAACATCTATTTTCATTAGCTACAAACAAAACCCCCAAACATACCTTATTTCATCCATGGGCTCTACCTGATAGAGCCCATGTTTCATCCAATGTTCAAAATCAAATCAACCTAAATTCCCGGGAATCTTCTCTCGAAACCATAAAACATTGACAGAGAAACAGCTCACTAACCTTTAAATGATTTCCCAGTGATACTGACATCGGATTCCAGCCCCATTTGCAACTTACATGTACGTTCTGTCCAACATTCTGTTTGCTATAGACCATACATGTATACATGTCGAGAAGACCTTAAATATGGATAGATTTGAGGTGTTTTAGTCTTCAAGTTTTTTTTGTTCTTCTTCTTCAGTGGACCAGAATAACTGTGAGAGCTAGCCAGTAATAGACCACAATGGCTGTCATATTGTGTACCCCGATCGTGTACCATGCATACGGTTATATCAGACAACAGCGGGTCCGCGAAGCATTGACATGGTTATACTGTAAACATGCGGTTTTATCTAACCTCAGCTGCAGTAAGAATTTTAAATCGTAGATTCAAAAATCTTTCAAAAAATAAATTGCAGGACATCCATCCTTTAAATTGCTTATTTAGAAGTCTATTTCTAAGTCTGATCGGTGGTATTCATTGACAAGTGCATGTATTTTAACAAAATAGGTACAGCAAAGAAGATATTAGGCCAAACATTGCACTAATTGCTCAGGAAAGGTAAAATGACTCCCAAATTTCCTCCATGGTCTTTATCGCACCTTTCAAGAGAGACGTTGACTATGATAGGAGAGCACAATCAAGACTCCCTTCACTTTTTGCATGTTGAGTCGTACCCCATATTCATTGCTCTACTTACCAACGAGGAAGTACTTGGAAAAGTAAATAACTAGGGTAGTTCCTCACTTTTTCATGGTTTATTCAGTGAAAAATCAGTATAATAATTTGATGGATATTATGATCTACCCTAGCAAATCTACATGTAGTAACATTTCGAAGCCAAGCAGCATCGCAATATAGCATCCTCCTAAGCAGGTGTCCAGAATACGTACCTCCTTCTTCCCCCTGCTATAACCAATTTGGACGCGCCCGATTTAACTGAATCACGTGATCTAATTATGCGCAATGACTTATACATGATTTCTGTCGCAGTGTTGCGACAGCCAATCAGATTGCGAGTTCTTAATCGGGGAATTGCTAACTGCTTATAGCAGGGTGTAAAAAGAAAGAAGATATTCTGGATTTTGAAGCCCTGTGATCGGAGGATGCAATATAGTGGTACTAGAATTTCTTAGATTAAGGCAAGGAGTTCCTAGAAAAAGCAAAACTCCAGATATGTAGTTTTTCAAAATCTCAACTTAACAAATTAATATCGCTGCCGATGCGCCTTTCGACTGGGCCAACAACAAATCTCAGATATATGAATTAAAGGCTAGACAAGGTTTTACTTTTGTAAATTGTCATTTCCTCTGAGATCATTGTTGACCCAGTATTGACCAGTATTAAAACATTATTATAATTATTCATTTTAGAAATGACATGTGTAATTTCAAAATAAAATTCCTAAGGTGCTTTAGAAATGTTGGTGTAATCAGTTTGGTGATTTTGTAAGGCGCTTTTAACTTAAGCGCTTTTAGCATTTTTTTCGGTGTAATTCCAGCGTATGATGATAAATGGGGAAATCTTTAAGTTGGTTATACTTTGCTTAGAAAATTAAAGAGTTATAACTATGTCAACTAAATAGTAAAGTATTAACTCTTAGCAGTCTGCCCACGAGTTATCTTGCAAAATCAGAAATTCTCTGGGGTCTGCCGACGAGATTACTCACACTTTAGGTACTTGGCCATGGGGTTCTGCTAAAGTTCGTTTCGAAACAAAAAATATATAATTCATACCCAACACTTGATGACCAGATCAAAAATATATTGTTTTGTAGCCTATATGTACATGATAAAAGATGTATACTTAATAATTTAATGGTCCAATTGTCCATTTTGCTCAGACCAGGGCAGGATATATTGGGATTTAGTTTATACCGCTAAGAGTTAATAATCTTGTCAGTTGTATTAAAATGTAAAAATAAAATTAGTCTTTTTATTGTGTTTTAAAAGTAGGTCAGGCTTTAATTGTAATTGGAATATGTGCGTCTTTAGTCTTTTCTAAAATGTGTACACATAATATTTCAAAATTCCATGTAGCACCATGATGTAAAACTGGGTCCACTTTGTATTAGATAAGTGAAACCATTGCTTTTTAAGTTGGTAAAACAGTTACATTTCAGTCTGATTTACACCTAGTCTAACCAGCATTTTGTATAATTTTACAAATGACATCCTATATATGCAAATTCTTTACCTTGCAGACATCACTGCCAGCATTAGGATGTAGATGTCTCCACAGGGAGCCAAACAACCCAGAATGGACAAAACTTGCAACCAAACAACTAAAGGGCAGAGATCCAGAGACCTTGACATGGCACACCCCAGAGGTTAGTCTGATTAAAAAGAGCTTTCTAAAAAGGAAAGAGAGTGTAAAGTATTGGAAACACTCTTTATATGAAATGAGAATTTTCCCATATATATCATCCTATCTCTAAAAAATAATTCTATTTGAAAGAAAGATTTGAGATGGTTGATCAAATAATAAAGTTATTGAAGATTTAAATTAACGAGATGCAAAAAATTCATTATGAGAAATATAAAAAGACATACAGTGAAAGCTGTAAAGGGGGACACTGCTCAAAGTGGAACACCTCTGTAAGTGGAACTCTTTTCAGCCAACCAAGAAAGACCAACTGACTGGTAATGTTTATTTACCTCAATTTTCCAGTCAGTGGAAAATGAATAGGTTTAAAAAATAGACAATAACATGTTGAAGAAAATGTCATTGTTTATTTTTATTTGAAGGGTATAGATATCAAACCAGTGTATACCACAGAAGATACAAAAAACAAGGAGGGAGAACTACCAGGAAAGTTTCCTTTCACGAGAGGCCCATACCCCACAATGTACACACAGAGACCATGGACTATTAGACAGGTAAATACAGTGTTTGCAATTTACTATTTTTTACTTTCCTAAAATTAAGGATTTAAGCCTTGGACTCAGTGCATTGTGTGCTGAACCATTCCACGAAGATGTTGTTTCCAAATCTTTGCATGACCCCGCAGGGAAATGCAAAGTTTAGGAAACAACATCTGAGTGGAATTAGGCAGCCACAATTCTTTGACTCTTGGGCTTAAATTATTTTCACACATTGCAAAATATTTTCTATAAAATCACATAAGATACAAAAGCACAAAAAGAACATATTTTCAATGAAACTTTTTGCAAGGGTCAAGTATTGGAATTTGGAAAACTCAATTTCAATCTCGATCGCTTAGCATCTGTACACAAGAAATGCGTTATTGATAGTTCACACACTGTTCATTATGTGGATACTCTGTTTGGATTGGCTGGGATCGGACACACCTTTCCTAGCTATGTGTGAATTTGTCAATATGTGTGAATAGCATTGTAAATTTGGGAAGTAGTAAATAAAGGGCCCCCATGTCCATTGCCAAGGTCATAATCTATGAGGTCATGTAATATAATATGGTGATTTAAAAAAAATGTCAGAAATTTTTATGTACAAGGGATTATCTCTGGATTTGCTTTCAGGTATAGGCCTAATACATAAAGTATGAAGTATACTGAAATGTATTGCTCACCCAGTGAAATGTATGGTGGTTAACAAAATACATAATATAATTACATGCATGTTGAAACGATTGAAGGTAGAGCACCTATTATTATTAACATATGTACTTGTAGTATGCAGGATTCAGTACAGTGGAAGAGAGTAACAAGTTCTATAAGGAGAACATTAAAGCTGGACAACAAGGTCTAAGTGTGGCATTTGATTTGGCTACACACAGAGGGTAAGTTCTACATGATAAAATCTCACAAATGAATAAGTTTAATAAAACAAATAAAACCTTTGTAACTTTGGGTTCCTATTGGCTTTTCTTAGTGTTCCACTTATACATGTATGGGTTCATTCTGTCAATACATGTAGGTAATGGGACTTTGAAAAGGATTCGACTTATAGGGTTCCAAAGTGACTTTCAGAGATGTTCCACTTAAAGGGTTCCAGGGGCATAGCCAGCAATTGTCAAGTGGGGTGCGATTTTTTGAGTTTGCATTAATATGTGCGAAGTGTTGCAGGCATGGGGGTTCATCCCCGGGAAATTTACATTGTATATGGTGCACCCACCCACCGCTACGCCTATGGGGTTCACTGTAGAATTATTTAAGTATGGCCACTGAGTGCACTATACAGTCAAGTTCATTATTTTCTACGTTGTATAATTTTGACTAAATATTGTATTCCTCAGAATGTTGGCAAATATGTACAATTATAAACATCATACTTTTCACACAGAAATCTTGAAATCACAGATGCAGTATTGCAGTATTGCATTATTGAGAATTGTATTTGCCATTCTTTTTCTTTCACTATTACTAGCTTGAGAACCCCCAAATAGTGAGGGTTAGGAATTTAAGAAGCATTATTGTCCCAGAGAGATAGGATTTTGACAAAGTACTTCATCCCTGGATTAGGGACTTTTGAAATACATATTCCCCATAATTGTCTATTTCACTTCATTTGCCCAGTTATCCCAGGTTAGGGGATTTTTGTTATTCCTACCCCTTTTCACATGGGGTCTCATGCAAACTTTTGAATCGTGCATTATAGTTACCAACTTACCATCAATGTTTACTCTTAAGTTGTTTCTAGAAGAAAATTCTATGTCAAGTCAAAAGTTAACACCAAATATTCTACATACTGTAGTCCTGATTTGCAACAATTTTTAAGTGTGTTTAATTTTTAGTCCATGAGACACAGTTAAATAAATTGACTGCTATTCTAGTACCTCATAAATGAACTAAGAGATATTGTAAACTGCACCATAATTACATTCCAGATATGACTCTGACAATCCCCGTGTGTTTGGAGATGTTGGTATGGCAGGTGTTGCTATAGATACTGTAGAGGACATGAAGAGACTGTTTCTAGATATCCCCCTCTCAAAGATCTCTACATCGATGACGATGAATGGTGCTGTCCTACCCGTCCTGGCCTTCTTCATAGTCGCTGCAGAAGAACAGGTATGTTTTTTATACAATTGTTAATTGACGGGCCTCTCCAACTGTCCTCCTAGGGATTAAAGGGACCGTACATTCCCCATCCACCAAAACAGTTGTTAAGTTTGTTGATTGAAAACATGCCAATTTCTAAAAATTGATGTACCAAAATTTAAATAGAGGATATCCTATGTTTTTTGAATTCTTCTGATTTTTATCCAATCATGGATATGATATCTGTATGAGCTAGCATAGTGAGAGAATATCCACATCGAAGAGTGGAAAAAAGAGCATACATACTGAATCTGATTTAGATTCATAGGTCTGGAGGGAATCGTAATATGAGGTGTTACATGAATAGGTTCTTAAACTGGATGAGTCTCACAAGCAGATAGTGATGGTACTGAAGTACTTTATATCACTGACTGACTGTACACATTCTCCCAAAATTATTGGAATCACCAAACAATTGTTTAACTGAATTCAACTGTAAACAGCTAGTGTAACTTTTAGTTCAAGAATGTGGAATAGAACTTGAGCTAACTTGTGAAGCAAATGGTTTGTTCAAGGACCTCAGGATATGCTCATAGTTCTGGATGATATAGAAGGAGGTTTCAATACACTTGATATGGTTGGAGATGAACATTTTGATGAAGAATGCTTAAACTAGACTGAGGAGTCAGATGACTACACTCCCCAAACAGTAATAAATGAGGGACACATACATGTATACTGTACAGTAACACAACAAAAACATTCTTAATTTCACATCATTGGATCATGCACATAATATACTGTTGATGGAAAATATATTTGTTTTAGTCTTTACCAAATTGAGAACTTTAAAGATGGATATTTAAATGGTGTGTTTTGAAACTGAAATCAGGAATAAAAATCTTTGTAAAGGTAATAGTGAGTAAAAATCCCATCATATTCTAGAGACAATGATTAATAGGTTTATGATATTTTTCCTCATGCTAACTCTCAACCTTTTGGATCTTACCTGTTGTATTATCATCATTGACATTATCTGATTGTAGGGACAATTTCCAACCTGTTGCCTTGGTGATATACATACATGTATATACAATATTCAGTGTAGTAGTGTACATGTCTGATTTAATGTCTAACAGAAGACATGTTACAACGATTATTGTCTTTACTTTACAGGGGGCAACTCAAGCAGAGCTAGCTGGTACCATACAGAATGATATCCTTAAAGAGTTTATGGTGCGTAACACCTATATCTTCCCCCCTGAACCATCCATGCAGGTCATCTCGGACATCTTTGAATACACTGCAAAGGTAAATATATAAAACTTTATGAATCAGGATGCAAGGCTGGTCTTGTTGGTATATTTCATGATTATTATTAGGTTAAAAAATCATCCAATGTACTGTTTGTACACCTAACTTGCTTTGTGTCTTGAAAATGTACCATGGTTGATTTTTAGAATAAATACAATATCATATTACACGCCTAACCATCGACAATGTACAGTGACAAAATGTACTCGTGTACACTTTAGCTGTTTGAAGCAAAAATTGTGGTTCTAAAAGTTTTTATCTAAGTTCCAATACAGAATTTCTTGAGCAGAATATATCCTGTATTGCACTTCAAATCATTCAATAACTTATATCGTATATGTCGTCTCGTTCCAATACAGAATATCGAGAGCAGAATAACTTATAATATTCCTTAAATAAATCTTTTAAAACATACATCACAATTTTTGCTTCAAACATGACAACATACACCTAAAGTGTACAACCGTCTATCTATTTTGTCACTGTACGGTCGATGGTTAGGCTTGTATAAGTTCAACTGGAATACTTTTCTCAACTATCTCCATGACTTTTCAAGTGTAAATAGACTGCAGGAGACAATGGTGTTCTTGCACCGAGTATTAACAACCTTTGGAATTCCTTTTGTCCACTACTTATTTCTATGGGCATAAAATATATTTTCATGTTTATAGAATATGCCAAAGTTCAACTCTATTTCGATCTCGGGATATCATATGCAAGAAGCTGGTGCGGATGCTGTCTTGGAAATGGCTTTTACTATAGCTGATGGCCTAGAGTACTGTAGAACAGGTTTGCATTAATTGTGTAAGGGTTACGTACTTGGAGGTTTTGGTTCCAGGGTTTATCCCTAAGGGAAATACATGTACATGTCGTATGTGAATCTCCCATGGGACTGCAGGAGGTCATTTTCTTAAAGATTTTGTTTGATCGTAATTTTTCCCTAAAACTGTTCAGATTTAATATATACGTACTTTGATAAATTCTAAACCATGGGCTTTCAACTAGAAGGGTATGCAAATTCCCATATTTCACACATAAGCATTGCTTTGGTTTTCAAAATTGGAGAATGTACACATTCCAAGAATTTGTACTTTTTATTGATGATTTAAAGAAATAAGTCAAAAATAAAAACATGATTATCTACATACATGTTGATAATTTAATAAAAAATGGAATTCATCATAATTATGACAATACAGAAAGTGAACATTCTCCCACAAATTAAGTTTTTATTGGAATGTGTTCTTGAATAAGTTCCAACAATGCAATACTCGAAGAGAACATCTTGATACCTCTTATTCTTATTTGTCTTTTTGGTTTACTTTATTTATTTTTAGTTATTTTATACAATTTTAGGATTGAAGGCAGGATTGACCATCGACCAGTTTGCTCCGAGACTGTCTTTCTTCTGGGGTGTTGGAATGAACTTTTATATGGTCAGTTTTATAAGATTATTATAATTTATAGTTTATATAGGCATGAATATATCAGTAAAGGTATGAATATCTTCACACATTCTACTGTTCCATGATATAATATTATGTAATTCATGGTATCGAAGCCTGGGTATCAAAGATGATGTAGCATTATGAACTTGTTCTAACTGTCAAGCTGGTATAAGAATTGAACATATAACATATATATGTTTTATTTACCATAGTTATCTCATCACCAAAAAGTGTTGACATATTGTTATGGTCTCTGTTTTTTTTGGATGGCGGTCGGTGGTTGGTGATCATCGAACTACCAATAACTTAGAAAAATTGTTTAGACTGACTTCAATTTTTTTCAAAATCGTCTACATGTTTTCAGAAGTTCAAATCTGACTATATATTGAAGAATTGACCTTCAATGACCTTATCAAGATCAAAAAAGGTCAAAAAGCTCTTTTTTCAAATTAACCAATCCTTTTTTTCAAAATTATCTACGAGTTATCAGAAGTTCAAATCTGACTTTAGATTTGAGATTTGACCTTCAATCTTCAATGACCTTCTCAAGGTCAAAAAAAAGGTCAAAAAGGTATTTTTTCAACTTGCTTCAAAGTGACCAATTTATTTCTTCAAAATCATCAACAAGTTCTCAGAAATTCAAACCTGACTTAAGATTGAACTCATAATATTGTGAGCACCTAGGTGGTAATATTTTGTCATGTTAATGCCTTGTATAACACTGACATGAAAATAGTAATTAACTTGAACTCTGATTGACTCAGGTACCTAATCAACAGTTGTCACAGCAACCATATTTTAGAGACAGCTTGGTCATAAACGTTTGACTCAGTCGTATTATTTGTTGCTATTTCATCTGCTATAGCTTCTTTCAACTTTGATGACATGACTCCAAAAATGTCAGTCCATCTGTGATGGACATGCATACATATTGTTAAGTTTTTTGATGTTGGTGTGTTTATGTTATATAATATAATTTTTATTATATTTCAAAACATCATATTTTGTACATGAAAAAAAAAATCTGGGCCCTCAGGAAATATCATATTGTCCCTCGGAATAAAACCCATATTGAATCCCTCCCAGTAAATAACCTCTTTGTACATCTTTTCAGGAAATTGCTAAAATGCGTGCTGCAAGAAGGTTGTGGGCGACATTAATTAAGGAGAACTTCAATCCATCCAATCAGAAATCTCTCCTCTTGCGTGCCCATAGCCAGACTTCGGGTTGGTCCCTAACAGAACAGGTTAGTGTTTCACTGTATAGGATCATATAGGAGCTTTAAAAGTTGGCATTTTCCCATGAATGTAAGTGAAGTGAAGAATACTACAGTACATGATCTGTATTTAGAGAATAACTACTCAGAGAATTTGAATCAACTTTAAAAACTAGAGTTAATAGTTCATGCCTTGATTATGCTTCATTATGCCATTGCCATTTTACAGTTTTCCAATGGTTTCAGGACCCATATAACAACATCATCAGGACCACTGTTGAGGCAATGTCTGCTGTATTTGGGGGTACACAATCATTACATACAAATTCTTTCGATGAGGCTTTGGGCCTACCTACTAAATTTAGTGCTAGAATAGCTAGGAACACACAGATTATACTCCAGGAAGAGTCTGGATTACCCAAGGTATGCCCCCTTGAATTTGAAGTCATATCTATAATTTTTTAATTTAATCTGCAATCCTAATGGTATTAGCAGAGTGATATTTTATCAGAAATTACATGCAAGCATGACACATCATCTTTTGGCTATTGATTTAGTATATACTGGCCATTTTGAGAATTAATGGCAGCCATTCTTGTAGAACGTAAAATAATTCAAGGAGCTGCATCGTGGCATGGCCATTATTCAGTAAAGGTGTGATATAATCAATTTAATCCTATCAATGTATTTTAGGTGGCAGACCCCTGGGCTGGATCTTACATGATGGAGTGCTTAACTGATGAGATGTATGAAGCTGCATATAATGTCATTCAAGAGGTAAAACGCCAATTTTATACTAAATCTAGTATAAACAATGTTTCAAAGGTTTCTGCTGGTTGTTGTCAATAATTGTAAAGGGATTTCTTTATGTCAAGGCTTGATTATTGCATGTCATCCATCTATGGTATGTATGTATGTATTTACAACAACAACCCTTTTTAGAATCAAGATTTAAATACTCACATTGCAAACTGAGAAATAATCCCAAAAACCTAATTACAAATCATCCAATAGAGTAATGGTTCCTTTTCACCTAAGTGATTCTCAAGATCCCCAGAAAATTCTTTCGCTCCATATTAATGGAACGTGTGGCTCAAGATTCTAGATCAACTATAACATATGCTATGTATCTTTTAGACTTTAAAACTATTGCCTTTTATGGGTAGGTTGAAGAAATGGGTGGGATGGCCAAGGCTGTTGCAGCAGGTATGCCCAAGTTGAGAATAGAGGAATGTGCAGCTAGAAGGCAAGCTAGGATAGACAGTGGTTCAGGTATATAGACAAGAACATGTAAATGGTTTTTGAGTGATTAATTTATTAAGTGATCTATCTAGAAATACACGTAGTATTCAAATAGTTATGACTTCTTAAAGTAATCTTGTAATGGTCTTACTGTACTGAGATTTCAGTAATACATGTATTCTGTTGAGGCAGTCATCCGTTAAATATATTTTGTGCTGTAATAAATAGCCAGAAATACCAATTCTGAGCTTTGATTAGCTGGCTCTTTTACTGTCAGTACATGTATATGTAGTTTTATGTAGGTTGTATTCTGCTATTGTCAAGCAGTTTAATGTTTTAGTTGTAGTTGACTAGTTACATAGAATTCAATCCCTGTAGCAAAAAGAAGCCTCAAAATAGGCATTAGAATAAGTAAAAAATCACAAGACCCCCTCCTGATGATAGCTGAGAACAAGCATTAATTATCCCACCGACTGAAGTTCGAGGGGGATATAGAAAAGCTGTCCATCCGTCTGTCCGTGCGTTCGTCCATCCGTTCATTTGTTCAAGAGATAAGTCAAATACTGGTTGATGGATTTGATTCAAATTTCATAAGCTTATGCCTATGGGTGTAGAGCCTCTGCTCGAGAAGAAATTTTAAATATGGCCACTCAATTCAAAATGGCCACCATTTTTCGTAAAAAAAATAACCTTGGATAACTCAAATACTTGTTGACGGATTTGGCTCAAATTTTATATGCTGATGCCTAAACACAAAGGAGCTTTGCTGAAGAAGTGATTTTCAAGATGGCCGCTGATTTTCAAAATGGCAGTATCATTTATCGTAAAAAATGAGTAATGTTTGTTAACTCAAGTACCAGTAGATGGATTTACTTCAAATTTTATATGCTTATACTTAGGGACACAGAAGCTCTAGTCGAGAATGAAATTTCAAGATTGCAGCTGAATTTCAAAATTGCCACCATTCTTCGTAGGAGAACATAATCTTTAATAACTCAAAAACCATATATTTATATGCTGATGCCTAAAGACATGAGAGCTCCACTCAAAAATACATTTTCAAAATGGCTACCAAATTTCAAAATGGCCAACATTTTTCATTAAAAAATGTAATATTTGATAACTCAAAACCCTGTTGATGGATTTGGTTCAAATTTCATATGCTGATGACTTAAGACATGGGAGCTCCACTCAAGAAGTAAAGACATTTTCAAGATTGCTACCAAATTTCAAAATGGCCACCATGTAAAAAATGTAATCTTGGATAAATCAAGTACCAGTGGACAGATTTGGTTCTATGATGATGCCTTGAGATAAAGGAGCTCTGCATGGGAAGACATTTCCATAATGGTACCTGAATTTCAAAATGGCTGCCATTTTTCTTAAAACATAATCTTAGATAATTCAAAATACCAGGAGATGGATTTGGTTCAAATTTTTTTTTTGATACCTAGGGACAATTTTCAAGATGGCTGCCATTTATCAAAACAGTTGTTGTTTGGTGGGATTAGTTCTGTCTATAACCAAGCATGTTTAAATTTTGCAGAGGTTATTGTTGGTGTCAACAAGTATGTATTACCAGAGCAGGAGCAGGTTGATGTGCTTGCGATTGACAACACTGCAGTTAGAGAATCTCAAATGGCAAAGTTGGCAAAGATTCGCAGTGAAAGGGACAGCTCAAAGGTAGGAGATGAAAGTCATTTTAATATACACTCAATGTATGAATGCTTCTTCTATTTTTATTTCCATTCCAGGCTGACCCTCTATTTTCTATTTTTTATTTTTTATAATCAGCTTTATAACACATTCAGACATTCACAATGTATCACATAGCTGTATTTTATGTAACTATTTGTAGGCGCAACTGACCTTAGATGCAATAACCAAGTCCTGTGAAAGTGGTGAAGGAAATCTCTTGGGACTGAGTATAGAAGCAGCTAAGGCCAGATGTACTATTGGGGAGATTACTGATGCTATGGAGAAGGTGTTTGGTCGCCATGTTGCTACAGATAGAATGGTCAGTGGGGCTTACAAGACAGAGTATGGTGAAGATTCAGAGATTGAGATGGTGTCTAAGAGGGTTCAGGTAGGATCAATTATGGAATTGATAACCTTGATTGAGGTTTACTGGAGGTATTGTGTTATCTCATATTTACCATACTCATGATCATGTTTTAGTGTACATCTTATTCTGTCCTCAAGTTTTGCCTGAATAGGGCACTTACATGTACAGCACCGACAAAAAAGGAAAATGGAATGTTTGCACAGACTGTTTCAAGGGAAATAAAAAACTTTGATACATTAAGGGAAATAACACTGAACAAAAAATGACAATTAGCGTGCAACATTTTAGGAGTTTGTAGACAATGAAGGTAGACGTCCCAGGATTCTAGTTGCTAAGGTTGGCCAGGATGGACATGACAGAGGTGGGAAGGTTATTGCAACAGGATTTGCAGATCTCGGATTTGATGTAGACATTGGACCTTTATTTGCTGTAAGTGGAGTTTAATTACATGTAAATTATCTGTCTCTGATAAATATTATAGGGTCTGACTGAAGAACTAAATGTAAATCATCTATATATATATTTCATTGGACATTTTTTGATTAAAATAAAAGCAATGAATAACTGAATAGTTATAAATATACATAACACATTAGTGAGATAATCAGTGTTACTTTTTACATCACTTCATCAATTTGCTTTAAGAGGGAATCCAAAGTTAATGGTTTTAGTATATAGTGTAGTAATTTAATTTAGTAACCTTATTGTTTGCCTCAGACTCCAAAAGAAGCAGCCCAGCAGGCCATAGATGCTGATGTACATGTGGTAGGAGTCAGTTCTCTAGCTGCAGGACATAAGACTCTTGTGCCACAACTCATTGAGGAACTCAAGGCCATGGACAGACCGTGAGTAATAGGTGTTTCATAAAATATAGATTTATCATATTAATTCCCTATGTAATAACAAATGAGAAGGTTCTTGTTTTTTGTCACCACCAGAAGTGGAGACATATTGTTATGGTCTCCAACTGTTTTGTGGATGGTGTTCGGTGATTGGTAGTTGGTGTTCAGCAGTTGGCGTTTAAAGTAACAAATGGTAGGTGGTGATATTTGCTTGTTAATACATTGTATTTTGTTAAAGGCCCCATGCAAGTTTGAAACTGTAGTTTAATCATGAGTGGAGACATATTGTTATGGTCTCCATTTTTTGAGACGTTGATCGATGCGCTGCAGTTATGGTCGCTAAATTCTTGCAATTTGCGAAACAACAAGTACCGTTTAGACTGACTTCAATTTTTTTTCAAAATCATATACACGTTTTCAGAAGTTCAAATCTGAATTTTGATTTAAGATTTGACTTTCAATGACCTTCTGAAGGTCAGAAAGGTCAATAAGGTATTTTTTCAATTTGCTTCAAATTGACCAATTGATCTCCTCTATGTCAAAAAAGATTTGACCTTCGATGACTTTTTCAAGGTAAAAAAGGTCAAAAAGGTCTTTTTTCAACTTGCTTCTTCAAATTGAACAATAGTATTTTTTCAACTTGCTTCAAACTTTCAACTTGCTTTTTTTCAAAATTATTAAAAAATATTTGAATTTGCAGCCATTTAAGAAACCTATTTAGGTTGAAAATTTTATTTGAAATAAATTGACAATTTTTCGAACAAAAAGTCCTTCAACCAAAAGATATGAGCCTTGAATATTCACATAATTATGTGACCAACCAACATCATTCAAATCATATATTTTTGTATCATATGTGTATTACAGGGATATCCTTGTTGTTGCTGGAGGTGTTATTCCCCCTCAAGACTATGACTTTCTCTATGAGGCTGGGGTTGCTAACATATTTGGACCTGGTAAGCATTTGTTGAACAGCTGTACATGCATGCATTGATGGAGATCTTCTAGGTCACCAAAGTAATATAATTATGATTTCTCGGGGACCAATTACATATCTATGTGTCCCAACATGTTTGACATTCAATGGGTAACAGTATCTGTTCAAATATGTATTGATATCATTTTAACTGAAATTGAGTGCACAAAAACATGTGATACACGTTCAAATTGCTCAAGGAAAAATATTTACATAGCTGTTCTAAGACGCTAGTCGACCTCCTTTCTCCATTTTGCATCTGTAAGAAACTTGTTACCCCTTTGTAATCATTTGCAATAATTTACAAGATGGTTACAGCTTTTCATGTTAATGCCTTGGTATTTAATGTTACATCGTTTTTCAATCTTTCCAATCATAAATCATCTTGTTTCCAGGAACCAGGATCCCAGATGCAGCTTTGAAAACATTAGATGCAGTGGAGAGTGCCATCAAAACAAGGAGTGAATCATAGCATAATTAACTCAGTGATTTCACGAGTATCCATTTTGACTAACATAAGTTATTTGTTGAACAACTGCCAGAGAACAGTAGAACATAGAGAATGTGGACATTATTCATGTTTTCATGCCAAAAAGCTACTGTGAGTGTGATGTATGCTATTGTGTCTGCTAAAGCTGTGCAGGTTTTTGACAAAGGACATGATTATTCACATGTATTGATATTGTAGCTACGGTGTTCAGTACACATGTATCTAGAATGGTCAATTCAGTTGTCAGTTGTTCTTCCTTGGCAATGAAGCATAGAAGCTTGCATTTTTATCTGAAATTTGCATCAATTCGGCATTTTTGGAAAAAAACTGTCTGATTGTAAGGAAAATCCATCTCAATGAAGCAGTTAAATGGAGTTGTAAGCTTTGATAAGCTACAGGAATGCTTAAGTGGGTGTTGTGCTGTGCCTAATTTGTTCTTTAATATGACTAAAGCAACCAAATATGATATTGGTACAGCACCATGAAAATAATAAGAAAATAAATGATCTAATTTATTCTTTATTTTTTTATTTATCTGAATATGAATTAAATAAAAGTAAGATGTGTTCCATCACGTTTAAAAGTTATACATTTTGTGAGCTGGATCATAGACTTATACATGTATATGAAAATGTTATAAAAGGCCAATTATATGAAAGCACAAGGATAACAAGCTAGGGTAAATGTTCAAGTGGAATGTGCATATAGTTTTACTTTTATTATTTACTAATAAAATATACAAAACTACATTTTTGTGTCTCTCATTTTTATTATTCATTAGTAATCTCAATAGATAATAAATAAACTTTATGTGTATGAGTACACCTCCCCAAATTGTTAAGTGAACAAGACAAAATGTGAAAACCTCATACTAAATACATAAGACAGCAGATTTGATATCAGACATTAACACAGAGTTTTTAACGGCTGGTGTTCTGAGAAAATGAGAAGCCAATTTCTGCTAAAAAGTTCAACAAATCTTGAAGATTTATTTTTTATAGAGAACGTTTACTATCAAATTGCTAAATGAATGGGCGCATGGTATGGTAAAATATGTTTTCCAGGATTATTTTGAACTGATATGCTTTCAAAGGGTAATTCTGCCTGTTTATGTGCCTCATGTATTTTGATCGTCACAGATTTTTCAAAGGGAGATTTTTATATTGACAAATCAATTTCACATTTCATTGGTTAAGTTTCAGGATCTTCTATTTGAGTTTAATGGAAAAAATTGATCAAAATAGATTTACCCATCACATATTAGCACAACGGGTGGTCTTATGAAATGTAGTCTATTGTAAATGAAACAAGGTACATGTAGTTTGGATTTGCACAAGGATTTATATTGGCTAATGCTTATGCATCCATTGGATAATTCACTCTCTCAAAGTTTATAGAATCATTGTAAACTTTCTGACAAATTATTTTATCTTTAAGACGATTTCAATAAACTGGAATTTACAAAACTCCCCTAATTTCTTAAAAATAGACTGATCCAGTACACACACCTTGAGCTGGCATATTGTTTTAAGATCTTTAAAAAAGGTAAAATTTCACCAATGTGCAAAATTATTGTCATTGCTGCCTTTTTAAAATAAGTTTCCATATTTTATATTAAAAGTAATCTAAAATTATTAAAACTGAACAGAGGGAGAGTAACCTGTTTTGGTGCACAAATTTAATTGAATTTGTGTATTTGAAAAATGAAGTAAGTATTTTACATCTCTGAAGAGTGAAAAATTGGGACATCTGAAGTTATAGGATATAGTCAAGTAACATCTCTTATTTAGCAGTTATGTCCCTATCATTGAATATATGCCTAAGGTCTGTCACCAATATAGCCCGAGCTTGCGAGGGTTATATTACGACAGACCGAAGGCATATATTCAATAATACGGACATAACTGTTGTATTACATACTTTTATATCATGGCTACGTTATATCAATGACGCCACTATCTGTGTGCGAGTGAAAGTAGGAAGAAATGAAACATGACGTCCCGATGACGTCATAAGATTGTCATGGTAAACGGTTTGGCGGCTATACAGGAATATATAGCCGACCTTCAGCTCCATTGACTTCAATACAAATGCTTCGCTGGGTATGTAATACCATGTAATATAGACACATCACCCCCCCCCCTCTGCATTCAATTTTAATTATTTTTTGTATAACGTTTTGAAATGTATTTCAGCCAGCAATGACGGTTATTATGTGATGATAATGTCACTTACAAATGTGAATTAGAGATCGGTAGACCCCTGTTGCTTGATTTATAGCGAAAGCAATGATTCGTGCATGTTGGTAGCATTGCAACTTCTTTAATAGGTCTCACACCTTAGAAGTGTATCAGTTAAGAAAAGATTATAAAATACCAATTAACATATTCACCTTACCAACAACTGTGCGCCTCTTAATTTAGCAATTTATTTGTAAACTAGTTCATGGAAAAATATTTCTTGCAAATTTGTTGAATTTTCTAGCAAAAAAATCAACTACTCCCTCTCCATTCATATTTTCCGAACACCGGGTGTGGTTTTTGGAGAATACAAAAAGTAGATAGCAAATCATAGATGAAAGAGTTGTTAACAAAATGGTTCATCTAAAAAATGTCTACAAAAATGTTTAAATGTAGCAAAGGGGTATTATAAATGCATTCAATTTCAGTTTCATTTTAACTGAATCATGCTGCCTTCCAGTAAACAAAGTTAAGACAAACCACAGAATAATAGAACTACTTTCTACAAACACAACACTCTTTAGAAAAATCATATGTTTGTCCATAAAGGTACATTTACATGGAGTTTTATCAGTTGGCTTTATCATTTCTATTTGCAAAACCTTGAGATATCATCTCCATTTCCTCAGCAGTGTATTTTGGTGTCAAAACAACATTATCATAATCAAAATCTGTATCCAAGCTAAATGCCTCAACATCATTTTTCACATCAATGACTTCACTGTTTTCAGTCCCAGTATTGTTTAACTGTGGTGGGTCACTATGATCAACTTTATAACTCTGAGTGGAAAAGTCAAGTTGTCTCACACGTTGAATATCACATGCTCTTGGGCTTATCTGTACTGTCTCAATCTCACCAGGGTAGTTTGTAACTGTATCAGGAATTTTAATTTCAAGTTCATCATCATTACTTTCACTGAGATCATTATGGGGTTCTTCAGGAATTATGGGTACACCAGCGCTATCATAGAATTGGGGGTCAGACTGAGGGGGTGACAAGCTGAGATCTCGGATCCTGGGGGAGAGGATTGTGGTCCCTCCCCGGGGTGTTGTGTTTGTGTCACTGAAGTCTGGAAGATAAGGAGCCTCGTCATCTCCTGAAAGTAAAATCAATTTGTGAATATTTCTGAACATACATCTACATAAGGTTAAGTAGCTAAATAAGTATTACTTTAGCAGATAGTCACAATGTCATGGAACTGTAAACCCATTATCCAGTTGACATTTTTAGGTTTAAATTGAGCAAAATGATATCCCTAACTTTAATTAATGACAAGAAGTAGATAAACTGAAAGAATATATAAAGTCATATTCAGGCAGTTAAACGTTTTGCAAGGCAGCAACATACCTACTTTGACTTTTAGGCCCGTTATTAGGATATTAGGGAGTTTAAGCTTGCAATGTTTTTCACAACCTCAACATGAATGGAAAATATCTAAGCGATGCATTTGTGTGGGAATTGGTCATAAGTTGATTTTACATGCAAGCTTAAACTCCCTATTGTCTCAAATTATAACTTGTATCTATAACTTAAACAGATTCTCTCGACTACATGTATACCACAAAATTATATTTTTACAAAACCATTTTACACAGAGCTAGAGAACACACTCACCAAGGTCAATATCTAGGACATCTTCCCCGCTATCATGGTTACTTTCATCTTGTACAAAGTTATCCAGTTTTACAATGCTCCCTGGAGTCTCAGCTCTCACCATAACTCCACTTGTTGAGGGAGCTCCAGGTAGCACTGGAATGTCAAAAACAATAGCTTATAAACCAAGATCAGAGAAGAGGCATATATGTATCATATACAAAGGTCTTATTTCCTCATGCTGATGAAAAAAATATCACACCAAATCAATTCTCCCTTTCGCGGTTCGCCCTTTGAATCAGAACGTTCGCAAATATGCACTGAAAAAGCACTCAAAAAGGACAAAATTTGATAGGTCAATATTTTCCCACTATGCATTTCGCGTAGCTATTAGCGTGACCCGAAAGTTCTAAATCAAACTAATTATGCAATTTTGTTTTTACTTGCGCAAGCTAAATACAAGAACACAAATGTGTACAAAATGTCCCCACCAATGGGTGATCCCATCAAATGGTTATCCTGAAAATGAGTAGACAAGACTTTACCAACACAACTTGAGGACAGAAAATCCAAAATGGTCACCTTAAAATTTACCCAGAATGCCAAAAATTTAGTTAGTTCTGGATTTTCAAACTAAGAACAACCCCTGAAAATTTTTAATTGATCCATCACACAGTTAAGCAGAAAACATGTAAACAAGACTTTACAGACAAGATTTTAGGATGGAAAATCCAAAATGGCTGCCTTGACATTTACACAGAATGCCAAAAACTAATCAGATGTAGATTTTCACACTAAGAATCATCCCTGAAAATTTGAGATTGATCTACCAAAGAGTTCACCTAAAAACGCGTAGACAAGACTTTACAGGCAAGATTTTAAGACGGAAAATCCAAAATGGCTGCCTTGACATTTATCCAGAATGCCAAAAAACTAATCAGATCTAGATTTATATACTAAGAATCATCCCTGAAAATTTGAAATAGATCTACAGGACGGTTCACCTGGAAAATGCGTGGACAAGACTTTACAGACAAGATTTTAGGGCTGCCTTGACATTTACCCAGAATGCAAAAAAACTAATCAGTTCTACATTTTCATACAAAGAATCATCCCTGAAAATTTGAAATTGATCTACAAAACGGTTCACCTGAAAACGCGTAGACAAGACTTTACAGACAAGATTTTAGGATGGAAAATCCAAAATGGCTGCCTTGACATTTACCCAGAATGCCAAAAAACTAATCAGATCTAGATTTTTATACTAAGAATCATCCCTGAAAATTTGAAATTGATCTACAAAACGGTTCACCTGAAAACGCGTAGACAAGACTTTACAGACAAGATTTTAGGACGGAAAATCCAAAATGGCTGTCTTGACATTTACCAAGAATGCCAAAAAACTAATCAGATCTAAATTTTTATACTAAGAATCATCCCTGAAAATTTGAAATTGATCCACCAAACGGTTCACCTGAAAACACATAGACAAGACTTCACAGACAAGATTTTAGGACGGAAAAATCCAAAATGGCCGACAATAAAAAAGTGATTACGAGTTTTTGCTGATTTCTTTTTACAAAATTATCACATATAACTACTGTTAACAATGACATAGGCTTTTACAACAAAGGACATCTGAAATTATTTATAAAGCTACTAAATAGTTAAAGTATGAAAACTCTAAAACACCATTCAATATGATACAAAGTATTATCGTGCGCTAACTTTTCTTAAGACATTCAAAATGGCTGACATGACTGAGCTAACAGGTCCAAAACCTAATCAGATCTAGAATGAAGTGTATGCACTCATAAGTTATCCCTGAAAATTTGAAGGTGATATCTGTAGCGGTTTTGGAGAAAACTCCCGGACGTACGGACGGACAGACGGACGGACGCGCCTAGGCCGACAATATGGCCCCACACTATGTGGTGGGGACATAAAAACAATGTCTCCATCGGAAGTATTCTTTTTTGTCATTGCTTTAATAGTCAGTATACCGAGTTTAATCAATGAAAGATTGTACAATGAACAACAAAATTCGGAAACGAGTACTATAGATTTGCTTTCGAACCACTGAACGGATTGACCTAGATAATAGCGACGCGTCTTCTTTGGTCTACTGCTCAGTTGTTTGTGGGTTTTCAACGTAACTCTAAAATGTAATTTGAAGATGAATACTTTTATTAAGTTGTTGCATAGATGTTGCGGTTTGTAGTGCGGTAAGATTGGCATGAAAGTATTGAAAGTCGAATAGAATTGTTTTTTTCCAATATGGCGACTAGTCAACTGATCATGTGACCTTCTCTTTCGGAATATTTTCTCACTTTTCAATCATCGTTTTCACCACGCTATGAATCAATACAATGAAAAAAATAGCTGTTATATAAAGATTAATAAGAGATCAATCGTTTCTAATATTTTTTTCTGCACTCTCGTATGGGAATATGATGAATATATTGATTGAAAAATAGGTGTGAAAATCCCCATGTTAAACCTATGAGGGAAAACAAGGAAGTATAAATTTGTTCCTCCGCGAACTGCATCATGGGAAATATTTTGACCTTATAAGGAAAGATTTTCGCGTCTCCTCTTTTGAAGAGGGAACAACGATTTCGAGAATTCATATACATGGAGGTCAATTTTATTTCAAGGGATTTAATATTTACCATACTGATGGCTTAGAGGGATATTTTATGGTGTAGTATAAAATCGTAAATCATCCAGTAACTAGGGAAAATAAATCCCCATGGTCTTGAGCGCAAAATGTGTTCTAGTTTTTCACTGGGTGCTACGCCCAGTTGAACTCTAAAGGCCGCCCAGTTTGCTTCCAGGTGAAGCTTTGCGCCCAATTTGAAAAACATATTGAAGTGGGTGCAAAATGATTTTGAAAAACAATTGAAAACAATCAAGTCAGAGCAATTGATATTGTCTCTTCTATAGTTAATAAATTCTACTCAAAACATAATCAGATTAAAAGAACATGAACCTTTGAAAAGACAAATCTGAGGTGAAATTGACAGATAATCTTCAGTATTTGATTAAAAAATACTGAGGAAATAATCCTTTTTCTAGACTGGAAGTAGGCTTTTCTTAACAGGAAGTCAAACTCTGGATAACATAAGATCATTCTAGAGTCAAATTGATATCCACTTTGAGTATATTGCTGGTATTAAATGGTCATGGATAGAACCTTGTATAGTAAAATTTAACAAGTGAAGTCAAAGTATGGCATGTACACAAGTGTAACATGTCAACTAATAATGCAAGTGATAGCGACATATTTTTTGAAATTGAGCACTACAAGGAAAATGCAGGTGAACTCATTGTGATTACCTGAGACTAACATATTTATGATGGTCTCAGTGATTACATGTCAGAGGGTAGCATCAGCACAGATTTTTTTAGCTTTAAAAGAAAGAATTTGTACCAAGATGAAAACAATTCCTGGGGAGATCACTATACGTATACAATACATGATTTATACATGATTTATCAATAGAAATTATGTTCTAGATGTCAAAACATGTAATATGGCGAGTCTTGGTGACATCATGTACAATTCTGTGTCACATAGGCATATATCAAATCACCAGACTTTTCTGAGTCATTGATGAATTTACTATACCTTCATTAAGAGTCTCAATCATCTCATCTGAATCAATATCCTCAACTTCAACATCATTTTCTTCTGTGTTATTGGTGTGTTCTTCAGCATTCCCATTTAAGCTCTCGTGAAACATTTTCTCTTGCGTCTTAATCAACTGTTTAGTGATGTCATCTTTGTGAAGGTAGGTGAATGATTTTAGAAAATTATCGTAACTTTGTTCCTGTTTGCTGCCAACTATATCCAAAGCATTACAAGCAGCTTCACTCAATTCATCACTGGTACTTGAGGCTGTGTTAGTATGGTTACTGTTAGTATGGTTACTGTTGGTAGGAGTGCCATTGTCTTGGGATTTTAGTTCCATTGGAATCCCAGCTTCGTTTTCATGGTTTTCATTATTTGTTGACATTTTAACAGTTTTTGTCATTGTTGTTTATGATGGACGGAATGTATGGAGTGATTTGTATAAGTATACTTTGGTCACATGTCTTCAGTAACATTTATATCTACTCAGTCTTATTCACATCAAAGCATCTCTTTTGAGAAATGAGTAGCCTTTCTGAAAATAAATATTGTCATATATTGTTATTTATTGGTTTATATTCTCATATATTGTTATTTTTGGGTTTATATTTAGAGGTTATGTCACTATCGTTGCATATATATTCAATGCTTTATTGTACTAAAAATCCCTTTCGGGTGAGTGTACAGCAAATAAACATGATAAAATAAAACTACAAGAACACAAATGTGTACAAAATGTCCCCACCAAGTGGTGATCCCGTGAAATGGTTATCCTGAAAATGAGTAGACAAGACTTTACCAACACAATTTGAGGACGGAAAATCCAAAGTGGCCACCTTAAAATTTACCCAGAATGCCAAAAATTTAGTCAGTTCTAGATTTTCATACTAAGAACCACCCCTGAAAATTTGAAATTGATCCGTCACACAGTTAACCAGAAAACATGTAAACAAGACTTTACAGACAAGATTTCAGGATGGAAAATCCAAAATGGCTGCCTTGACATTTACCCAGAATGTCAAAAAACTAATCTGATTTTCATACTAAGAATCATCCCTGAAAATATGAAATTGATCTACCAAACGGTTCACCTGAAAACGGGTAGACAAGACTTTACAGACAAGATTTTAGGACAGAAAATCCAAAATGGCTGCCTTAACATTTACGCAGAATGCAAAAAAAGTAATCAGATGTAGATTTTCATACAAAGAATCATCCCTGATAATTTGAAAGTGATCTATCAAACCGTTCTCCTAAAAACGCGTAGACAAGACTTTACAGGCAAGATTTTAAGACGGAAAATCCAAAATGGCTGCCTTGACATTTACCCAGAATGCAAAAAAACTAATCAGTTCTAGATTTTCATACTAAGAATCATTCCTGAAAATTTGAAATTGATCTACGAAACGGTTCACCTGAAAACGAGTAGACAAGACTTTACAGACAAGATTTTAGGACGGAAAATCCAAAATGGCTGCCTTGACATTTACCCAGAATGCCAAAAAACTAATGAGATCTAGATTTTTATACTAAGAATCATCCCTGAAAATTTGAAATTGATCCACCAAACGGTTCACCTGAAAACGCGCAGACAAGACTTCACAGACAAGATTTTAGGACCGAAAAATCCAAAATGGCCGACAATAAAAAAGTCCTTATGAGTTTTTGCTGATTTCTTTTTACAAAATTATCACATATAACTACTGTTAACAATAAAGTAGGCTTTTACAGCAAAATACATCTGAAATCATTTATAAAGCTACTAAATAGTTAAAGTATGAAAACTCAAAAACACCATTCAATATGATACAAAGTATTATCGCGCGCTAACTTTTCTTAAGACATTCAAAATGGCTGACATGACTGAGCTAGCAGGTCCAAAACCTAATCAGATCTAGAATGAAGTGAGCTGAACAAGATGTTAAAGTTTTAAAAGCAACTGTGAAGCAGTTTTTCTTAAAGTTTGCAGACAAGGATTTTAGCATTTGACTTCAAAATGGCCGACAGGAAGTAGGTATCGAGTTAATTTTTTTTCATCCACATCTGTATGCACTCATAAGTTATCCCTGAAAATTTGAAGGTGATATCTGTAGCGGTTTTGGAGAAAACTGCCGGACGTACGGACAGACGGACAGACAGACGGACAGACAGACGGACAGACAGACGGACGGACGGACGCGCCTAGGCCGACAATATGGCCCCACACTATGTGGTGGGGACATAAAAACTATACATACAATTACAATAACATACAATGCAAATTTTACATGGCATATAATGACAATATAATGTGATTGACTGATCATTAGATATATACCAACAACTACTATTAGCCTACACCTACATGTATATATTTATATTGATAATATAGTTGTTGATCTCTTTTCAATTATTTCATAAAGGTATTTTGCAAAGGTGATACACATGTTACCCTCAGCATTAAACATATAATTAGCCTTTTCTTCGGTAGTCAATACAGTTAGATTTGGGCAAATCGAGTTAAACGTATCAAAGTATTCATATCTCATTTTTTCCAATTTTTGGCACTCAAAAATAAAATGAATTTCCGTACCAGTGGTGATTTTACATAATTTGCATTTTCTTTGATCTCTCGGAACTATTGGTCTTGTATACCTTCCTCGCTCTATTTCTAAATTGTGTGCACTTATTCTTAATCGCGTCATAGATTTCCTATGTTCGGCGTTCTTTATTAAATTCAAATATGGTTCTTTTCCCCATCGTTGTTTGATATTATTCAAAAATTCTAATTTCCCTTTATTATCATTGACAGTTTTTTCCCAATATTTTATATATCTTTTTTCAAGGATTTTCTTAATATCAAGCGGTTTACTTTTAATGTAATTTTTATCTTGTGGTTGAACATATGCCATTGTTTTATCAATGTCATAGTACCATGATGGTTGATTATGAACTTTTGATAGTTCAATACTATCTGCATATGCATTAATTAGTAATGAACTCGTTCCTTCATTTTCTATATGATCTAAGTATTTAACTTGTTGGTAAAATATATTGATAAACAGAGGGAATCTACTTAACTCACCCATCGTAGCTAAATTACTCGTTTTTCTATGCACCCCTAATAGAAACTTCAAAAAAGATAGATGTAGTAATTCCGGTGGAAGTGACTTGTCATATTTCATTTCAAGGCCAAAATCTTTATTTTTCAGAAGATCTTTATTAGTTATTAGACCAGCACCCCAGATTTCACATCCATATAATAAAATTGGTTTTACTAATATGTCAAATAATTTCAGGCACAAAGTTAGGTTAATATCACCATGTGTAAGCATACTTATCAATTTGAATTTCGCCTTTTCTGCTTTTTCTTTAATAAAGATTGCAGCTTGTTTCATCGATCCGTTGGCATGGAATTCCATACCCAAATAAGTATACTTTGATACGTTTTCAATTACCTGGTCCCCAATGTAGAATATATCATTACATCGTTTACCACTTTTATTAAACATTACAATTTTAGTTTTATCAGTATTGATATCTAAGTTCCATTGTTTACAATAATTGTTTAATTTTTTCAATTTTATGTCCATATCAGTTTTATTTGCAGTAATTATGGCTAAATCATCTGCAAATAGCAGGCAACTTATTTTTTGTTTTTGTAATTTTAAGTCTGATTCAAGTGTTAATTCTTCAACAACATCATTGATGTAAATATTAAACATTAATGGACTGAGTGGGTCCCCCTGTTTAACCCCCCTCTCACATTTAAAGATATCAGTATGGTCACCGTTACTGTTAATTCTAACTGATGCCATTGAATTAGTATACATGTGTTTTACCATGTGATAAAAATGACCTCGAATTCCTGCTTGGAGAAGTTTGAGATACAGTCCCTTATGCCATATCGTGTCGAATGCTTTTCTTAGATCTACAAAGCAAATATACATTTTCTTTTTCTCAAAGTGTATAAATCTGTCAATTAGCGTACGAATAATAAACATATGGTCTGTGGTTCGTGACTTTTTCTTGAAGCCAATTTGGTTTTCCTGTAACATTTGATTTTCTTGAACATAGTTATATAAACGATTATTCATTATTATGGAGAACAATTTTGACAAGCAGTCTGATATAAATAGTCCACGATAATTTCCAGGATCACTTGAATTACCCTTCTTGAAAACAGTTATTATTGATGATACATTCCACTCTTTTGGGAAGAGTGTATTTGAAAACATAGTATTAAACATCTTTAAAATAATATTCCCTATCACAGGGTATGATGTTTTTATCATTTCATAACTGACACCATTATGGCCAGTCGCCTTTTTATTTTTCAGGCCTTTCACTGCTTGCCAAAGCTCTTCATCCGTTATTTTATAATCTAAATTATCAAATGTTTTATCATTTTCCAAAGCCTTTATTTTCTCATCCATAGTCGTGTCATTTGATTTATCTGTAAAAAGCTTGGAATAGTGATCATACCAGCCCCGTGGTGATATATCATTTCCGTCACTACCCTTTTCATTATTTCTCATTTTGTCCAATAGTTCCCAATATTCTTTAGGGTCTGTTTCATACAGATTTTCTAACCTATTTAGCAGTTCTTTTTTATATTCTTTCTGTTTACCTTTACAACACTTTCTATAATGCTTTAAATATTTGAAATAATTGTGTCTAACACAGCTATCATTGGGATTTTTCGTCAGTATCTGACCAAGGGATTTAACTTTCTTTCTTAATTTAACACAGTCATTGTCATACCATTTATTTGATTTTATTTGTTTCCTCTTACCTGACATCTTTTTCTTTTTCAGTGTAAGTTTGGCTGCATTTATAAATATACTTTCAACTTGAGTATTTATAGAATCTATGTTTAAATTATGTAAATTTTCAAGATCTTTCGTAATTTGGTTAATTAACCCAATATTAGTTTGACTTGTTAATGCATCTGCGAAATTTTTAGTTTGTGTTGGGTCCCATTTAAATTTACTAGCAGAAATCCGTTTGATAACTCTGTCATCACTACCACTAATTTCCTGCTTCAACTTTGTTACCTTATTTACCCTCAAAAGCAGTGATATCATGCAATGATCAGTCAAATCTGTCAGATATTCACTTATTCTAAAGTACATTATATTTTTGAGCATTTTCTGCTCAACTATACAGTAATCAACTACACTACTTCCGTTCCATTTATGACAAGTGTAGTTGCCTTGCGAATCGCCTATAACTCTGCCATTAACAATTCTTAAGTTAGAGGCTTTACATAGTTCAATCAATTTTTTCCCATCAGCATCTATCTTATTATCACTGCTGGAACGCTCATGGATTGGTGTATCTATTTGGTACGGAATGTCATGAGGGATATAATCATGTATTTCATCATTCTCAATGTAATCTTTCATATTACCAGTGCGGGAGTTCAAATCCCCAAGTATTATTACCTCACCTTTCGTTATATATTTACTTACTTCGCTTGTTAAGGTGTCATACATATCCGAACCGTCATCAGATTTGCCTTTGTAATTACTCGGGGACATGTACACAACACATATAAATATATCTCGCTTGTTATCAAAATATTCTCGTGATAGTTTTGCCCATAATATATTGGGGTTTTTAGTTTTAATGAACGCTACACCTTTAAATATATGTTTTTTAACCAATATCGCGATTCCTCCGTGTCGTTTATTACCTGTTTTGGACCGAGTTACTTCACATGATGTGAAATTCTTTAGACTACTGAAATCGTTTGGCTCGTCCTTTGACCCATGTGTCTCTGTTAAGCATACAATATCATGATCTTGTATTTGTGAGATGAAATCTTTATCAATTATTTTATCGCGTGTGCGACTCTTTAACCCTTGAACATTCCAGCAAGCAACAGATATGTGATGAACTACTTGTAAACCTGTCATATAGCCTACGATTAACACTTCTAATACACAGGATTATATACATATGAAATCCATATATCTACTACGATAGATCCAACCTTTAAAGATTCTTAATCTAATTCAAATATCCTTATCTAATCGATTCTTATACTTAAGGGCACAAGATTCAATACAAGGAAGAGCGCATACTCTGTGTTTATAGTATTTTATGTCACATCATATTTTGTATCACACTATACTATGCCTATTGTATCAATAAGAGACACGTATCACGTATTTAGAAAAGTTATAATATTAATTTTACAAAGATATATATTGTATACCCATTATAGTTTTGATATGAGTCCTTCCCTGTAAGGTGCCATATTCTAAGTGTTTAGCATAAAGTCCCAGAGGGTGCGTTTTAACATAAATAAATACCCAGTGGGTATTCACATTACAACAGTCTATAACTAATGTAACAATAACTAGTAGACCTAGCAGTCTTAATATTTTCTGGACCTAAAGGAGTTATTCCTAGATCTTGTTTGTTCATAGTTAGTTGGACGACCATTGAATCTTGGTTGATCATATCGGTTTGGCCAATTGTTTGGCCTATCATTGCTGTTACGCCTGGGGTGGGGAAGACCAAACATATTTCTTAAAGTATTCAATATATTTGCACAAAGAATTTTCGTGCCTTGCATATTAATGTGTACGTCATCTCGGTAGAATTTCGCATTTGGATGACCATTGTAGCCAAGATTTTCATTAGAGCTACAAACCACATTACTCTTATCATGATATCTGGCTTCCAATCTTGCATTGAGTGCTCTCTGACGTACGTTCCATTTAGCATCATCTTTTCTTGGGGGTGGTAGGGATAATATAATTTTACTATCTTCTTTCAGTGTTTCAGTAAGTTGGACAAGTTCTTCCATAGATTCCATTATATTATCATCTGATTCTGATTTTACATCATTACTCAACACTTGGTAAATTATGACGTCTGGTTTATCTTTCATGTTCTCCAATTTGCCTTTAGCTTGCTGGATTGTATATGCTTGCTCCATGGTGGTGTTGAAACCATACATTCTAGATGGGTCAACGTGGGCTAGGATAGATGAACCCAAAATCTTAACCTTGGGTCTATCATCCTTAGTATCAGAACTTCTGCTTTCAATGGATATTTCATTCGGTTTAGTTTCACCATTACCAGAATCTGTATTTTGTTTCTTCCCTTTAACTTGAGTGAATGGCGCGGTGTCACTATCTGACAACTTTTTACATTGTACAGTCAGGTCAAAAATCTCATCTTCCTTTTTCAATAACAGAATTGTCTTTTCTGATAGCTTTTCAGTAAGAGCTTCTATTTCTTCATTTTTGCAGGTTAACTTTTTTTCTATCATTTCTTGGTCTTTAACTTTATTTTTCATGCTTTTGATTTCTCTTTCTGATTCTAGTATACTGTTACTTTTAGTGCTCATTGTTTCATTTAGCTCTTCTATTTCTCTATTTTTGGAGCTTAATAGTGTCCTTTGGTGTTCAATTTCACATTGTAATGTTTTGATTTTATTTCCTTGTTCTAGAACAAAGGCTATCCTTTCTTTCTTTTCTGCTCTTAATTTTCGCACCTCGTTTTCACAGAGATTGTTCTCATTTCCTGATGTATTGATGTTGTTATTTTCTTTTATCTTGTCCATAAGATCACATATTGTTGTCTCTAGTTTGTTCAATTTGTTGTTCAGTTTTGATATATCTTCACGAGTGACCTGATTGTCCTCTTCTAAACTTTCATTTTGTAATTTCATCATTTTCGTAGACTTGTTTTGACTTTGCTTTTCATTTGATGTGTTTTGTGGCTGCATAGCTATAACCTCTTTGAGTTTTGTAGGTGTATTTTCATTATCAAAAACCTCTTTGAGTTTTGTAGCGTTTTTGTCCATTGTTTCTGTTGGTGTTATGTCCTTCATGTCCACTGTTTCCACACCATTTATTTCTCTAATGTTAATGTCAGCTTGTTTGATTGCCTCTACCACAATTTTTTCTCCCTCAACTTCTACTTCAATATCAATGACCGTATTATCATCAAGGTCTATGAGTCTAGTATCATCATCACTTTCTTCATCAGTTGATAGATTGATTGTATCAGTACACATTTTAAGATTATCAAAGTCATCGTTGAATGACGTGATGTTGTTTCCTTGCACTTGGATTGTCCCAGTCGTTAAAAAGATTGTGAGTTTGTATTTAATATCCGTAGACTTTTCTCCTTCTCCCTGAAGTTCGATACAGATTTTTTTATTTTCATCTTTTTTTGACCATTCTGCTGACAAGAAATCGTTGTAGAAAAGCATATATGCCCGAGGTTTTCAGTGATATATAGCCTGACCTTGGGAGGGACATTGATCACTGAGAACCGAGGGCATATGTGCAACTATAGTGACATAAACGATTTATAACATACCTATGACGATCTAGTCTGGTCAGAGAGTACCGTTTTCTTATCTAATTGACTAGCAATGGTTCGGAAATGATGATTTATTCCCATGTTTGTATCTTACGAATGTACGAGTCAATTTGACCTAGGCCTAATGTATGACGTAGTCCTAGCGCTTGACCAATCAGAAAGTTAGTGGGCGCGGGCTTTTCAAAAGTTATATTGGCCCTCTGTCTTGTGAACAGTTTACACTATACATCATCATAGGTATGTTATAATGTCATATATTGTTATTTATTAGTTTATAAAGGATTAACAATAATTACTGTACCCAAACATATACATGTATTACACAAAGACACAAGTAACATGTCCTCCCATCCCCCCACAAATGAGTGATCCTAGAAATATAGATTTTTCACCTGAATGCCCTACAATTATTTTCTACAAATCCCCTACATGTACACCTATCTGTTGAAAAGAGAACATTTTAGGACAAAAAATCCAAAATGACTTCCTTTATACCAACAAGAATGCTGAAAAACTAATCAGTTCAAGATTCTAATAAAGAGTCACCCCTGAAAATTTGAAATTGATCTGTCAAATGATTCGCCTGGAAATGCGTGGACAAAACTTTACAGACAAGATTTTAGGAAGGTAATTCAAAATGGCCGCCTTATTATGTTACCCAGAATGCTGAAAACTAATATTATCAGTTTGTCATTTTCATACAAAGAATCATCTCTGATAATTTGAACAAAAGAACCCTTCAAACTGTTTGCATAAAAAGGTGTAGACAAGAGCTTACAGACATGATTTTAGGACAGAAAATCCAAACTGGCTGCTTAAACATTTATCCACAATGTCCAAAAACAAATCAATTTGAGATTTTCATTCAAAGAATCATCCCTGAAAGTTTGATATTGATTTGTCAAATGGTTCGCCTGAAAACTTGTAGACAAGACTTTACAAACAAGATTTCAAGAGAAAAAATCCAAATGACCACCTTAACATTTACACTCAGAATGACTGAAAACTACTTGGATCAAGATTTTGGTACAAAGAATCATCCCTAAAAAATGGATTGCCTGGAAATGCATAGACAAGACTTTGCAGACAAGCTTTTAGGATGAAAGCCAGGAAGAAAAATCGATAAGTTATATAATCAATTCACAACTCGTCATTGCTAGAGGAACAATTGTCAAAGCATCTTAAACTAGATAACAGCAGCACCAAAGCGTAGCAAATCCCATTGATCTGCGATGGCTGCCAGTTATAGCAAAAATCATAAATTAACACACATGAAAATGCCAACCATTTTCAAAATGATCGCTCACTAGCCAAATTGTCGTAAGGAAGTGTAATATGCTTCTAAATAGGCACATGTCAAACTAAACGTACACGCCTATTAGTCAAAGCGTCATAAGACAGTATGTCATGCTTATGAGTATTCAAATATCAAATTTGAACGAAATCGCTCTATTACTTTTTGAGTTGTAGTAAAAAACATAAAATAACACATGTAAAAATGGCAGCTAGGCCTATTTTCAAAATAGCCGCCTTCTAGCCGAAGTGTCATGAAGTGTCACGAAGTGCCATGCTTATGAGCATTCATACAATATGAACAAATCGCTCTACTTCTTTTCAAACTACAGCAAAATTCATAAAATAGTGTGTAAAGGCCGCCATTTTTCAAGATGACTGCCATGTATTTCTTAAATATCTACATTTATTAATGTACTATAAACTTTTTATATTTAAAACATATTGCTATTACAGTTTTATATACAGTACCTACATCACTGTAAAATTGGAACTAAAATGGTCTTAATACCAACCTCAAGACATTTTGATTTAGCTACTTCATCAGCCAAATCTTTATTAGTATCAAACTCCTGTCGAATTCTTCTGAGGTAGAAGTTTTTGTTAGTGTATTGGAGAGTGTTTCCTTTACGGATCAAGCTTCTGTATAGGGCCAGCACTGTTCTTCTTGACCAGATCATCACTTTAACCAACCTTAAAAACAAGTTTAAAGTTCAAGATTACAGTGTATGTAGATTTGACACAGTGTTCTGCTTAGGTTAGGTTTCTGCTTACTGCGGTCCAAAGCCTTCTCTATATTCCAGCTTTGAGTAGAAAGATTTAGGGGCTGCCTTGGTATTGTAAATATTGTAAATCATTATGTCACACGCACAGTAAATACGGCATAATAATATGAAATATACCTCTATGTATAGATTTGAAAAACATCAGCACACATCTCCGTCTGAATCTATTGTTATATTTGATTTCTTTAAGTGAGAATAATAAGTGGTCATACCCAACTCAATAGCCACCAAGCCAAAATAAACCCAAGTACAACAAACCTCTGTGAGCTCTGTAATAAACCAGAAACTGTGGACCACTACATAAGTTCTTGTAAACTCCTCGAAACTGAAAGGCTAGAGCTCTACTCGAAAGTAGATAGTACACTCCTCGGGAAAAACACAAACCCTCCCCTTGATCTACGCACCCTGTGCGGACTAAACACTAATCTGTAAGAATCGTCAAACAGGAAATTATATAATGCCTTTTGTAGCTACATAAGGCAAACCAGAAGATTCTAATGAGCACATCATAAAACTGTATATAATAGTATAAGTGATTTTAGACTTCATGAAAATATAAGCACAAGTGTAAGCACAGGTGAAAAACAAGCAACACGAGACCATTTAGCGGCATTATAGCGCATTAAAGGATACAAACAAACAAACAAACATTTCCTTCACACGAGCCTTCATTTTTTTAAAATGATCTCTTGTTTCATGAAAGTTCAACTTAAACACATACCGGTATCCTAGGTTTATAAATGTACTCTAACCTTACTCACTTCGAGAGCCATGTTAGATTTTGAAACTTATGGCTCTCAAACAGGGAAGTGAACAGCTGATTAATAGCTGAGACTAACATAAAAGGGATTGTGACCTTTGAAATCGAATTAAGTCGATCCGCGGCTTACTTTTGGTCTCTAACTGTGTCTTACATCAGTATCATCAATCCGTGTAAGTATTGGTGCTGAAGGGGTTTGCGGAAAAGACCGACCACCGACCAGTCACTCTCCACAGTTGGGTCCATGAGGTGAGAGGTCGGTGCTTGGTCGGCATTCGATTTTTTACACAATCACTAGTTGCGTTCGTTTTTCAAATAAGTGGGACTCCTCTTACCCTACTATCACACCAAACTAGTTCTCACTACGTTCTCGAAAACGGACTTTAACTGTGCACGAACGGATTTGACATACTAAGAACCATTTAGGGTCCACTTAAACTTTGGAGAGGTTAAGCTACCGATGTTTTTTGCAACGTAACCGTGAACGCAAAGTCAAAAAATTAATACAGTAATGTATATAGCACGCATAAAAAGCAAGCGCTACTTAGTCCACTTCAGATATCAGATCAGCTTTATTTTCCTGTTTACAACGGGAGATTTTCAATTTTACGTTGGTGTCAATGGGAATCATTATACTCATGTTTATTGGGTACTATGCTGGCAATTTTGATCTGATGCACAGTATCATATAGCTCTCAGCATTAACATTAAAAGGTCATGTAAGGTCACGCCACTGAAAGTTGATACCTTTTTATTAATCTTTTTAATTGCTTCTGACGCAAGATAACTTCGAACATGCGTTTAGGCCAAAATAGCTTGGCTTAAATGCTTTCTGAAGAAAATGAATGTCATACATGTTTTAGCTTTAAATATCTTACGACACGAGCTTGTTAAAGTGGGAATATCGATTGCCGAGTCGTATCCAATGATCCTGGGCCTATCGTAAAATGAAAGCTTTGAATATGTTGTTGCCTTTAAAAATGTATCTATTTTCCATGTATGCAACTAGAATTTGTGCACATACCTTATAACGATCGATAATGGCAAAGGAAAATCCCCTAATTCTTCGTCATAATTTCTCCTTCAACGTCCGCCATTTTTTATTAAACCGGAAGTTTGTTCTCTGACGTCCGCGCAATGTTTTTTCACTTTTATTTCAGATTACGCTTCGGATTCAACATTTAATGTTTTCTAATATTAATTAAGTGTTTTCTATCAGAAAGATTTCGTAAAAAGACTCACACTATCAGAGATTTTATCGATTCGAGCAGCCAGAAAAATTAGTTTCAATTTCACCCGCTAGGTGTTTCGACGGCGACTTGGAAAGAATTTGAAAAATCTATGAGTGGGACTCCTTGTATGGAATTGTAGATTCTAAACGATTTGCCAGTTCTACTGGTTGATGAATATTGCCATATGCATACATTTTTATAAAATAGGAATAAGGAAGAAGATGTTGGACCAAACTTCACCCCGATAGCTCAGAAAAGGTACTATCAATAACGTATTACACGAGGATGTGTAGCCTAAGTAATGGACTAAGTAAACACTGTAACTGAACGATTGTTTATGTGAGAAAACTACATGCATTTGTATAGGACGATTTATACGTACAAGTTGTGTACATACGTTTATATGTATTGCTTAACCTCTCCATTATCAAACTACCCGAACGCACTGGCGGATCTCGGGGGGGCCCCCCTCGGGTTGGTCCAGAAAAAAAAATTGGGCCCAAAAAAAGTTTTGAGCCAAAAAAGACCTTGTTGCCCCAAAAAGTGGGCCTTTTTGGTCATAAATAGGCCTTCTAAGGCCTTATTTTTAATTTTAGGCCAAATTTTAAGACGTTTTTTTCTCAGACCAGAAGTTTGAGCCCCCCCCTTGTTGGTTCCCAGATCCGCCCCTGGAACGAGTAGGTCATCCAGAACTTAGTAACCAGAACGAGTGACCACGTTTTTAAAGAACGCAGAACGATCTGGACACACGGCGAACTTCAATCCTACTAGAAACGTATTACGACGTTGTGTGCAGTCAGGCGTAAATTCAGGTCGTGAGTACACCAACCTGTTCCGTTTGCAGCTTAATTAACAAATATAGCTGTCACACCAAACATGTTGTCACTGCGTTCTTTAAAACGTTGCCGAACTGGTTTTAAACTGTGTCCGAACTGGATGAACGTAGCTACAACTTTACAAACTTCATGGACTTGCCCGGACCGAGAATGTGATTAAGAATTTTGAATTTTTCTCTTTTCTTTTCAATTGTATGGGTTTATCGGCAGAACGAAGATATTTTCGTTTTTGATAACAATATTTGCGTGTAATATTTAACTTATTTCAACCGTCAAATTCCTCCATTCAGTTCCCGGCATGCACCAGTCATAAGAGAAATCCCTGGGGAATTCCCCTTCCGACATTTTGAAAATTGCTGACATATTTCCGATGTAAAAACTAAAATCTCTTTGTTCTGCCGATAAACCCATACAATCGGCGATCTAACAACATAAAAAGAATTCTAAAATACTCTGGAATGTATCGAGGTAGGTCATTTAATAGTGCAATGCGTAGTCCATTCTCCGACATTGTAGAAAGACAGGCTTACCAATGAATCGGGCGTACGACCACAATCTAAAGGGGTCTTAGGATACGATAAATTGGAAATACATATGTAGGTCTAAAAAACATTCACTCGATGAACAATTTACAAGTCTTGATCGAAAAAGAAGTATTTCAGCACTCTAATACTTACACGGATTGATGATACTGATGTAAGACACAGTTAGAGACCAAAAGAAAGCCGCGGATTGACTTAAGGTGTCACTCCTGTAAATAGCACTTCCGGGTAGGACAGTGTTTTTTAATACTTTAAAAACGAAGCCATGCCAACTTCAATGGTGTGTATAGTAGGTTTAAGTGTTTGCAATGTGGCCATTTGAGGTATGTCTGTAAAGCTGAGGCCAAGTACTTTCTAAATGTGCCATTTTAAGAAAACAATCGCAAGAATATAGTCCCGTAAACTGGAACTACTTTATTCGTTAATTTTCATCGGTGAAGCAGGGATTTTACCTAAAAATGAGTCCCTTTGTTGGCGTAGTGATATTTAAAAATCGAGACGCAAACCCTATGTTAAATATAGTGTCAAGATGAAGGTTATATATAGGGGAACGCAGAAATATAGTCATTGTATGGGCTAGTTCGTTCGAAAATGGCTATATGTACCCCAGAACTTGAATTTCGTGATTTTTTTCAACATTTTTCAATGATTTACCGTAGTGACACCTTAAGGTACCATGGAAGTTAACAGGAAATGACGAAACAGGAAGTGAAATTTTTTTTGCATTTTTAGACATTTTTTGAACAAAGATAACAGAGTTATGGTTTGACCTCCAGTCAATTTAAGTATTTCCACATATCATTTACATGACTAGGATCACAATGTGCATGGTCAGAATGACCCTAAACATGATGAAATAACCTTTTTAGCCCTTTGAAAGTGTGACTGAAAAAAAGCTAAAAGTAGGAGCTAGGGAAGGTCACTGAACAGAATCTTTTGAATTTTTCAGAAAATGTGCCTAATATAATGCTCACGCGGTCCTAACTTCGACCGTTAATTTGAATTTTTGACCTACCAGATGCTTGAAAATCAAGGATTGCGAGTCTCATAATGCACCGTTTTTCTTCAAACTTATACCATTAAAAGCAAAACAAAATTGCCTTTCTTTCGGTGCATTACTTTATTGTAAAGAGTCCCTCGTTCTACCAGCGTTTTGGTCCCCAACTATTAGAAGGCCTTCTTACAGCTGGGGACCAGAATGCCGCTGGAAGTTGAGACTATGTTTTAGAGAATATTGTATCATCAGAAAGAGAATTTTGTTATGCTTTGAATGGAACAAGTTTGAAGAAAAACAGTGCAGTATGAGACTCGTAATCCTTGATTTTCAAACATCCGGTAGGTCAAAAATTCAAATTAAGGGTCGAAGTTAGGACCGCGTGATGCTCTAATTGATACAATCTTTGAAATCTTAGAAAATTGTCTTAAACAAAAATGGCGGTCATAAAAAGGAAAATAGATCGCTTTTCAAATCAGTTTTTTCATTTTTTTCTTCTTTTTCTATGAATGATATCAAATTTTCAAAGATTGTATCATTAAGAGCAATATATTGGGCACATTTTCTGAAAAATTCAAAAGATTCTGTTCAGTGACCTTTCTGGGTGCATTCATGCGCCTCTGGGCCTTTATTTATATATCTGAGATTTGTCATAGCTCTAGTGACCCTATCAAAACTCCGATAGTCAAATAAGTCATTAGAGCCGTGGATCCACGTCTATGACCTTTCCTACCTCCTACTTTTAGCTATTTTTCAGTCACATTTTCATAGGGCTGAAAAGGTTATTTCATCATATTAAGGGTCATTCTGACCATGAACATTGTGATCCTTGACCTGTAAATGGTATTTGGAACTAGTTGAATTGACTGGAGGTCAAAACAGAACTCTGTTATCTTTGTTCAAAAATGTCTAAAAATGCAAAAAAAATTTGTCACTTCCTGTTTTGTCATTTCCTGTTAACTTCCATAGCACCTTAATTCGATTTCAAAGGTCACAATCATTCAGCTGTCCAAATGCTCCGTGGGAAAGCTATTATATCAAAATCCAAATAGCTGTACCTTGACCTGTAAATGGTATTTGGAACTAGTTGAATTGACTGGAGGTCAAAACAGAACTCTGTTATCTTTGTTCAAAAATGTCTAAAAATGCAAAAAAAAATTGTCACTTCCTGTTTTGTCATTTCCTGTTAACTTCCATAGCACCTTAATTCGATTTCAAAGGTCACAATCATTCAGCTGTCCAAATGCTCCGTGGGAAAGCTATTATATCAAAATCCAAATAGCTTTCGCAGGAAGTAACTCTAAGTTAACCCAAAAAGGACTTGATACCACAGTCAGAGAGAATGTTCTGGCGAAAGGAGATTCTGGGATTTCAAATTCTTGAAGTTGGGAAACCCGGATGAAAAAAATGAAGTTACCTTTTTTAATTCCAGAATCTCTCCGAAATTAGCTCATCTTGGTGACTGTAAATTATACAGCTGTATTCAATGGAGTCTTGTCATATTCAATCAGCCTCAATTTTAAAGTGTATATTTTATTTTTAACGTGATTTCATCGTTTTTTGTCGACTGGTAAGAATCCGCTGGGCTAATGGCAAGATGGATGACTTTTGACCTGACCTTGGCCGATGGCGGTGACGTCATCAATTTTATCTCGACGTTGATTGGTTCAATGATGATTGTTTGGGAAATTTGAATTTAGTTCTCGTAACCTCCCGTGACCTCCCGAATAGGTCACGTGACCTTGTGCCAGAAGTCCGACTTTTTTGTCAGTCGACCTGTTCAAAGTACATTTAGTAATAATTATCGCTTTTCAGAACAATTTAGGAAACAATAATTTCTATCTACGTCGATTACAAAGCATCTAAGGTACGTAAATTTATATGAACAACTGAGTCAATAGGGATAAATAGCCCAACGAGAGTCGGCGTTTTTGAAAAATACTTGGATCTGGATGCCAGTCCTGTTATTGATATCATTCCCGTTCGAAGAACGTATTAGATGTCTGTGCTTGATACAATTTCCTGTGTGTCGGACAGACACTGAAGAATATTTTTGCTAGGCCTAAGAAGTAGCAGTGGCGTAGTGTCGTTTACGCAAAGTACGCAAATGCGTCCACTGGAACAATCCAATGTTTATCTGAATATTTGGAAATTCTAAATTTCTCAAGTTTTAATAAGCAAAGCCATTGTTCAACCTTATCATTTCACTTCAACCATAGAAATTAGGTGTTAATTTTAGTCCCGACATGTCATTAATGATTCTTTCAAATTATACTCTCATAATTTCATGAATACTCTTATGTAATCCATATGACCTCCCCGTATTAAGTACACAATAGCTGCTCATGTGCCGAATCCAGCTCCAGTTTTGGCGTAAGTATCTTTTGAATTTAATGATGCAGACATCTTTTTGTTCAGTGTAAATTATTCAGGTAAGGTTTTTACAATGATAATAGATTTTTTAAATGTTCAAAATTATTTTTGTGTAGAAATGGACCAGATTATGATGATCTACTTGGAGACGAGGCACTGCGTGATTGTTTGACTGATCCAGGGAGAAAGCGACATTATATATTTTTGCTTGAATTTCTACAAGACTTATAATGAGTACTTATGAGTAAATTTCAAGTGGAAATGAATGCGTATCAGGTAAACCCCCCCCCCCCATCCCAATTTTGGAATTTTGCGTCCCCATGTAAAATTGCCACGCTACGCCACTGAGTAGGGGTGCTTCGGTCAGTTACTAGAGTGAGTGAATTCCGGTGCTGACTGTCAGACTACCTCTAGAAGCTGCCATCTTCAAATCCAAGCTTCTGTGTATAAAATGTTAGACATGATAGAAGTAATACTCACAATATCCAGGCCAAACTTTCGGAATTCTGTAAGCAGTTGGGAACTACGTCATCAATGTATGTGCTCCATGTAGGCTAGTGACGTCATCCAGGAGTATATGAAAAGTCCATCAAAGAAAGCAGTGTTTCTCATTTCTCTCAATCACTACTCTGCAGTCTATTCTTTGACATGGCACTGGCTAAATGTAAGTATATTTCATTAAGGAACAGCTAGAAAATAAAAGTTTGGTAAAAAATTGCTATAGGCGGCACAGTGATCTCCCCAGGATTTTTTCTCTGGTGGGTGCATTTTTTTCTGGCAAATATTTGCCACTCGCTTCGCTCGCAGTGGGGTCAACCCAGTTGTCCGAAACCCAGTTCTCCGAAACCCAGTTTTCCGAAACCCAGTTGTCCGAAACCCAGTTCTCCGAAACCCAGTTTTCCGAAACCCAGTTGTCCGAAACCCAGTTGTCCGAAAATTAGGGGATCTTATTTGAAAAATACAATTTTTTTAAACGAATCTCGTTGTCGCAACCTCTGCGAATCACAACATAACATTGGAATAACGTTGACATCATTGCAAAATTAGGCTAAATATGCGAAGTCATTGTAAAATGGCGTTTACACAACATACATAGATAGGGGTCTACAATTTTTAAACCAATTTTCTTTATGGCCCATGGGCCTTTTTTGAGAGGGAACAACATTTTTCCAATGGGTGATGAGCGTTCATAAAAGGAAAAATAGCTTTCCCAAGCCAGTGGGCATTTATTTAGTAAAGCCTTGACATGTACATCTTTTGAAACCAAAACTTATTCTTCATTTACGTACTCTGTTCGAGAAATAGAGATTAAAAGGATGAAGTGAGTACATGGCGAAAATGAAACTTCTTGCGAATGGGAGAACATCCATTTTGATACGAGGACAGCCTGCCTTCGTTTCCAGTTGATCCCAAGTGATTAAGTTAAGAATGTTTTGTTCTTTTACGATTTGATAAAATACAGAGACTAAGAAATTAAATGCGACGAAATATTTTGACAACGTAATATGTATACTGTTTTATTCTTAAAGTACTATATGCGTAAACTTATTTTATCTGTTTCAAAATGATTCATTTTATTTTGCCTATATAAAAGAGATTGAAGAAGATAAGATAAACTGTTCCGTAATATATATTGTGTTTTGATAACTTTTTTTTAGAATCACAATGTAAAATAAATCCCCCGTTCCTGCCATTCTGGTAACGCGTGCAATGGATGCAATTCAAAGTGAGAGAGAGATCTATGAACATCAGAATGCGTCCATGTCATTAATTTGGCCAAATACATGGCATGAAACTGGCCTAAGCTTAGTACGGTTCCCCTTTCTCTGGTAAATTATGACTATTTTTCGGAGTAATGGGTTTCGGACAAGTGGGTTTCGGACAACTGGGTTTCGGAGAACTGGGTTTCGGACAACTGGGTTTCGGACAACTGGGTTTCGGACAACTGGGTTTCGGACAACTGGGTTTCGGACAACTGGGGTGCACCCGCTCGCAGTTATAAAAATCATGAAAATATTCGCCGCTCGCTTCGCTCGCACCTCACAAACTATCTTCGTCTCCTCAGAGGCCATGATGACCCCAGATACAGGCTCTAAATTAGTTCAACAAGTTAAACCTAGTCTGGGCCTTATTTCTCATCTGACATATCTTGTGGCCCGCCCTAGGTTTAACGTCCGTGCCTATTCAGCCCTTGATGCAAAAATTTTAATGGTGGCCTATGGTAGCGCATAGAATTTCATGCGCGTTTAATTCATAACTGGTAGTGAGAATTTGCATCAAATAAAGGCATAGCACGGAAGTTAAACCCAACCACGGTAACAAGAACATTCAGATTAATAAATGAAAGCCGTGGTATTGGGTTTAACTTGTTGAACTAGCTCTAAATAGGCAACTTCCATCGCCCCTAGGGCAAAGTAGGGCAATTTCGTGATTATATGATATGCGTGTCTTCAATGATATATGTAGTAATGCTTTACCTGTGAACACGTTCCAAACTTTTGCAAATGTTTATTTATTTGCTTGCTAATGCGATCCCGTTGAAATTATTGAAAAACATATTGCCATGACGAAGTAATTGCACATTTTGTGTATATGGCAACGTGTAGGACAAATTCGTTAAATGTAGGGCAATTTCGACGATAGGAGGGCAATTTCGTTATTGGAATAAAATGTTGTTAAAAACGAATTTACATTTTTTTCACTATCAAAAGGGTGAACTGTGAATATTATAAAATACTATCCAATAACCCGGAAGTGAATTATAGAAATATAGGTAGCGTGAGCCAGAACAAAGGGAAATTGGACTAGTACTTCATAAGAAATTACTAATGAGGTAAGTGATGAATCGGTGTCGGGAATATGATAGAATGATAGGTCTAGTGTAAAAGGGTGAAGTTACAAGGTGAAATATAAACCTACACAAATACAACACAGCAAGCTAAAAAGAATAAGGGATTAGGTACTTTAAATATCACCACACCAACTACCAACTAATAGTAAATCACACAAGAAATATATTCATTCAATAAAGTCTATTCTATTATACTTGCGTTTCATGTCACAACTGAAATATATATGTACAATGCGAATAAATAGTATTTAAATTATATAGATTATAATTTACATAAATGCTTAGTGTCTTTAAATCTATTAGGATGAAATTAATCTCAATAACGCTGAAATCTGCAGTCTGATAAAATGTCTTCAAAATTATGACCGGGATACTACTTCAAATCAGAAGAGAATTGCCAACAACGATCTTGTAATAAAGTTGAATTTTATGCCCTCTATAAATTCAGTCGGGAACTAATAGCATGAAAAGTGACGTCAGATATGCGTTAAAAGCCCGAACGAGATTTCGATAAATGGGAAAGAGCTGTGAACTTTCAACCGTCAAAGACTAAGGATGTTATTTTAAACACCAGAGGTGCGAACTCAATGGAATGTGCCCGTAAGGACTTCTTTCAATTACAATCAAATTCAAGTTCAAGTTAAAAGCTGTCTAGGATACAATAATCCACAAAGATGCTCAAGTTTTATGAATGAATCTAGACTTCAAAAGTGACGTATGTGATCACGTGACTAAGTCGTCTGCTTTCCCCAAAGTTATGATTTAATTTGACCAATAATTCCCTTAATTGATAACGTGAATCTCTATTCTGTACTATCTTGAACCTTCCCAGCATATGGGCTTATCAGGACAAACTCCCAATCTTGTTCAACTGTTACAGACTGCAGATAACACCGTTAGGAAATACGTGCGGGAAAAATGAAAGTTTTGAAATGTTTTCTCAAAGTTCAATTATCGATCAATATTACTGTCTTAAATCTCTTCACTCCCTAATGGAATGCTATAGATTTCTATACAGTACTGAAAATCAACTTACCCAAACGCCAACACCCCGTTTTCTGTCAAAGATCACGTTCATAGCTCAACCGATCAAATCTAAGGATACTGTGCTGTCAGGCTGTAGCGAGTATTTTCCGAATCTTAGGTTCAGCAGTGCAGGAATTGTTACATTGTATCCGCGAAAGACACTTGTTTATATAGCAACAGATGGACATACGCAATCTTGGAGACGACGTAGGTAAAAATATATGTAATGTTGCTAAAAATGGGATATTACCAAGGTTTTTAGAGCTACGTAGGGTAGAAAAAAGGGCAGAAAGAGCAGCTTATTGGACAAGAATTATGAGGTAGGGACTGAGAAAATGATGTCACTTTGAAAAGTGACGCAAAGTTGAGACTGCAAATTCAGCGTTTTACAATGATAAATAGGTTTTTTCTATAAATATACTGGCTCTGATACGATGGTCCAGGTCTACGTATTGCAATAATATGATCATGTTAAAGGGACATGATATGGTTTAATACTGATTATAGATATTAAAGGGGCACACACTGATTAAATATGTTATAATAAAATAGCTATATACAGGGTGGGTCTCTACAACTACCCCCCTCTTAAAAATTCAGGTTTGTCCTCAAACACAAAAGTAGAATCATCATTATAACCACCTAATAGCAGCAGTTAATAGTGCTAAAATTACAGAAAACAATATTTCAAAATAAATAACAATGTATTCTGAGCGTTAAAACGCTAGATCATCAATCATTATCATTCAATCAAAGTTCAGCAGTAAATCAACGTCTATATGGTCATCTATATCTCCCAGGTCGGCCCCTCCGAGCAGGTTCTCTATTTCTTCAGCAGTCAAGCCCAAAACAGGTTCTGCACTCCCGGCCTTCAGTCCCCGAACTTGAGGTTGGTCACCATTCGCAGCCTCACGCTCCTCTCGGGGATGCACGGCGGCTTGGAGCTGGGGCGTCGAGATCGACGCGGGATCGACCCCCAGCTCCTGCCCCGTGCCATCCCCCCCGACCTCTGTCCTTTCTTTCTCCACCTGGGGATGCACGGCGGCTTGGAGCCGGGGCGCCGAGATCGATGCGGGATCGACCCCCAGCTCCTGGCCCGTGCCATCCCCCTCGTCCTCTGCCCTCTTCTTCTTCCGTGAGGGCTCTTCCGTCCCCAGGTTGAGGTGCCTCCGCCGGTGGAAGGCGAGCTCCTCAACCTGGGCAGGGGTGAACATCTGTGGGCAGTCGCCCACCCCACAGGCTATAGTGTTATCATGGGCGTTCGCCCTGTGGAGTTGCCAGTCCCCCTGGCTCACAAACTGGGCAAGGCAGCGATAGGGCCGCCCGGGCACCCATCCTCTGGTGGGTCAGCTGACATCTGGCAGACCTAAAAGAAAATAAAACTCTTACCTTCTCACCCTACTAGAAAGGTTTTTAGTATTTTTATACGAACCTCCTCTAGGATCTCAAGGTACTAGTTTTCTTTGATATTCAATTAATACATAAGTACTCGACAATATTGAACTAGAATGAACATCTTTTCATCCCTTTTTCAATCTATTCAAGTCTTTAAAAGTTAATCCTCTACGATCAAAAAAGGGCTAAAAGAAAGTTTATAAGGACGGGTACAAGCCATAAGCACAAGCTAAATCACTTTAAATATAATCGTGAAAGTAATATAGGATAAATGTACATGATAAGAATATTAAGGCACTTGACTCGACTTATGAATTCTGAAGTGAGACTACTCTATAACATAATCAGTCAGCCATTCAGGTTTCTTTCGGGTCCTTTGCCCTCTAGAGTTTTCAATAATTTCGGGAGCATTCTCAAAATCTGAGGATTGGGAATTCTCAACAGGGGTTTCCGTCTCTTGATCTAGACTCTCATTAGTATTTTGTGAAATGAATGTTTTGAGGCGGTCGTGGTGAATGACTCTTGTATCTCTCTCATTAATTTTAATTAGATACCTTAAATCATCTATTCTCTCCGCCACCTCATAGGGTCCATGCCACTTTAGAGCAAACTTAGGAGTCTGGCCAACCTTCACAGCTGGTATATGGACCCAAACACGTGATCCCTTTTTGAATGACTTTAAATTTGCTTTGACATCATACCCTCTCTTCTGTCGGTCACTAGATAATTTGATATTGCCGCGAGCCGCCTCGTGAATATTGAGTAGAACTTCTTGTAATTTCTCACAGTATTTTGTATGACATGTGCTATCAAGTTCTCCCCTCTCAATTTCAGGAGGAGGCCCGAGCAACAGATCGGTGGAGGTCCGAACCTCCCTTCCGAGCATCAGAAAATTTGGGCTGTAGCCAGTAGTAGCATGAACAGCACTGTTGTAAGCAGAAACAACAAAGGGGAGACATCGGTCCCAGTCCCTCTGATCAGATGCAACAATTTTAGACAACATAGCCTCCACAGTCCTGTTTGATCTTTCTACCATACCATCAGACTGTGGATGATATGGAGTCGTTCTTGTCTTACTCATGCGGAACATTTCACATAATTCTTTAAATAGTTTTGATTCAAACTGGGCACCTTGATCGGAATGAATTTGAAGAGGTGACCCATAAATACAAATGAAATGATGCAGCAAAGCTTCTGCCATGGTGGCAGCTTCTTGATTAGGGACAGGAACCAATGCCAGGACCTTCGTGAAATAATCTTCAATTGATACTACATACTTGTTCCCCAATAGACTTTCGGGTAAAACTCCCAAAATATCAATGGCTATTCTCTCAAGAGGGGCACCCACATTGTATTGTTTCATTGGTGTTCGATGTTTCTTATTGGGTGGATTTCTCCTCTGACACAAAAGGCAACCCGCTACCCATCTAGCAAGGTCAGACTTGAAACCAACCCAATAGTATTTGGCCCTCAAACGATCAAGAGATTTATTGACCCCGAAATGCCCACTGTCAAGAGCCCCATGAGTCATTTCTAAAATGGTTTGGCGCATATTTTCAGGCACCACGATTTGCCAGCTAATGATCCCAGTATCAGTATCTACCCATTTTCGATAAATAACCCCCTGTTCCAATCTGAACCTGTCCCACTGAGACCAGTAATGTTTAAAGGTAGGTGATTTGTCCGATACGTCTGCCCAGTCAGGTCGGTTCCCCACTTTAAGCCAATTGTTGATTGTTAAAAGACATGGATCCTGAGCCAAGGCCTCTTCATACTCTTTGAGAGATATTCCCGGTGCCCAAGTGCACCCTGAAACAGGAACATTCCTCAATTTGGGAGTATGAACAAGCTCTGGCTCCAGGTTTGAGTCTAAGGTTACGTCAAAACTTCTAAGAAGCAAGTCAACCTCAGAATCAGTCAAAGTTTCTCCCTTCCCAGGAACTCTACCCAGTCTCTCTTGTCTTTCGCAATATGCACAGTCAGTACAGGGACGTCTAGACATTCCGTCGGCGTTCAGATGTTTTGTACCAGGTCGATGTTCAATTTTGAAGTCATATTGCCCCAATAACTCTAACCACCGGGCAATCTGTCCTTCAGGACGTTTAAACCTCAACAACCAAGCCAAAGAGCCATGATCCGTTCTGACTTTGAAACGACTGCCGTAAAGGTAATGGTGAAACACTTTAACAGCCCTCACTATAGCCAACAATTCCAATCTAGTGACACAATAGTTACGCTCAGGTTTGGACAATGATTTCCCCATCAACTTCCTGTTGTAACACAGCACCAACCTGACAAGCAGAAGCATCAGTATCCAAGATAAACTCTTTGGACTTATCTGGGTAAGCCAACAATGCAGAACTCAAATAAAGTCTCTTCAATTCCTCAAAGGCAAATTGACAATCCCCTGACCAGACAAATGGAACACCTTTCTCAGTAAGTTTGAACAAGGGTCTAGCCAGTCCTGAAAAACCCGGAATGAACTTCCTATAATAAGAACAGTAGCCCACAAAGGACTGGATTTGTTTCACAGTACGAGGAACAGGCCAATTCACAATCGCCTCAGTTTTCTTTGGATCAATTTTTACTCCATCTTCAGACACAACATGACCCAAATAGGATACTTCTTTCTGAAACAACTTACATTTTTTCGGGGACAATTTCAACCCAGAACTTCTCAATTTTTCAAAGACTTGACCTAATTTTTCCAAATGACTTTCAACGTCCTGGCTGAATACAATTATATCATCGAGATAGACTAAACACATCTCCGGAGACAAACCAGCAAACACGCATTCCATAAGCCTCTGAAAAGTGGCTGGGGCATTAGCCAAACCGAACGCCATTACATTAAATTCATACAAACCACGTTTGGTGCAGAAAGCGGTCTTTTCAGCGTCAGCATCGTCCATAGCTATCTGCCAAAACCCACTAGCCAAGTCAAGTACAGTGAAGTATTTAGAACCGCACAAAGAGTCCAAAGTATCGTCAATTCTGGGCAACGGATACGCGTCTTTGATGGTGACGTCATTAAGTTGTCTGAAATCTATACAGTACCTATAGCTACCATCCTTCTTTGGCACCATCACAACAGGTGAGACCCAAGGACTTTTGGATGGCTTAACTATGTCATGTTCAATCATTTCGTCCAAAGCCTTGTCATATTCAGTCTGTTTAGACAAAGGCACACGTCTAACAGGTTGTTTGATGGGTCGGGCATTCCCTGTGTCAATTTTATGCTTTATAACTTCCGTCTTTCCCAGGTCAAATTTGGATTTTGCAAAACCATCTTGATTTTGTAACAGAAAATACTTAACTCTAGTACGGTCACAGTCGGACAAGTTTTCTGTCGAATTGTCAATCAGATGTCTTAAATGGTTGGGTATATCTTCGTCCGTCTTTTCGAGAGATTGGTATTCAATGTCACCAGCTGCAATGTTATTTCCAGGCACTAATTTAGACCTTACTACATCATCGTCATGAGAGCAGAGGGCGTGCCCTGGACAATCATTCATCCTATCCGTGTAGGGCTGAACGAGGTGCACGTTAGGCGCGTCTTCTAAGGACTTTTCAGCTTCACTTTCCAGCGCCACGCCAGCTACAGCAGTGCAGGGGGTCAGACCTAAACGTTTTCTCGGATCCCCAGTTAGGAACGCTCCAAAGCATAGGGGATCTTCAGTCTCTGAATGACCGTCATCATAGCGTCGAGACTCCTCCGGCTCGTCGCCACTGTCGCGAGGTAAAAGGTCAGGTCGTAGTCTAGCAAGTTTGCCCTTCACCACCTGAGTAACATTTTCCATTGATTTACCAACCTCCCCAAAAGCACCACCTTCAACATCAACTTTTTCCCCACAAGAAGCAACGAGATTCCCCACATCGAATATTGGTTCCCCAGTTGCTACTGCAGTATTCTTGTAAAGGAACAAGGGTTCTAAACTAAGATTAGCCAATCTAATTGGAATGAAAGGTTGACTAGGGTCAACAAGGGATTTGGCAATAATCAGGGGAGGAAATTTTTCTCTATCCGCCAAATTCCCATTCATTTCAATTAACAGTGGTGTATCACCCAAGTGTTGACATTGTGCTTTTCCGGGAACAATCATTTCTGTCATGGGAGGCACTCTGACAGTATCTTGCATTAAAATTCGGCACTTGATAGACAAATCAGTCTCTAATATACAATCAAAATCTTTGCCATGCATAGTCAACAGTGCATCCCCGACATTAAGGATTGCTTTTTGATTCTTTAAAAAGTCATAGCCTAACACAGCCGGAGTGGTTATGTCGGCCACTAATAATGTTTGAACCACCCGTATACCCTGGCCTAAGTAAAATCCACATTCAATTCTTCCATGACACTTTACTTTGTTACCATTCGCCACGGATATATTCAAATTGCTTGATTTACATTGTTCAAACACTCCTAATAATTTGCTAGTTTCAGTTGACAATATGCTCACATTTGCACCGGTATCGATTAATGCAGGAACAGTAATTTCCCCAAAGTTCAATTGCAAATATAAGCCATTGTAACGACTATCGGTCAAATGATTAAATATATAGGGTCTTTTGGAGTCATTAGTCGAAGTCTGACCCGGTGACTCGACTATCGGCCGTTTCCCGAACTATTTTGAATCTGCCTACGAGGACATTCGGGAAAATAATGATCTGAAGTTCCACATATCCAACAACAACGAGCGCCACCTTTAGAATTGGGATGTTTCTTTGGGCAATGCATAGTTAGGTGCTCTTGCGATTTACAGATCCCACAGGGACGAGGTTTACGATATCCCTGGTTACGTTCATTAAGAGATTTTTCCAAAGTTTGGAGTCGAGATTCCATTTCTGAGAATGTCATCTTGTTAACGGCAAGGTTAGTTTCAACC